ATTAGACTTGGTAATCTTTATAAAAGTCAATATTTTATGTTCTTTTCCACAGATCTTCACTAAGTTATTAGTAAACTTAAAGAGTGTGCACACTAGCTGGTATTGTGGAGCATTCTGTGGTTCTGTTTGTATGCTCTATGAAGAAAAATGCTGATATTAATATTACTTAATTATGTTATTGATTGGAAACCACATGATTAAATCGTACTGAAAATCATAATGAGGCTGTTTGGTAAGCAAACTAAAGACATTGAAATCAGGATCAAAATGGACTACAATGAAATAGAAAGGGTAAATGAATATCGATTCCTGGGAGTGATACAATATCAGCTGGAGATCTCATATACATAGTATACAAAATAAATTGGGAAAAACATTGCAATTATGAGAACATGCAAATTCCTTCTGGACCACAAAGCTCTACTAATCCTGTACTACGCATTTATTCTCCCCTATCTTAGTTACTGCGCAGAGGTCTGGGGTAATACCTACAGTAGCCATTTGGAGGCAGTATTTCGACAAAAAAAAAGCTATTAGGATTGTGCAGAATGTTGGTTTCACAGACCACACTAATACACTTTCCATGAAGTCTAAAATCTTTAAACTTGACGATTTAGTTAACCTAAAGTCAATGCTAATTTTGTACAAAGCAAGACAGAATCAATTACCAATCCATAATCAACAGCTGTTTTTTGATAGACAGGGTGGAAACGATTTGTGGGGACCACATAATTTCAAGGTGGTATGTGCCTGCACAGCCCTCAAAACTCACTGCATATCCAGAAGAGGTGTTAAGCCTCGGAATGGTTTAGATGACAGCTTAAAGAGTGCTGCTAGTCTACTACTAATTAAAAGACAATATAAGATTACTGTTACTGAGAAATATGTTGAGAATTGTGATGGAAAAGCTTCTTGGTTTTATTCTGACTATGAATAATATATAAAAGAACAGTACAAGATATAAAATGGATAACAAAATATGCATGAAAGGTTCATTAACAAAACATTTACTGTCAAAAGTATAATATTGTAATGTGGGGTATAGGTGCACATAAGCTTCTTTGCTTCAGCCTACTCCATTTGAGCATCGTTTTAATGTTGTGAATTTTGAAAGAATACAACAGATGTAACTGCTCAATGAATGTGCTAAATAAATAATACTGAATTGATAGGAAGGCGTGGGCTACAAAAACGCTTATCCCCTCCCACTTCTTTTCAGATACCGTAAATCCTCTAATACAGGCCCGGGCCTGTATTTGACTCAAGCTCATCAAGCTCCAGGCCTTTATTGGAAGGAGGACCAGTATTAGAGGCAGGCCTCAATTTCAATTTGAGCAAAATGAACTAATGGTTGGCTGGAGTTTTTGACAGTTAAAATTGCGCCCACATTTTAAAAGTTAAACACATTTCTTTTAACAACGGTAGTTTCTGCTTCAGCCCTCTCCCCCCTCCCCCTGCGCAGCGGCCGTAAACTCACTGATGCGCCTGCAGCCTCTCGGAGTTCCTGCTGCTTTAAACATTAAAATAATTATTTCATTTTCTGTTCCTCACTTCTAATTACCTTCAATGGTGTCTGTTTGTTGCAACCACCAGGTAAAAAAACTAACTTGTTTTTATTTGACTATTTTTCTGTCCTGCCTGTTTATTATCTTCCTGCATCTCCTCTCAATCCTAAAGAAAAACAGCTACCTGCCTTCATATATATTCACCTTATGAGTTACCTTTGAACTGCAGTTCTAAAAGATCTACCGACCGCAAAAACAGCGGAGTGCTCGCTGCTTGCCGGCCACATCAGTTAGGTGCGTCACAGAGGACAAAACAGGTGATGTGCCCCGCTCCACAGCAGCGAAAAGCATCAGGCACAAATAAAAGACAGAAAACATAAAAGGAAATGAGCCGACATGAACGATTGCGTGTTAAATTAGTTTTTGAGGTGGTGACACCTGATTTGATAATGTTACTGTGGCCGTGCTCAGGACGCAGATGTCTGGAGCGCGTCAACAATCAGAGCTTTGCATGCGCAAGCTGGTTAAGGTTAGGATGGGGGTGAGGAGAATGTTAAATTGTAAGAGGGTAAAGGTCACAATTTGGTTAAATGTCCGTTTTACGGCAGGTGTCAATACCGATGCTCTGGCACAGCGCGTTGCCTCACGACGCGCAGGAGCTCCTCACCTGCTGACAGCAGGCTGCTGTCTTTTCCGAGGACTGCATCTTGCATTATCACGTGACAGCGACTAGTCGATGTCAGGCATAAAAAGTCACTATAGAGCGGTGAAGTCGACTAGTGACTTCATACAACCCCTGCTACTGCTCCCCAGAGTGTTCTGCAGCATAATCAGCACGTTCTCTTTGAACTTGATATCAAATTTTCGGCCCCTCTTTGTCTCCGCACGGTTAAAGTTACCCTCGCGGTCTATCACTGGCAAATCAAAAGTGAGACGGATGACACAACCGCCCCCGTACTTGCTTGTTACCACATTCCACCCGGCCACAATAAAAAACCGGCCATTATTCACCTCCGCCGACTCCGACACCGGCCAAAATATGATACCCGGCAGTTAATTAAATGCAGGCTAATATTAGAGAATTTACGGTATGTAAATTTTGGGATTTCTCATTCGTATTGCTAATTGTTTCCTTCTCTTTCCATAATTATGATTATCTTGTCATTTATTTTATTACGTTTGAAATAAACTTTCTAAACTTAAAGAATGTTGCAATTTTTGCCCAATATGCTTTTATTTTTCTTTCTTTAACCTAAGTTACGATGCTTTTTAACAAATATTTAGTATTTGGATTGTATTGCATCATCACAATCAAGCTGCGCCTAAATATAAAAGTGGGCCCATGTTTATTCTATAAATCCCCTGTTTGTTTAATAGTCCATCCATCCATCCATCCATCCATCCATCCATCCATCCATCCATTCATCCATCCTTCCATCAACTATCCATCTGTTTGTACATCCATCCATCCACTTAGTCAGTTCACGGGGGCAGCAGCCTAAGCAGGGAGACCCAGACTTCCTTCTCCCTGCCACTTGGGCAAGCTCCTCCAGGAGAATCCCAAGGCCAGCCAGGAGACATAGTCCCTCCAGCATGTCCTGGATCTTCCCTTGGGTCTCCTCGTAGTTGGACGCGCCCGGAAAACTTCACTAGGGAGGCATCCAGGAGGCATCCTGACCAGATGCCCAAGCCACCTCAACTGGCACCTCTCAATGGGGAGGAGCAGCAGATCTACTCTGAACTCCTCCCTGATGACCAAGCTTTTCACCCTGTTTCTAAGGGAGAGTCCAGACACCCTGTGGAGAAAACTCATTTCAGCTGCTTGTGTCAGCGATCTCGTTCTTTCGGTCACTACCCGAAGCTCGTGACCATAGGTAAGGGTTGGATAGTATTGACTGGTAAGCCGCCTTCTGGCTCAGCACCCTCTTCACCAGACAAACCAGTACAACACCCGCATGACTGCAGATGCAGCACCAATCCGCCTGTCGATCTCGAGCTCTTTCCTTCCCTCAAGCGTGAATGAGACTCTGAGATACTTAAACTCCTCCCCTTGAGGCAGGGCCTCGTCCCTGACTCAGAGCAGACATTCTACCCTTTTCTTTCCGTCTGTCCATCCATCCATTCAACCATTCATCCATCCATTTATCCATCCATCAACTATCCAGCCATTTGTCCATCCATCCTTCCATCCACCCATCCATCTATTCATCAATCCATCCAGCCCCATTTATCCATCAGCCAGCCCTCATCTATCCATCCATCCATCCATTTTCTTGGGGACTTTGTTGAACATTCCCAGTTCATCCTCAATACCAGTTTGAGTTTACCAGTTGGTGTATATCCTCCCCCACCACCAGACCCAAATCACCTACATAAAATTATTAAAGGCAACACAGTAAAATAAAAGTTTATTCTTTCTTTTATTACCATATTAGATACTTTTTATTGACTACTGTTTTGTTTTGTTTTCAACATCATCACTGCTACTGCATATATGACAGTAAAGCTTTGACTATTGAATCATGTAGTAGTATATATTTATGTACCTTAACTAAACTCAGCATTAGCGATGGTTGGCAAATGAGCAATTAGAACCACTGGTCTTTATTAAACACAGGAACATCATGAAAAAGTGAAGACATGGTCGTCTCTGAGGTGGCCGTCCTCGGTAAAAGTTTTTAGTCTCAGCTCTCCATGTAAGCAATTTGAAGAGCCCTCCTTAACTTGCTGCTGCACTTTCAAAAATTTATTTCTTAAGAAAAAAAACTAAAATAAGTAAAGCAATAAATAATCAGCTAGTGGTGTACTTGCATAAAGCTCATAATAAAAATCTAAAGAACAAAGAGGATGTACAAAATAAGCAAAAGATGAGGAGAACAAGCACAAACAGATATGAACAATTTACAGATTTTAATTGTATTTCCAAAACAAATTTATAAAACATGCCAAGAACCCATTTTTTGTAATTATGTTGGAATCTCACGTTACAGAATGTAGCTCTCTTTCTGTTTTTCCTTTGAGCTCAGTAGGTTAAATACAAAATGAATGTACAATCAAGTTATTATACATGTAAACACGACTGGACATTTTAGACCACAAGAGGGCAGCAAAGCTGTATCATGTCTTTAAGTCTGATGCCGCTGTCTTTTGTTTTTAGTGGCATGAAGAAGTTATTTATGCACAGCTGCCGCCCTCTAGTGTTCTGTTATGATCAGTAACAGTTTCTGGAAACCTGCTTAACTTAATTATCTCTAAGATCTGTCCGTTTTAACTTATTCAGTACGATTGAAGCAAAAGTGATTTATATTTCCACTACTTTGTAAAATTGCTTGTTTCTTTTTATTTGACCTTTATTTAATTGGGAAATTAGTAAATGTATCTTTTACAACTGTGGCCTAGCAAAAGGCAAGGTCATTTGAGGGAGAAGGAGAGGAGGCAGTAACAGAAAAAATACACAAAAAGCAACAATATGCATAAAAAAATATCAATAAAGAAAATACAACATTCAGTAAAATACGACTCACACAAAATGTGATTTTAAAAACAATGGAGCAATCAGAAGTGACACAAGCACACATCTTTAAAATGTTGTTTGATATGAGTTTGAAAATTTGCCTTAGAAATAAAGCTGTTTTTTTCTGTAGATCTCTGGATGAACCTAGATGTAAAATTTAAAACTGATATTAAATCATCAAAAAAACAAAACAAAATGATGTACAGAGGAACAAATCCATTAAAAAGATGAGGCCAAGTTAGGATATCGTACATCGAAATGGTTTCTTCCTGAAAACCTTCACTAGTTTTTCGCGAATTTCTTTTGTTCTCAGTCCATAAATGATTGAATTTAAAGTCGGGGGGAAGATTAACGTAGAAACACCAATGAATCTTCTTAAATGTGGTGAAATGTTCTGTATCCTGGATGATATGATGGTGAAAAGGCCCAAACACTCCATCATGAGAAAGACAAACAGGTGAGTAGCACATGTCTGCAGAGCTTTAGCTTTAGTGTCCGTCTGTTTGGATCTAAAGCATGCAATCAGAATCCGGAGATACGTGAATAAAACCATCCCGTTGGCTAAAACTTGTGTTAAACCAGTGATTAAAAGAGCATAAATGTTGTTTATTACTGTGTTATCACAAACCAGTGACAACAAATTAGCATTATCACAGTAGAGGTTTGACATTTCAGATCTACAGAAGCGCAAACGCAGTAGAAGAATAAAAAGACCTCCAATTAAAACCAGACAGGACGACCACACCAATGTGATTATTTTCATAATGTTAGCGTTAGTCATGAAAGTATTGTACTGCAGTGGGTGACATATAGCAATGTATCTGTCGTACGCCATAGCACTCAGAATAAACACAGAACCGGCTGCATAGATGTGGATAAAGAAGGCTTGTGCGATACAGGAGGAGTAATGGACCATCCTGCTGTTGGTCAGGATCTCTTTGATGAGCAGTGGGAAAAAAGCTGAAGAACCAATCAGGTCATTGACTGGAAGATTCACCAGGAACAGATGCATGGGCTGATGCAGAGATTTGTTCAGCACAATGGTGAGGATCAGAGTGAGGTTGCAGAACAGAATAATCATGTAGTTGAGAGTTGCAAAGAGAAAAGCAGGAAAGACACTTTCATGTGAAAGATCCAGTCCTTGTAGCTGTATAAAAGAGGACGTGTTGTACAGGTTGATCATTTTGATTTTATCCCTGGCTGTAGAGTCTATGAACAACATCAAATTTGCAAATATATGAGGGACTTGAAACAAAATATGTATGAAAGCATTTTTAAAAAGTGTCTAATTTACGCTGCTATGCAAGTTTAGCACATTATTTTTATTATAAGCTAAATTTGAGACAAACAAAGGTGTACAATTGCATCAGTGTCGTTTAATCCCAAACACACATTTAGATTAAACTAAAAAGTGAAAAAGCAGATAAAAATACTGTTTTATGATGTCTGATTTGTGGCTGAATTCTGATCAGTTGCATGCTGAGCATCTTCCATCTGGAGAATTGTTCAGACCAGCTGAGATCTTTATAGATGCAATTTCTGCTGAACAGCACACAAACCCCCGGGAGTGTTATCACGTAGATTTTCTCTAGATTGTTCTACACTGCTTCACAAGGGTTCGTGAACAACATGACAAATATAAGTTCAAGTTTTGCAAACATTACAAGAAATTAAAACACTGAGAATATACTCAGTCAAATAAAAACATATTCCAGTGCTAAACAATTAACCTTGTTTTGTTTTTTTAGTTATAGGAGTTGTACATTTGATGTAAAAAATATTTAAACATTTCACAATTGTTGAGATTGAAAAAAAAAAAAACTAGCTGTGGCCATGAGCTCTTTTCAGGCTGTTGGACCCCAGAAGCAGCTGATGGGTTTTGGCAACACAAGCAGAATGCGCCTTTAGTGGTCATTGAGGCAAAAACGTGGGCATGGGAAGAGTTTGATGATGTCACGGAGATCAACTTCCATATTGCTTTGAGGAGATCTAACATCAATCTCATGATTGGGAGGCAGTGCACCACAAGCATGCTGCTGACCTTAACTTGGGATGTTGGTTGGCAGACCACTTCAAAGATCTCCTCAATCCCACCGCTACGTCTTCCAGTGAAAAAGCAGAGTCTAGGGACGTTACGTTAGGCTCTCCAATCTCTGGTGCTGAAATCAGTAAGGTGGTCAGAAAGCACCTTGTGGCAGGGACCTGGGGGTGGAGGAGATTTGCCCAGAGTTCCTTAAGGCTCTGGATGTTGTGGGGCTGTGTTGGTTGATGCGACTCTGCAGTATTGAGCGCACATCAGGGCAGTCCCCCTGGATTGGCAGATGGGTTGGTGGTCCCCCAATTTCAAAAGGAGGATAGGTGGGTGTGTTCCAACTCTAGAGGGATCACACTTCTTAGCCTACATGATAAGCTCTATTCAGGGATTCTGGAGATAAGGGTTCAACATATAGTTGTACTTTGGATTCATGAGGTACAATGTGGCTTTTGTCCTGGTTGTGGACCATGGGCCAGGTCTATACCCTTAGGAGGGTTCTGTAGGGTGCTCAGGGGGTTGCCCAACCAGCTTGCATGTGTTTTGTGGTTTTGGAGAAGCCATTCAACTGTGTTGCTTAGGGAACCATGTGGGGGTCAGCCTGGGAGTATGGGGTACCAGGCCCCATGATACGGGCTATTAGGTCCGTGTATGATCACTGTCCAAGCATTGTCTGCATTGCCAAGAGTAAGTCGGGCTCATTCTTGGTGAGAGGTGCATTCAACTAAGGCTGCCCTTTGTCATCGATTCTGTTGATAACTTTTATAGACAGGATTTGTAGGTGCAGCCAATGTGTTGATGGTGTGTTTATTTATTTTATTTTTTGGTGGATGGAGGATTGGGTCTCGGTTTTTTGTGGATGATGTGATCCGGTTGGTTTGATCAGACCATGGTCTACAACTTTCGCTGGAGCGGTTTGCAGCCAAGTGGATAGTAGGATAAAAGTAATGGAATAAAGATCAGCACCTCTAAATCCATGACCGTGGTCGTTTTAGCCCAAAAAGGTGTTCACGAATTAGGGGAATAATGGAGTGGAAGATCGATAAGTGGATTGGTGCTGCGTCTGCAGTGATGCGGGCGTTGTACTGGTCCGTTGTGAACAGAGAGCTGAGCTGGAAGGTAAAGCTCTCTATTTACAGGTCGATCTTTGTAGCAACTCTCATCTGTGGTTACAAGATTTGGGTAGTGACCAAAAGAATGAGATAACGGAAAGCAGTTGAAATTAGTTTTCTTTGCAGTGGGTCTGGGCTCTCCCTTAGAGATTGGGTGAGAAGCTCAGTTATCCAGGAGGGGCTCGGTGCTGATCTGCTGCTCCTCCACATCGAGAGGAGTCAGTTGAGGTGACTCGGGCATGTGGTTAGGATGCCTACTGGATGCCTGCCTGGTGAAGTTTTCCAGGCTTATCCAACCAGGAGGAGACGCAAAGAAGACCCAGGACATGCTGGAGGGACTATGTCTCTCGGTTGGCTAGCGAACACCTTGGGATTTCCCCGGAAGAGCTGGCCCGGTTTGCGTAATCTCTGGATCATGCTGACTCATCAGGTACCCCAAGTATCTCTAAAAATGTGCTGCTTTTAAATGTAACCATGTAAAAATGACTTCAAATCTGCAGCTATTATTATTTATAAATGCAATTTTTTTTTGCAGATATCTGACCTGATTAGATCTGAGAGATTAAATATCCTTAATCATGAGGAAATTATTTTAATAATAATCAAGAACAAGTGCTGCTGTGTTCATATTTTATTAGCATTATTTCCACAAACCACAAATACGGTAAAAGGGACTGACATGTATTTGTTCATTTTGATTTTGGCAGATACACAAGTGTAATGAAGCTGCATTAACTTGAAGCAAAGGCAAAAAAGAAATGTCTGTATCTGCCAAATTTTGGTTTACAGTTAATTAGCAGTATTTAAATTGTGTGCCCACTGTCAAACGTTGTGTTATCATAACATCCAATAATTTTATAAGCAGATGTCACATTTCTAAAATATGAAAAATAAAAACACGACATCTTATTTACTAGCAAAAATAAAATTAAATCTGCGTAGAGCAAAAACTGAAAAAGCAAAGTTATAGCTTTGCATCAATTTCATTAAAACAATAGCCAAGTAGCTATATGCAAGCATGACAACTTTCATTTTAGCCATCTGTCATCTATGGTATCAAGACATATATGTACAGAGGAGAAGATCCATTAAACATAATTACGATACAGTACATCGAGAAATGTGCAGTTTCTTCCTGAAAACCTTCACTAGTTTTTCACGAATTTCTTTTGTTCTCAGTCCATAGATGATTGGATTTAAAGTCGGGGGGAAGATTAACGTAGAAACACCAATGAATCTTCTTAAATGTGGTGAAATGTTCTGTATCCTGTATGATACGATGGTGAAAAGGCCCAAACACTCCATCATGAGAAAGACAAACAGATGAGTAGCACATGTCTGCAGAGCTTTAGCTTTAGTGTCCGTCTGTTTGGATCTAAAGCACTCAATCAGAATCCGGAGATACGTGAATAAAACCATCCCATTGGCTATGATTTGAGAAAAAGCGCTAATGCACAGTCCATAAATGTTGTTTATTACTGTGTTATCACAAACCATCATCAACAAACTAGAATTATCACAGTAGAGGTTTGACATTTCAGATCTACAGAAGCGCAAACGCAGTAGAAGAATAAAAAGACCTCCAATTAAAACCAGACAGGACGACCACACCAATGTGATTATTTTCATAATGTTAGCGTTAGTCATGAGAGTGTTGTACTGCAATGGGTGACATATAGCAACGTATCTGTCGTACGCCATAGCACTCAGAATAAACACAGAACCGGCTGCATAGATGTGGATAAAGAAGGCTTGTGCGATACAGGAGGAGTAATGGATCATCCTGCTGTTGGTCAGGATCTCTTTGATGAGCAGTGGGAAAAAAGCTGAAGAACCAATCAGGTCATTGACTGGAAGATTCACCAGGAACAGATGCATGGGCTGATGCAGAGATTTGTTCAGCACAATGGTGAGGATCAGAGTGAGGTTGCAGAACAGAATAATCATGTAGTTGAGAGTTGCAAAGAGAAAAGCAGGAAAGGCACTTTCATGTGAAAGATCCAGTCCTTGTAGCTGTATAAAAGAGGACGTGTTGTACAGGTTGATCATTCTGACTGCATCAAATTGGCAAAAAAATGAGACACATGAAAAAAGAAATGTATGAAAGCATAAAAAAAAGTCTAATTTACATTGCTATAAAAGTACACATCAAAATTCTCACTGTTAAAACCTAAATAAAAAGCCTAAAAGCCCATTCAGACAATAGTATCCTAAATACACATTTAGATTTGGAACCATAAGTAACAAACTTTGAAGATACTTTATAGTCAAACTCAAAATTGATAATACAGAGAAAATACTGTTTCTTTTTTCTCTTCTGTTCCGCTTCTGATTTCTGATCAGTGACGTTCTCGAGCATCTTCCATCTGGAAAGTTGATCAAATGAACTGAGAACTTTATAGATGGGATTTCTACCCAACAGCTCACAAACTCTCCTGAGGGTTCTGGGTTGTCAGGTAGATTTTCTTTAGATTGTTTTGCTCCGGTTGTCAGGCAATCATTAACAACACAACAAATATAAATTTAATTATATTTATATTCAATCTAATACAATTAAAATCTCTGAGAAGCTACTTATTCAAATATACATACCTTATAATTGTGAATTATTAATCATTTCTTTTTAGTGATTTAAAGCTTTAAAAATATCATCCATGTTGTAAGTGTGTGTGTGTGTGTGTGGGGGGGGGGGTCTTTTTATTGCTTAAAAAGTTTTAAATTTGGCTTATTTTCAATAATTTCAAAATTATGGTTTAGCTACAAAAACATTTTTATCATATGCATGTGTCCATTGTATCCCAACCTACTGGTTTTTGGGTGATGTTTACAGAGTCAGAAGTGACCAAATCAGAACATTGATCATATAATATTTGTGCATCCTGATTTCTGTTAAAGGCACAAAAGAGTTTTTTTTTCCTAATGTGGCAAATGTGCATCTTCTGAAAGAGCTTAAAGCGCCTCTGCACGTTTTGTTGTGGTCTTGAATAAAGTCAGAAAGCCTTGTTTCTTCCTTGGGGGAGATACAAAATATCAAAAGCTCATGAGCAGATATTTACACGCTTTCCCTCTGACTGTTTCAGAGCTTGGGTGATGGTTACCTGGGATAATGTCTGATTTCAAAATCCCTTCTGCTGGGCTTAGGGCTGTAGCGACGCCTCGATGACGTCGACGGCTCGATTCTAAAAATTTGTCGACGTCAGATCCGGTAGTCGACGCACCGCGCCCACTTGTTGCATCCACAGGAGTTTGTAAATAGAGGTGGAATCTGCCTGTTTTTCCTCCTCTAGTTCGCCCTCTTCTCCGCCTTCACTAACATCTCCACCAAATACCGAAGACCCGGAATAATGTCCGTCCGCTACTAGATTCCTTTCCTGTTTTGACCGCCTTTGTCTCCCGGCAACGGACAACAACTTCCGGGGTCAGATGCGCTGCTCCGTCTCTACCGCAGATGTAGAACATCACCGGGAGCGTTTCTCCCTTCATGAGGGAGCTTCTTTCAGACATTAGGAGAGCTGTTTTGGTGTTAGCAGTCTCTCCTCCGTGCTGGTCTGTTTGCTGCTGGGTATTTTTGGTTTATTTAAACTTGGTAACTTGAACTTAACGTTGGTAAAGCTACTGTTAGCATGTTCGCTAACAGCTTCTTGCGTTTGGATAAGCTGTTACGTTTTGGTTTAGAGTTAATCTTTTTTTGTGGCGTAGATCTCCCTTTTATTACATTTAGAGTGTTGTGGGTTTTCGGTTTAGTTTAAAATATCACCTTTAGTTTGGTTTAACCACCCAGTTTAGAGTTGGACCTTTGGACATCCTTATTTTGGTCCAGAACCCAGTAATCTTTGCCCAGTGTGACATTCCTAGTTATTTGTATTTTTGTTTTAATTCCCCACAGGCATAATTAGTTTTATTATTCCCAACCTGTGGATGGAAAGGTTTATGTTTTTTTGTAGTTGTAAATAAACCTGATCATCATTTTAACTTTTAAATCCTGTTATTGTCCCTTCCTTTTTGCACATGAGCCAAACTCCCCAGGAAGGGTTGTAACACCACTCGCCTCACGCACATTACTGACCAAAACAAAGTAGCATGGAGACACTCCATCTTCAACCACCTCTCAGGCAGCAGCCTGCACTCCCAAGTTCTACACGTCACCAGAACATAACCAACCGCAACACAATAAAAGCAGTGTTATACAAAATGGAAGGCCTGTAGTGTTTATTCTCTTACAGTAACAATTTATCAATTTTTTTGAGGATTTTATTAGAGATTTTGTCAGAAAGGGTTATAGTTATGGCAGTTTTACAAGATACATTTGTAAAGTTACCCCACTCTTATTTTGGTGGTCCAGTTTGTGACATCACTTCCTCTAGATAGTCACTTCCTGTAAAGCCGTTTCTACCATTTTGTCTAAGCTGTTGGTGATGGCAGACAGCCGCGTGTGCGTTCATGACTGATATGTAAGTTTGGCCAACCGTAGCACCTCTATGGATACATAAATAACCTATAAGTTTATTCAGTTTCCTTTATGTCTGTCTGGACATATTGTTTGGATTATTTAGAGGGAGTTCCTACAGTTTAATTGGTATCAGTTGCTATTCTCGCTTGTAGTCCTCATTTCACTTCTCTTAATTTGTGTTATGTGTGCTAAATACTGGTTTATTTGAGTTTTATTCCATTTACTCCATGTGTATCCATCCATGACGTCAGTTCAGTTGAGGTGTGGTATAATGCCAGGCTAATTGGCAGCATGGTTTAGTAGTGTGGTACTTGCAACAGCAGTACCTTGCTTTGACCACCAGAGGTCCCTGGAGACCATATAATTTGTCAGTGCCTCTGAGCCTGGAAGTCACAATATTTACTCTGTGTAACCCTTGAATGTGCATCATTTGGGAATATATTTGTTTTTGCTTAGTCTTAAACGTTGGCATATTTATTTCACCATTTGTACAGTCCTTTTACATCATTCTTTGTATTTATTTTCCAGACCACACGGAACCACAGAAATGTACAGATGTCCATACTTCAACTGTCATTAAATACGTAAAACTGTCTCTCCGTGCCCTGCTCTCTGACCGGAGCCCTTATCTTGAAGATACTGTCAGATCAGCAAATAACTTCCAGAGTTCCCACTCTATCACATGGTCCTTCGAGCCGGATCCACAGTCATCTAGAGATATTATGGAGGAGCTAGGACAACCATCTGACCCAGCAGTGCGTTCTAGATCCCAGCGGGAGAGACGACTACCAACGTATTTGGAGGACTATGAAGTTGGATACCAACCTCAACTTCTCCATCATCCAGCAGCCCAAGCTCCAGCTGGGCATGAAGCTCATCCTCCAGATCAACCTGCAATGATGACAGCTGCCATCACTGAAGCCATACCTAGCCTACCTAGTTGGAGAGCATCATCAGATCGAAGCCAACCTGTCTCTCAGCGCAGTAAAGCTAAGACCCAGGGCAGCGCCAGTTCGTCAACAAGGAGGTCAATCATCGATGGGTTATCTGACATACAGACAGCCATGTTGGAGGAGAGAATAAAGCGCATGGAGTTGGCAGAGGTGCAAAGACAGATAATGGAGGAAAGTCTGATGGATGAACAGTACCAGCATCTGGACCAGCAAGCTCGGGAAGCCCTCAGAAGAAGAGAGGAACTCCTAAGAGAACAAGAAATACAGAGGCGTAAGCTTGATGAAGAGGCAGAAATAGCATTAAAGGCAAAGGAGGCTATTACCAGACGGCTAATGCTGCAACGCAAACTAAAGGAAAAGGAAATAGAGTTCGAGAAAGCGACTCTCATTACATCCCTCCTGAAGGAGGAAACAAGCAGCTCTGTTGCCTCAAGACCGCAAAGTGGAGATGAATCCAACAAAGGGTCCCCAGCTGACGTCATGGGAGTACCACCACCCTCACAAGGTGCACATGGACCTGCACACTCTGCTCCTACAGTTATTGGCCCTCCACCAGCCTTTACAGCAGCAGTGCCTAATCCTCCTGTCTCAACAAGCCAATTAACAACTAGAGCTTCACCTGTCCTTCAACCGCAACCTCCTGCCATGGTAAACCTGCCGACCCAGCCACAATTCACATACTCCACGATAGCTCCGCCCACCACAGCACATACCATCCCTCAGCCTGGTACGACACTATCAGTTGGTGCTATATTACCTCGTGCTGGACCACCAGCCTTAACAGTGCAGTCCACTGCTCCCCTAAACACGCTACCAGCAGTCTATAACCAGGCTCCACATCAGCATGTACCCTGGTCTTATTCACAACAACAGCCAGTACAACCTGATGCAGCCCTGCAGCATCACTCTCCTCCCAGCATACCACCTTTGCCACAAGAGACAGCTCCTCCTCCAGGCTCAATCGCTGCACCTAGTACAGACATAATGGAGCTATTAATAGCTACTTCATATGGACTTCCTAAGCCTGCTTTACCCTACTTCACATCTGGAAGAGAGGCAGACTTTGCACTGCTCAAGATGGCTCTAGATAACCTGCTAAGCTCACATGCTCACCTCACCGAACCATTTAAATATCAAGTGTTGTTGCAGCATTTGAAGCTGCCTAGTGCTCACAAGCTAGCACAAGCCTTTATGTATGACCCGAAACCATACACATCGGCCCTACAGGCACTTCAAGATAAATACGGGCAATCCCGCCAGCTTGTGCAAAGTGAGCTAGGAGCCATCCTAAACTTACCTCCAGTTAGGGTTGGTGATCCAGATGGATTTGACAATTTTGCCCTCTCAGTACAAGCTTTAGTAGGCATGCTCCGATCGCTAGAGGGTGAAAATGGCTACGAACTCAAATGTGGCTCTCATGTTGATAGGCTACTTAACAAATTGCCCGCTAACTACAGAGACAGCTTTGTTGAGTATAGCTTGAATCGTGGCATTCTGACAACTGGGACTGATAAGACTTATACCCTGTCAGATTTCTCCACATGGCTCCAGTTGAAATCACAAGCCAAGCGAATCGCCGCTAGAGCAGCGTACATGTGTCAAGATCAACCAAAGCTGAGGAATCAGAAGAAACCTCAAGGTCCTTCATCCAATGTGTACTACAACACAGAGAGCCAGGCTAAAGCCACACCTCCAGATCCAGCTGGCCATATAAGATCACCTAAGCCTAAATCAGGTCCTAAACCTTACTGCCCTTATTGTGACGACAGAGGACATTACCTGAGCCTGTGTCCTAAATTCAAAGCTCTTTCAGCAGCTGAAATTGCCACATGGATCAAACACAGAAGCTGCTGGCGGTGCGGCAGGAATCATGCACCTGAGGTTTGCACTCTAAAGAAGCCCTGTAAATTATGTAAGCAACAACATCTTACTGTGCTCCATGACGTGTGCCCTCAAGAACCTAAAAAGGTGTTAATGGTCAACGCTGCTCCCAATACAGTGTACATTGACCGTCCAAATCGCCCAAATAAAGTCATGCTCAAGTTGGTCAAAGTATGTCTACACAATGCTGAGTATTCCCTGGAAGGCTTTGCTATCCTCGATGACGGGTCCGAGAGGACTCTTATCCTCCCATCAGCAGTGCGATGCCTCCATCTGACTAAAAAGCCTGAAAACCTTCCCCTGCGCACTGTCCGCCATGAGGTGATTCACCTTCAGGGAGCAACAGTTTCATTTGAAATATCTCCAGTTCACACTCCCAAAGTAAAGTACAGCATTCACCATGCCTTCACTGCTGATGAACTAAGTCTCTCAGAACACAGCTACCCTGTAAAGTCACTCATGCGAAAGTACTCCCATCTGGGAGGACTTCCACTTCCACTTGTGGACAGAGTGCAGCCTTTACTTCTTATTGGGTCTGATTTCCCTCATCTACTCATCCCTAGGCAACCAGTAATAGCTGGCCCACCTGGGAGCCCCCTAGCAGTGTGCACTCCTCTTGGTTGGACATTACAAGGCCCAGCCAACTTCAGTCCTGTTTCTGCTGACCACCCACACTGCTACTTCACCACGTCTCCCAACTCAGAGCTCCAGCGCCATGTAGAACGTCTGTGGGAAGTTGACATCTCGCCTTATGTGAACATAAAGACTGCCACGTGTTCTAAAGAGGATCAACAGGCTGTGGACCTGTTAGAGCAACGCACCACTAAAGTGGAAGTGGATGGAGTGACTAGATATGCTACTCCACTTCTCAGGCGCAAGGATAGTCCCCTCCTCTGGGCATCAAAGAACACTTTGCTCCCACAGCTACGTAGTACTGAACGTCGTCTAGCTAAAGATCCAGCTCTGGCAGATACCTACTGTCAAGAAATCCATAAACTTGAACAGTTAGGTTATGCCAAACCCCTTCCTTCAGCTACAGTAGACAGCTCCCAGGAGTCATGGTATCTGCCTCACCATGCTGTCCACCATAATGGAAAGGCAAGAATTGTCTACAACTGTTCCTACCAACACAATGGACACTGTCTAAACAGCCAGCTCCTGCCCGGGCCGACCCTAGGTCCTTCACTTCTCTGCGTACTTCTTCGGTTCCGAGAACACAGTGTGGCTGCCAGCGGTGACATCAAAGCAATGTTCCACCAAGTTTGCTTACTACCAGAAGACAAACCGCTGCTCCATTTCTTGTGGAGAGGTATGAAGAGAGAGGAGGAACCAACTGTATATGAGTGGCAGGTTCTGCCATTTGGAACAACGTGCAGTCCTTGCTGTGCAACATATGCCCTCCAGAGGCATGTGAAGGACAACAGTAAGGGGCATGAAGACATCCTGCATACAGTTGAAAGCGCACTTTATGTGGTCAACTGTCTAACAAGCATCACCACTGCTGATAAAGCTAAAGCCCTAGTTGACCGACTGCGCAGTCTGCTCTCTGCTGGAGGGTTCGATATAAGGCAGTGGGCCAGCAACGATCCAACTGTTTTGGAACACCTTCCTGCTGAAGCCAAAGCAGCTAGTTCCGAGCTGTGGCTTTCCCAATCCCGACAAGACCCAGAGGAACCAGCTTTAGGCCTACGTTGGAACTGCCTCTCTGATCACCTCGGCTACAGACACCGACCGGTAGAGTATTCTCAGCCGACCCTGAGAAACATCTACAAGGTGATGGCCACGCAGTATGACCCACTGGGGTATCTTATCCCATTCACCACTCGAGCCAAGATCCTCATCCAGGACCTGTGGAAAGTGGGAGTCGACTGGGATGAGCAGATTCGACCCAAGGCTCTACTGGAAATATGGACACAATGGGAGAGCGAGCTGGTCTACCTCCCACAAGTGGAAATCCCAAGATGCTATGTTCCAGCAACCTTGGCCCCTGAAGTGCCTAACAGACAAGCGCACATCTTCTGCGATGCCTCCGAAAGAGCCTACGGAGCAGTCGAGTATATTCAAACTCCCGATAACCAGGGCAATGTTCACATTGCATTTATGATGGCTAGATCTCGTGTTTGCCCTCGGAAACAGCTGTCAATGCCACGCCTTGAATTGTGCGCAGCTCTAGCCGGGGCTCAGCTAGCTAAGGTCACAATGACAGAGCTGTCATTCTCTCCCCAGCAGATAACACTATGGACCGACTCAACTACAGTGTTGACATGGCTGAAATCAGACTCAAGTCGATACAAGGTTTTTGTTGGAACGAGGGTTGCTGAAATTCAAGAACTTACCGAAGGGTCAACTTGGCGGTATGTCAGCACCTCTGATAATCCAGCAGATGACCTTACCCGCGGGAAGACACTCCATGAGCTCAGTCAGCCCAACCGGTGGAGTCAGGGTCCACAATTTCTTCACCAGCCTATTGACACCTGGCCAGAGCTACAAATGGAAGTAGCTCAGGAAGAAGATGAGGATGAGCTACGCAAGACAGTGTTTTGTGCAGCAGCTACCTGTCCTTCTCATGAAGTGGATGCTACTAACATCGACAACTGGGATGACCTCGTTAGAGCCACTCATATGAGCCTTCACGGGGCGGCCAAAGACCTGGTGAGCCCCACCATGACAGCTGCAGATGTACAAGAAGCTGAACTACATCTCCTACGACAATCCCAAAGTGAGACCTTCCAGGAAGAGGTGAAACTCCTTGCTGTGGGGAAGTCCATCTCCAAACAAAGCCGTCTAATCATGCTTGCTCCTGAGTATGATATAGCTGTCGGGCTGATAAGAGTGGGAGGCAGGCTGCGAAGAGCAGAAGATCTGGATCTAGATTCCATGCATCCAATTATCCTTGACCCAAAACATCATGCTACCAGGCTCCTCATCAAGAAATATGACAACCAGCTCCTGCATCCAGGTCCCGAGCGTGTGTTCGCTGAAATTCGGAGAAGATACTGGATCCTACGCGGAGGAGAATCCATCAAACGGCATCAGTACAGCTGTGTGGAATGTCAAAAGTGGCGTGCTAGTCCTGTAGTCCCACAAATGGCAGACCTTCCCCCAGCAAGACTCCGTCTATACAAGCCACCTTTCTGGTCTACCGGAGTGGACTGCTTCGGCCCTTACAATATCAAGGTGGGTCGACGCACAGAGAAGCGATGGGGGATCATCTTTAAATGCATGACAACGAGTTGTGTGCACATCGACCTGCTGGAGAGCATTGACACTGATGCTTTTCTGATGGGATTACGTCGCTTCATCGCTCGACGTGGCAAGCCCTTTGAAATCCTGGCCGACAGAGGGACCAATTTCCGAGGTGGAGCGGCTGAACTACAGACCAGCTTCCAAACTTTAGAAGCACCTATCCAAAAGCAGCTGGCTGGACAGAAAACAGAGTTCCGATTCAACCCGCCAGGTTCCCCTCATTTTGGGGGGACATGGGAACGGGAGATCAAGTCAGTGAAGGCAGCCCTTCGAGTGGTACTGCAGGACCAAACTGTCACAGAATCTGTTCTGCAGACGGTTTTGATTGAGGTGGAGGGAATTCTCAATGCGAAGCCACTGGGATATATATCCTCGGATGCTACTGATCCAGACCCAGTCACCCCGAACTTACTACTCATGGGACGTCGTGATGCATCGCTTCCACAAGCCATTTACGCTTCCAGTGAACTCCTGGGCAGACGGCGATGGCGACACAGCCAGGTCCTGGCAGACCACTTCTGGTCCAACTTTATTCGCTACCATCTTCCTAACCTACAGAAGCGACACAAGTGGCACAAGAATACAGAGAATCTTGCAGCTGGACAGGTTGTGATGGTGGTCGATTCACAACTGCCCAGGGCCCAGTGGCCGATCGGGAGGATTGTCAAGACATGTCCAGGCTCAGACGGTCGAGTCAGGGCAGCTGAAGTGAGGATAAAGGGACAGACTTATCTTCGACCAGTTGTGCGCCTGGTGCGACTGCCAGCTTGGGAAGATGAAGATGACTCTGGCTGAACACCTGATAAGACTTTCCTCTAGTTTTCGAATTTATAACTAAATTCGGGGGCGGCTATGTCAGAAAGGGTTATAGTTATGGCAGTTTTACAAGATACATTTGTAAAGTTACCCCACTCTTATTTTGGTGGTCCAGTTTGTGACATCACTTCCTCTAGATAGTCACTTCCTGTAAAGCCGTTTCTACCATTTTGTCTAAGCTGTTGGTGATGGCAGACAGCCGCGTGTGCGTTCATGACTGATATGTAAGTTTGGCCAACCGTAGCACCTCTATGGATACATAAATAACCTATAAGTTCATTCAGTTTCCTTTATGTCTGTCTGGACATATTGTTTGGATTATTTAGAGGGAGTTCCTACAGTTTAATTGGTATCAGTTGCTATTCTCGCTTGTAGTCCTCATTTCACTTCTCTTAATTTGTGTTATGTGTGCTAAATACTGGTTTATTTGAGTTTTATTCCATTTACTCCATGTGTATCCATCCATGACGTCAGTTCAGTTGAGGTGTGGTATAATGCCAGGCTAATTGGCAGCATGGTTTAGTAGTGTGGTACTTGCAACAGCAGTACCTTGCTTTGACCACCAGAGGTCCCTGGAGACCATATAATTTGTCAGTGCCTCTGAGCCTGGAAGTCACAATATTTACTCTGTGTAACCCTTGAATGTGCATCATTTGGGAATATATTTGTTTTTGCTTAGTCTTAAACGTTGGCATATTTATTTCACCATTTGTACAGTCCTTTTACATCATTCTTTGTATTTATTTTCCAGACCACACGGAACCACAGAAATGTACAGATGTCCATACTTCAACTGTCATTAAATACGTAAAACTGTCTCTCCGTGCCCTGCTCTCTGACCGGAGCCCTTATCTTGAAGATACTGTCAGATCAGCAAATAACTTCCAGAGTTCCCACTCTATCACAGATTTTTTGGTTTTTATTAACTGTGCAATAGAAAAATAATCATTAGATTAATTGTCTAAATAGTCATTAGAATAGTCGACTATTCGATAAAATAATCGTCAGAATAATCGTTTTAAAAATAATCGTTTACCCCCAGCCCTAGCTGGGCTACTGCATAGGTAACGTCGTCATCTTCCTCCGCTTATCCGGGTCGCGGGGGCAGCAACCCAACTAGGGAGCTCCAGACCGTCCTCTCCCCGGCCTTCTCCACCAGCTCCTCCGGCAGGACCCCAAGGCGTTCCCGGGCCAGATTGGAGATGTAACCTCTCCAACCTGTCCTGGGTCGACCCGGGGGCCTCCTGCCGGCAGGACATGCCCGAAACACCTCCCCGGGGAGGTGTCCAGGAGGCATCCTGACCAGATGCCAAAACTACCTCAGCTGGCTCCTTTCGATCCGGAGGAGCAGTGGTTCTACTCCGAGTCCCTCCCGAATGTCCAAGCTCCTCACCCTATCTCTAAGGCTGAGCCCGGCCACCCTACGGAGGAAACTCATTTCGGCCGCTTGTATACGTGATCTCGTTCTATCGGTCATTACCCAAAGCTCATGACCATAGGTGAGGATTGGGACGTAGATCGACCGGTAAATTGAGAGCCTGGCTTTCTGGCTCAGCTCCCTCTTCACCACGACAGGTCGGCTCAGCGTCCGCATCACTGCAGACGCTGAACCAATCTGCCTGTCGATCTCCCGATCCCTCCTACCCTCACCCGTGAACAAGACCCCGAGATACTTAAACTCCTCCACTTGAGGTTGGACCTCTCCCCCGACCCAGAGTTGGCAATCCACCCTTTTCCAGTCGAGAACTCTGGTCTCAGATTTGGAGGTGCTGATCCTCATCCCAGCCACTTCACACTCGGCCGCGAACCTACACAGCAAGAGCTGAAGGTCAGAGCTGGATGAAGCTAGGAGGATCACATGTTTATGTTCATGTTTATTTATTTAGCAGACGCTTTTATCCAAAGCAACTTACAATTTATAAACTATAGGGCATGTTGTGATCTGTGGGGGAAACCGGAGTACCTGGAGGAAACCCACACATGCATTGGGAGAACACGCAACTCCACGCAGAAAGGCCTCAGCTGAGTTTCGAACCTGCAACTTTTGTGCTGCGAGGCAACAGTGCTAACCACTGCGCCACCATGCAACCCCACATCATCCGCAAAAAGCAGAATCAAGATTCTCCTGCCACCAAACTCGACATACTCCACACCATGGCTGCGCCTAGAAATTCTGTCCATAAAGGTAATGAACAGAACCGGTGACAAAGGGCGGCCCTGGTGGAGTCCAACCCTCACTGGGAACAGGTCCGATTTACTACCGGCTATGCGGACCAAACTCACGCTCCTCTGGTAAAGGGACTGAATGGCCCTTAACAGAAAGCCACCCACCCCATACTCCTGGAGTGTCCCCCACAGGTTGCCCCTGGGGATGCGGTCATAAGCCTTCTCCAAATCCACAAAACACATGTGGATTGGTTGGGAAAACTCCCATGCCCCCTCCATCACCCTTGCAAGGGTATAGAGCTGGTCCACAGTTCCACGGCCAGGACGAAAACCACATTGCTCCTCCTCAATCTGAGATTCAACTATCGATCGGACCCTCCTCCCCAGTACCTTGGAGTAGACCTTTCCAGGGAGGCTGAAGAGTGTGATCCCCCTATAGTTGGAACACACCCTCAGGTCACCCTTCTTAAAGATGGGGACCACCACCCCGGTCTGCCACTCCACAGGAACTGCCCCCGATGACCATGCAATGTTGCAGAGATGTGTCAACCATGACAGCCCTACAACATCCATAGCCTTGAGATACCCAGGACGAACCTCATCCGCCCCCGGGGCTCCGCTGCTATGTAGTTGTTTGACTACCTCAGCAACTTCTGCCCCCGAGATTGGACAGTCCATCCCCAGGTCTCCCGGCTCTGGTTCCTCCTTGGAATGCGCATAGGTGGGATTGAGGAGCTCTTCAAAGTATTCCTTCCACCCTCCGACTATAGCCCCAGTTGACATCAGCAGCTCCCCATCCCCACTGTAAACAGTGTGAGCGAGTTGCTGCCTTCCTCTCCTGAGGCGCCAGACAGTTTGGCAGAACCTCTTTGGAGTCGATCGATGTTCTTTCTCCATGGCCTCACCAAACTCCTCCCATGCCCGAGATTTTGCCTCGGCAACTGCCACTGCAGCACCCCGCTTGGCTATCCGGTACCTGTCTTCTGCCTCCGGAGACCCACAGACCAGCCACGTTCTGTATGTCTCCTTCTTCAGCTTGACGGCTCCCTGAACCTCTGGTGTCCACCAGCGGGTACAGGGTTTGCCACCACGAATGGCACCGGCCACCTTGCGACCACAGCTAGCAACAGCCGCCTCAACAATCGCAGAGTGGAAGAAGGCCCACTCGGTGTCAATGTCCCCCACTGCTCTTGGGACGCGGTCAAAGCTCTGCCGGATGTGGGAGTTGAAGACCGTCTTAACAGGTTCTTCTGACAGGCGTTCCCAGCAGACCCTCACTATGCGTTTGGGTCTGCCAGGTCTACGCGGCATCTTCCCCTGCCATCTGATCCAACTCACCACCAGGTGGTGATCAGTTGACAGCTCTGCTCCTCTCTTCACTCGGGTGTCCAAAACATATGGCCGCAGGTCAGATGATACGACTACAAAGTCTATCATTGACCTGCGACCTAGGCTGCCCTGGTACCAAGTGTACCGATGGGCATCCTTATGTTCGAACAAGGTGTTCGTTATGGCCAAACTGTGGCTTGCACAGAAGTCCGATAACAAAACACCACTTGAGTTCAGATCAGATTCCTCCCAATCACACCCCTCCAGGTCAAGCTGTCATTGCCCACGTGAGCATTGAAGTCCCCCAGCAGGACAATGGAGTCCCCTGATGGAGCACTATCTAGCACTCGTCCCAGGGACTCCAAAAAGGGTGGGTACTCTGAACTGATATCTGGCCCATAAGCACATACAACAGTCAGGACCCGTTCCCCGATCCGAAGGTGCAGGGAAGCTACCCTCTCGTCCCCCGGGGTAAACCCCAACACACAGGCAGAGAGTCTTGGGGCTAACAAAAAGCCAACCCCAGCCCTCCGCCTCTCACCCGGAGCAACTCCAGCAAAGGAGAGTGTCCAACCCCTCTCAAGGACTTGGGCTTCAGAGCCAATGCTATGTGTCGAGGTGAGTCCGACTATATCCAGCCGGTACCGCTCAACCTCTGCCACAAGCTCCTTCTCCTTCCCTGCCAGCGAGGTGACGTTCCATGTCCCAAAAACCAGTTTTGTTGTCTGGGGATCGGACCGCCAAGGCTCCCGCCTTGGTCTGCCACCCGATCCACATTCCACCGGACCCTTCATGTTCCTCCTGCAGGTGGTGGGTCCACAGTTGGATGAGCCCATGTATCCGGTTCGGGCTGGGCCTGGCCTGGCCCCATGGGCAAAAGCCCGGCCACCAGGCGCTCGCTCACGGGCCCCAAACCCAGGCCTGGCTCCAGGGTGGGACCCCGGTAACCCTCCGGGCCGGGTACTCCGACTCTGTGAATGCATTTATCAGAAGTTGAAAATGGATGCTCAGAGAAAATACTTTCATTCTGTCATTTGACAGATAACTAAGATATTAAAGTCTTTTTTTTTCTTCCACAAAATAGAAATATTTAGCAATTTTTTGAAATGCTGTTGTATCTAAAGCAACTGTAACTGAAATGTTGTTATTAAAGGCACAAAAAGTAAGTTTTTCATATTTTAAAATAATTTTCTTGAGCTGGTAGGTGCTAAAACGACCCTTTACAAGGTTAATGAAAACCCTAACTCCAAAATCTCACAAAATCACATCTCACAAGACGTTATATATACCGGGGGGAGGGGAGTCATGCATCAGAGAAAATACTTGAGATACACTGGTGTAATGTCCAGAAATGGTCAATTTTCACCTACAGATTGACCTATATGCCACCAGTCATCTGCAGACCTGACTCTATTCTCCAAGGTGGATGTTACACTCTATCTTCCTAAAAGTCCAGAAGGATACCGCAACCTTCTTGACATTTCAGGAGGAACACGTTGTCGGCCTGTGTTCCTAAACAAAGCCTTCTATGATAACACCGCAAGAGTGCCCACTCTCTCAATAAAGTGAATGTTTTCAAGAAAAGAAATTAACAAATGTTATATGGACAATAATAATAGTGTTTCATTAATCTGTGCTTGAATTATTGAAATGAAATGAAGTATTACATTGAATGATTTATATATATATATATATATATATATGGTAATCAGTAATGTTTGATATGACAAGGCAATGGTCAACCGCACGCAGACACAAGGATAAATTAAAGTTAAGTTAAACTCATGACACATAGATATTTCACACATAGATATTTCTTTACCCCAGATCAGAGCATCCGGTATCTCAAGAAGGCGTGTTTTCTGAGGTTCTTGGTAAAACTCTTCTTACATGGCTGATTCTGATTTGTTAGTAAATCATAACATGAGAATATTAAAACAGAATCACTGTGGTGATTAAGCAGTCGCATTCCAGCTGTCCATGATTCAACATTCAGTTCTAGAGAGTGCTTCGGAACGGCCGTCTGGAGCGACACCTCTTTAATCCTGAGCATTTTTGGCAAGCTGCCAAAACCCTGCTAAAAGCTGCCTACCTCTGACACAGCAAATGGTTCCTGCAGAACAAAGCTGATATTGTTCTGACTCCTAAAGAGTCCTCCTAGACCCCACGGTTCAATCCATCTGTCGTGACCCGGGACATCTCTGGACTGGAGAGTTGGTGCTACGGGTATTCAACAGCCCTCTGTGCCTAGAGGTCATCCGACCTCCCTGACCTTCGTATCCATGAAGAGGGTCTCCAAGAAAGGGTGAAGTAGACACACAGATAGCATCTGATGCCTTATTTATAATAATCTACTTTATAGCTTAACGCAAACCAAATTCTACCCTTTTGCACCCAGAACTCAGCTCTCCTAGATACAAAAAATCTGATAACATCATATTCACTCATAGGCACCACACATCACATCTCCTCCATCTACGTAGATCCATCCATCACAGTAAATATTAGATAACTTGTCATGCTTAATTGTTTGGAAAATAAATTCTTACTTTTATAAACCTGAGTCTTTCCTTGAATCAAGACGAAGCGTTCTACAATCCCTGAATAAACAAAGAATCCTATCTGATTATACATCCAAAGACCAAGCAGGTTGATGTTCTATATTTATATAGAGTATCACAGCTTATTGGTCATAAGTAAAGGTAATATGTTAAGCTTTTAAAGCACTAAATTTACCAACTATTACACTGGATTAAGGTGTTAAAAAGACGAGCGTACAGTGAGGTACAGCAGATTCGTTTTTACAACGGACAAATTAAAACGGACACTAGGGGTTGTTAAAGCATGCCAAAACTTACTTTGTTTCCCTTTAAAATGTAATTGCACACTTGCATTGTTTGCAATGTTTACTTCAAAGTGTCTCTCTAATAGACCAGCCAGATCCTCCTCTACGTTACTCTTGAACCTCCCCTGACTATGATGTATCAGTAGTAGAGAGAAGAAAAATAAAAGATGTTTTAATTAATTAATTTATTTTTTTTAGAATGCCTTTATTCACAAATGAGAGAGATAAAAATGTAAGAGTAGATAGAAAAGGGGCCTACAGGCTAGGACGTAAGCATTTATAAAACACTTCAATGAAGCAATTTAAAAGTTGACATATTGCAAACTCCGACATTGCATACGCCAACTCCGGGTCGGGAGAGAGGTCCTACCTCAAGTGGAGGAGTTTAAGTATCTCTGGGTCTTGTTCACGAGTAGGAGGGATCGGGAGATCGACAGGCGGATTGGTTCAGCGTCTGCAGTGATGCGGACGCTGAGCCGATCTGTCGTGGTGAAGAGGGAGCTGAGCCAGAAAGCCAGGCTCTCAATTTACCGGTCGATCTACGTCCCAGTCCTCACCTATGGTCATGAGCTTTGGGTAATGACCGAAAGAACAAGATCGCGGATACAAGCGGCCGAAATGAGTTTCCTCCATAGGGTGGCCGGGCTCAACCTTAGAGATAGGGTGAGGAGCTTGGACATTCGTCAGGGACTCGGAGTAGAACCGCTGCTCCTCCGGATCGAAAGGAGCCAGTTGAGGTGGTTTGGGCATCTGGTCAGGATGCCTCCTGGACGCCTCCCCGGGGAGGTGTTTCGGGCATGTCTTACCGGCAGGAGGCCCCCGGGTCGACCCAGGACACGTTGGAGAGGTTACATCTCCAATCTGGTCCGGGAACGCCTTGGGGTCCTGCTGGAGGAGCTGGTGGAGAAGGCCGGGGAAAGGACAGTCTGGAGCTCCCTAGTTGGGATGCTGCCCCTGCGACCCGGACCCGGATAAGCGGAGGAAGACGACGACGACGACATATTGCATTTACATACTAAAAGTGCTAGGAATACGTGAATATTTTTTCTGGACATAACGATGATCCACCTGGTCATGGTGAAGTTCACATTCAAAGTCTTTTAGATTTTTAACAATAGGTGTCACAGCACTGTCGAACAACATGACTGGAAGTAGAAGTGTTGTGCCCATAATCACATCCCATTACACAAATAGCTCTACATTTTTTTACTTTACTTTTCATTTTTCAGCAGGAGTTTGGAAAAACTTTATTTTTTCCTGACACTTCCAGTCATTTTACTGGACCAGCTCAGTGATCCAGTTGTAGAGTGTCCGTTCTGAGACTAGGAGATCAGGGTTCAAGTCCTGGTTGGGTCATACCAGAGTCGATAAAATGAACCCAATGCCTCCCTGCTTGACACTCAACATTAAGGGGTTGGATTGGGGGGGGGGGGGGGGGGGACCACCAAATGGTTCCTAAGCGCAACTGTGTCTGCAGCTCACCGCGCCCCCAAGGGATGGATCAAATGTGGAGAACAAATTTTGCTCACACATCTGTGTGTGTGACAACTAATGGGACGTTAACTTTAACTTTAATTTTACTGGTGCAAAGTGGGCCCACTTGTCCAAAAACATTAAAAAAAATAAACTGATGTTAGATGCCAGCCAGTGAGAAAGAAGGAATAGAAAATGTTAGAAACATTTCTTATTTACTAGTTAAAATGTAAAAGTTAAAATGACAAAAGAACAAACTTGCAGTTAACCATTTATATTTATTAAGATTATGGTGTCCTAACCTGCATGTGATTGATTATATATAATAACATATTTATAAAGATTTTTATTCTTGCACCATTATGGAATGCATATTCCATAAAATAGTATTGCAACAACAAATTTCTCATTTTTTTATAAGAATGAAGTAAAAAAAAAAAGATACACAAAAGTGATGTACCGGTATATGAATTAAATTGACAGCATTAAATGGTAACTTTCTTTGTTTTGCAATGCATGTTTCATTACTTATCATTCCATGAACAAAATAAGACAATTTGTTGGGTCAACTGTCATTTTCCTGTAAGTTTACAATTCTGACAAAGCTTCATCTCATGATAATGTCAGATGAGTTGTTGTTAGAAAATGTGCCAAAACCCGTATTTCAGAGTCATTTTCACGTAAAACACACACACGTTGAGTTTCAAACTCGTATTAATTGTATGCCTGTGTTTGTTTAGCTCTTCCTATGAGAGTGCATCAAAGAAACATACAGAAAGAGCTTCTGTTCTTCAACACCCTTAGGAGCGTGTTCCGTATTTCGTTTGTGTACAGCCCATACACGATAGGATTCAGAACTGGAGGCACTAGAAATATCAACATGCCCATTATCTTTTGTAAGTCCATGGAAACATTTTTAAACCTATGAGATAAAATGGTAAAAGTCCCCACAACCTCAAATATAACCAGTATGACCAACTGTGCCACACAGGTGTTGACAGCTTTTGTTTTTGCATTGCACTTCCTTCTTCCCACACACATGATCAGAATTTTGATATAAGACAGTGCTTGGATGGACACGCTTGCAGCTTGCATGACAGCTGTATTGAACAACCCGATGATATTGTTGACTGTCGTGTTTCCACACGTGAGCTTCAAGAGAGATGGGTTGTCACAATAGACGTTCGTAATAACAGATCTACACCTGGGGAGTCTTGTCTGCAATGAAAACAGCGATAGAATCAGGATGAAGTCACAACTCCAAACTAGACTGATGATAAAAACCACCAGTCTTGGAGTCATGATTGAGCTGTAACGTAGCGGCATGCAGATGGCAACGTAACGATCAAAAGACATCGCTGCAAGGATAAACAGAATGCCTCCACCGTACATGTGCAGCACAAATGCTTGTAGAACACAGAGCGGATAATAGATTTTGTGTGTCTCTGTGAGAATATCTGAAAGTAGTCGTGGCAGCATTGCAGTCATTCCTATGAAGTCATTGAGTGGCAGACTAAGCAGGATGAAGTACATTGGCTTATGAAGATTCTTCTTCAAAATGATTAACAGCACCAGGGTCAAGTTGCAGAACACGCTGAACAAATAAATCAAAATACCAAAAATAAATATCGGATACTTCCCTCCAGGTGGAATAACAAACGGATCCAGTGTTAACTCAAAACTAAATTCAGCTGACTGGTTTTCCATTTTTAATAAGGTGAAAGAAAAAGATAACAACAATAATTGAAACTCATTGCTAGATATTAGGCAAAAGTTTACAAAAGTCCCAGTTTTATACAACACATGGCTGTGAAGTGACAGGGTTAGGGTTGCACTGCACAACACATCTCATTTTATCCTACACCCATCGCTTGTTTTTGTCACCATCGGGATTTGGGATTATTAGAGACTGCAGAAACAACCAATGGTTTCAACTACACGTTCTCCGAATTTATAAAGTCAAAATAACATAGGTTTTATTTATGTTTATATTTATGTATTTAGCAGACGCTTTTGTCCAAAGTGACTTACAAGTTATAATGAAGCCAGCAGGTTGCCCTACAGGCTAACAACAGTTATTGTTTGAATATTATGTACAGTATGTAGTTAGTTTTCATCCATCCATTTTCTTCCGCTTATCTGGAGTCAGGTCGCGGGGGCAGCAGCCTAAGTCGAGAGGCCCAGACTTCCCTCTACCCAGCTACTTGGGCTAGCTCCTCCGGGGGAATCCCAAGGCGTTCCCTGACCAGGTGAGAAACATTGTCCCTCCATCGTGTCCTGGGGCTTTCTTTAGGTCTCCTCCATGTTGGACATGCTCGGAAAACCTCACCAGGGAGGAATCCAGGACGCATCCTGACCAGATGCCCGAGCTACCTCAACTGGCTCCTCTCGATGTGGAGGAGCGGCGGGTCTACTCCGAGCCCCTCCTGGATGACTGAGCTTCTCACCCTACCTCTAAGGGGAACCCAGCCACTCTGCGGAGAAAACTCATTTCAGCCGCTTGCATCCGCAATCTCATTCTTTCGGTCACTACCCAAAGCTCGTAACCATAGGTGAGGGTAGGAATGTAAATCGAGAGCTTCACCTTCTGACTCAGCTCTCTCTTCACCACGACAGACCGGTACAAGTTACAACGCCTGCATCACTGCAGATGCAGCACCAATCCACCTATCGATCTCACGCTCCAGCTTTGCCTCACTCGTGATCAAGACCCCGAGATACTTAAACTCCTCCACTTGGGGCAGGACCTCATCCCTGACCCAGAGAAGGCATTCCACCCTTTTCCAAATCAATTAGTTTTCATTGTGTCCTAAATGCAGGCCGATGCTGGTGCCCTATGGAGCACTTTGTCTGTTCTGGGATTCTCCAAAAATCACAGATGGCCGGTCCGTCCTTGAATATAAATATCTGTTTAAATAAAATTTTGCAGCATCACCACACTGGCCGTCTACGAGCCTGATTTTAGGTTGGCTCAACGAAAGAGAGACGGAGATGTGAACTGGATGTGTATCCAAACATTTACACGTTCTTAACACTGGATTTATGATAAAGACCAAATTGTTTGCAAGAAATGTTTCATAACGAGCAGAAATCAGAACAAGGTTTGTCTCTTCATCTTGTATAGATGTAGTCCATCTACAGATTAAAAGGTTGTGTGTATATATATGTATATATCTATAAATAAATAAATATATATATATATATATATATTTATATGTATATATGATGACTGTAAAAAATGTCTGATTTTCCCATTTCCATCGCTCTGTCCACCGCCAGGGTGTTCTACTGGTGAGTTTATTGAAAACACTTTTTTGTCAAAAATGCTGTCATTGTGTCCTTGGGCAAAACACTTAACCCACCTTGCCTGCTGGTGGTCAGAGGGGCCGGTGGCACCAATGTTCGGCTCCAGGGCAGCTGTGGCTACATTGTAGCTCATCATCATCAGTGTATGAATGTGGGTGTGAATGGATGAATGCACTTGTCAACATCATACATATTTGTCTTGTACCACATAATTTTTAATCTAAAGCTACATATTAAGCATTTTCAGGGCAGATTATTGTTCCTGTTAGTGTTTAGTGTGAGATGATAGTAAATATTCCCTTTCTTTCTCCAACAATGTTACCTGATAGTAAGCTAACTTTAGGCAAACCAGCAGCACAACAAATATTTTCAAATAAGACTCACAAACCTGAGTCAACACCAGTCTCATCAAAGCTGGGTTTCTGTCGTTGTACTTTTGGTCTAAAAAAAACACCCTTATGTCCACCTTCACTCATGCGTTTCAGGCAGAGAGTGTAGACGAAGCCGGCTGCTGAAGGGCTTCTTCAGTGGTGGAGGCTCAGGCAAGCTGTATACAAACTACTGCCAACTGCTCCCTCTCTGTTGGACTTTGGTACTGCATGTTACTTCCGCGATTTAGATCCGGGGCTTTTCATAAAACATCCGGGACTTCAGCCCAAGTAGCCGGGCCTAACGCCACCCCTGCTCTCAAGCATGCTCAGGTTAAACCGCTGCTAAAAAAAAACCCATCTCTTCCTCCAAATCATGTGGAGAACTACCAACCTGTCTCTCGCCTCCCTTTTCTGTCCAAAATCATTGAAAAGGTGGCTTTCAAGCAGATCACAGAATACCTCTCACAAAACTGTCTGCTTGACCCTTACCAATCTGGGTTCAAAAAGGGGCACGCCACTGAAACTGCTGTTAGCAGTGAAGGAATCGTTAAAAGAAGCTAGAGCGACTGCCAAATCCTCAGTGCTTATCCTGCTCGACTTATCGGCTGCATTTGACACTGTCAACCATGGCTTCCTTTTGTCCACACTCTCTAGCATGGGCATCACAGAGAAAGCACATGCCTGGTTTGAATCGTAACTCACAGGATGATCATTCAGTGTATCTTGGCTTGGACAATCCTCTACCGTGCACCATCTTGCCACAGGAGTCCCCCAGGGCTTTGTACTAGGACCTCTTCTCTTTGCCATATACACCACCTCACTGGGGGGAGATCATTCGTTCACATGGCATCTCCTACCACTGCTATGCAGATGACACCCAGCTCTATCTGTCATTTCCACCGGACGACCACACTGTCTCTGCACGAATATCAAACTGTCTCTCTGACATATCAAAATGGATCAAATCCCACCATCTCCAACTCAACCTCTCTAAAACTGAACTACTTGTCATCCCAGCAAAACCATCCATACAGCACAATATCTCAATCCAAAATGACTTCCTATCTCTGGCTCCTTCAAAGGCAGTTCGAAATCTGGGTGTTGTGATTGATGAACACCTGACCTTTAAAGATCATGTTGCCTCTGTTGCTCATTCATGACGCTTTGCACTGTATAACATACAATCAGACCATACCTAACACAACATGCCACCCAGCTCCTGGTGCAATCTACCGTCATCTCCTGCCTCGATTACTGCAACGCCCTTCTAACTGGTCTTCCAGGCTGTACTGTGAGACCTCTTCAAATGGTCCAGAATGCAGCGGCACGTCTGGTCTTCAATCAGCCAAAAAGAGCACATGTCACCCCTCTGTTCATTGAGCTCCACTGGCTAACGCTAGCAGCACGCATGAAATTCAAATTGCTAACACTAGCATACAAATTCCGAGACGGTATGGCTCCCATCTACCTGAATCCTCTTGCAAAGGCTTATGTCTCGGCCCGGCCGCTCCGGTCATCACAGGATCGTCGGCAAGGACGTAATTTTCACTTAAGAAGTGGGGGGGACACGGGGGGGGGGGGGGGGGGGTATCTTTACAGTATGTTCTAATGGGAAACAGGCTTCAACACAAACTGTTGTTTTCCGCTTGGTCCTAGAGCTCAACCAGTGTCAATTTAATATAGCGTAATATTGTTTTTGGATGGTAAAAAGTGCAGGGGTCAAAACTTGACTTTGGAAAAAGTGGGGGGGACATGTCCCCCCTGTCCCCCCCCCCAAAATTACGTCCATGATCGTCGGCTAATAGTGCCTACACCACGCTCAGGACAATCCAGACTCTTCTCATGCATCATTCCACAAATGTGGAATGACCTTCCAAGCATTACCAGAACAGGGGCTTCCTTTTCAATTTTCAAGAAACTCCTGAAGACCCTGCTCTTCAAATAGCATCTTCTAAACTAGCACCCTCCCTGCACCCGTCTCCCCTCTCTACTGTCCACTCCTTGTTCCCTCCTCTCCATGATTGATGTCAAGTTGTTGTTATTGTTGTTGTTAGCCTCAAGGGCAACATGCCGATTATCACTTGTAAGTCGCTTTGGACAAAAGCGTCTGCTAAATACATAAACATAAGTAAGACATGTGGTTAGCTGGCTCGTGTAAAACATGTCATGTCTTGAAAGAATCGGAATCGGGAATCAATAGGAACTGGAATTGAAACAAGGAATTGGAATAGTTCAGAATCAAACGATGCCCAACCCTAGCCATTTATCATCATTTAAAATCTGTGATAGTTTGGCAAGGACATGCAAACTCCAGCCTGAAAACCCCAGCTGAGATTTCATTTGGAAACTTTGTTGGTATGTGTGCATGTCTATTCATGCTTTTATCAAAAGAGACTGTCCTGGGTGAGAAAACTGGAGCACCCGGAGAAAACCCACACATGCATGGGGAGGACATGCTACCCCACGCAGAAAGCTCACAACCAGGATTCAAACCTGTGATACATCACTGCTGCAAACGTCACCACCATGCCTCTCTAGAACTTGGTGACAGTGCTGATCAAAAAGTATTTAAAGCAGATATAAAACAACTAAATGAAGAGAATTCTATTTAAATATATCCTACATGAAACTATTTGTCACCTGGATTCACTCTCCAAAAAGAAAACTTACATCATCTCGTTACTTTGTCCAAACACTCCTATTAATGAAGCCCTTTGAGATGTAATTAAATGATTGTTATTAACTGTCTCACATTTTAATTAATCCCCGGGTAAAAGGCAGGCCTCTCGTCACAAGTGACGATGTTCAGCAACTCTCACGGGAAGTGGCCCGCGACTCGAGTGTTTGAGTTACATGAAGTTGCAGTGGACACAAAAAAAGTTTAGGAATTTTTTGCTAAACTTTTTACTTAAAATGCATCAAATCAGTGGTTTGGTCATGTTTTCTATCTGTTTCTAAATGTAAATAATATTTCCATATAATACGTATTAAACTTGCAGTGGTTTTGCGTATGTATTTGTTCTAGTCAAAGAACAACACTACTAATTGAAACTGAGCTCTGAAGAGGTCACAACAGACCACTGGGACAGAAATGCTTAGGACATCATGAAATCTAATTATATCACCCCTGAGAAACGGACACTGTACTGATTGAGTTGAAATAAACAATTTTAGCCATCCTTTTTTATAATTGTTGGGTTTTCTTCACAGTAATCAATGAAATGATTCAGCTGTTCTGGTGTGTTCAAATAAAAATACAAATAAACACATTTATATTAGGTAAATTTCACCTAGACGTAGTAGTAAAGAGTAAAGTTTTAGGTATTTTTTACAGAATGAGTTTTGTTGCATGGATTTATTAAAAATAAACTTACAATAAAAGTTTTTGTTGTCTACAGATGAGGGAAAAGTTCACGTGTGAGTGTTGGTGGTGGTCAAAAATGGTGGCTTTACTTCTGTCAGACTGCTCAATGGCAGCTGGGGCTGTTGCCCTCCAGATGTCCGTCCCCAGAACCAGAGCAGAACTGGGTGAAAGAGCTTTTCGTGTTAGTACCCCAGATCCTTGGAACAATCTTCAAAACTAAATAAAGATTACTAATCTGGTTTTATTAGGTCAATTTATAACACTTTTAAAAGATCGAGAACAGGTTAGGGTTAGGGAAGGGCCTCATGATCCCATGGATGTAATTTTCACTTTAGAAGTGGGGGGGACACGGGTGGGGGGGGTGGGGTGGGGGTCTTTACAGTATGTTCTAATGGGAAACAGGCTTCAACACAAATGGTTGTTTTCTGCTTGGTCCTAGAGCTCAACCAGTGTCAATTTAAAATAGCGTAATATTGTTTTTGGGTGGTAAAACATGCAGGGGTCAAAGCTTGACTTTGGAAAAAGTGGGGGGGACATGTCCCCCGTGTCCCCCCCCAAAATTACGTCCATGCATGATCCCAAACCTGCTCTGATGAAAGATTTTGTGGGAATCAGCTTAATCCCATGGATTGCTTTCATGCTGCCTTCCTGGACCAGGTCACTTTTGCAAATGGGATTTGACATCCGAATGAGTCATTACAATAATATCTAATATGAGTCATTACAATAATATATATTATAATCATACTGTGTAAAAAAAAATCCATGGTATCAAGGACATATTGTTGCTCTTGTGTCTCCAGAGTTGTTGCACCTTCTTAATTTTGACACCTGACTGGAGGAGCCCGGAGCTGTAATGACCTTCACTCTGAAGAATCCCAATCCTATTCAGGAGGGACACCGGGAAAGAAAAAAGTCCTTCTGTCTTCAGGAACTATGTGCAATCAAAGGACTCCTCACCCCTCCAGAAAGGTATTTATGTTCCCAGATATGCTGCAATGAGTCGAGTCAGGTCGTGAGTTTTGTAACATGTTCAGATCAAGGTAAGCATGGTGTTCTGCTATATATGTATTTTATGAACAAGACCCAATCTAAAAATTTTATTGATTTTTTTTTGTAGATTCTGCTCTAAATGAAACAAAAATGGAGAAAAATGCAACAAGTTCATCTAACATCCTACAGATCCAAGGTTTCGACGTACCTCCAGAGTATACATACCCTCTGTTTTTCTCACTGCTCTTAGTTTACACATCTCTGATATTTTCCAACGTTGGAGTTCTTGCACTGATTGCCACAGAAAAGAGTTTGCACCAGCCGATGTACTTTCTCTTTTGTAACCTTTCTGTCAACGACCTGATGGGAAACACAGCCCTGCTGCCTCCGCTGATGTCTCACGTTCTTGCAACGGAACGTTTGATCTCCTACAACCAGTGTGTGGTTCAAGCCTTTTACAGCCACATGTTCGGATCGGCGTCGCACTTGATTCTTGTTATAATGGCGATTGACAGATATGTGGCGATATGCCACCCACTGAGGTATAGCTCAATAATGACCAACAGGATGGTGATGGGGCTGTCTGCAGGTGCATGGGGGGTCTCCTTGGCACTTGTGTCTGTGCTGATTGGTCTAACTGTGAGGCTGTCCCGCTGCAGATCAGCTATACAGAACGCTTATTGTGACAACGCTTCTCTGTTCAAGCTTTCCTGTGACGATGTCTCTGTTAACAACATCTATGGGCTCTTTTTCACTGTGCTGCTGTTCGCCTGCTCGATTGGAGGCATCGGCGCCACGTACATTAGAATAGCTCTCATCTGCTGGATGAAGAAAAACAAAGAGCTGAATAACCGAGCCCTGCAGACATGTGCCAGCCACCTTCTGCTTTATCTCATCATGCTCTGGTTGGGTTTTTTAACAATCACACTGCATCGTTTCCCAAATTACCCAGATTTGAGGAAGATTGCGCATGTTTTATTTCACGTTGTCCCTGCTAGTTTGAATCCCGTTATTTACGGGTTGCAAACGAAATCCTTACGGGATAAAATTACTCAAGTGATTTGGAGAAAAAAGCTCATTCCCATGTAAAATCTCCCATCTCCTGTTGGTTTTATCACCAAAAGGTACTGGTTTCTAGGTAAACCTTATACCTTATTACAGTAAATCTGTCTCCAAAATATACTTTTGGAAAGAAATCCACAGACAACAGAAAATAGAATTATTATTATTTATTTATGTAAATGTGATAAAAAATAACAACAAATATTAACATTTTTTATGAGTAGGCCGATGTGGTTTTATTCTTTTTCTTTATGTTTTCACATTATTTGACACTTTTTCATTCAATTGCAAGAAAAATAATTCTATAATTTTTTTCATTATTTTGTCATCTAATTTGATTTCTACTAAATAAGGATAATTTTAAGCAAATTAATAGTCGTCATGTTTTTGTTATATTAAAGTTTTATTCAGCTTTGGTGAGTTGCAATATTTTTATTTTATAATGTAATAAAAATGTGATTCAACAAAACAAAACAAGGAACTCTGCTAATAGTTTTGATTGCAAAAATAATGTTTCTGAACAAGAAAATAACATTATTAAGATCTACATAAATGTCTGAATGGTTTTGAATCATTAAACATATTTTGTTGCTTTTTCTGCTAAATAATATATTTTAAAATATTGCTACTTGCCAAACCTGAATTTAATATAAAGAAAACTGTTTCATGAGTTTTCTCAAAGGGGCATTATGGAAGTTTGACAGCCAAAACATGTATAGAAATAATAAACTTCTTCTTCATACATTCTCCTGCAATGCCCTGGTCCTGTAGAATGAGCCCTGGCATTTTTACTGTGATTGCTTGTTTTTCTGTAAAATCACAGAGAAAGAGAGATGCTCGGGTCGAGCAGGCTGCTTCATGCATGTTCACGCTCAGGCATAGCCCGTAGCATTTGCTATCCGTAGCTTTAGCAGCAGAGAGAGAGGCAGTGCCACTTTGTCGCTGTTCCTAACGCCTAGTGACAAAGCTAGCTACATTTCTGAGGACCCTTAGCTACTTTCTGTAGAACTTTCTTCTAGATATTTCCTGCAAATTAGCAACAAAATAGCCATTTTCGCTCTGAACCATTCTTTGAACGTTGTTTCAGCTGTCATCAAGGATATAAATGTTACAGATAAAATGGACATCACTGGCACTTTAGCTCACCTAGTAAGATGTCTGACTCCCATGCAGAAGTCCAGGGTTTGATTCTGGGTGTGAACATAGTTCATTTAGAGTTTCTTTTTTACATTAATGGTATATTTTTTTACAGTAAGATGCCCAAATTTTTATTTGATACTCGCCGAACGGCATTGAATTCACAGATAAAAAAGATGTGGGTTCAACTTTCATTTGGAACAATTTTTCAAGCAAGGGAAGGGAATGATCTGAGCATGCAGGAGGACTGACCCATCATAAACCTTTGTTGGCTGTGCTGAAGAGAAAGGTACAGAACCAAATTATTTAATTAATTAGCTGCACATTCTCCTGTCCTCTGTCCTCCGGGCCACACACACACACACACACACACACACACACACACACACACACACACACACACACACACACACACACACAAGGGACTGTCTCAGCTGTTATTTTCGTTAAGGAGTGTGCACGTACAGCATGCGCGCCTCGTCCACGAGCCTACTATTGAAGCTGTCGTTACGCTTTTGGCCTGAGGGGGCAATCGCGAGCAAAAAAATTCAAAACTCCGTAAAGTCCCTTTAAATGTATCCATATTTAGTCAAATTACATAACTAAATAAAATTTTAAACGTACAGGATTCACTCAATTAATAAAGTAAAAGTCATTCCTGATCTTTCAATAGCACCGCTTGAACAGCACATTTGATTTGTGTTATTGATTTCATTGCTGATTTCAGGGCAGAAGATGTTTTCTGAAACATTTTTCTAAACAAGGAACAAAAATGCATTTTTTTTTTGTCTTAGAGATAAGTTATTTAACTTTGGTGAATCTCATAACCACCCTAAATAAATCTCATTGAAAGACCTATCTGCATTTTCATATTTAAACAGAATAAATGCATAATTTGTCAAATCACTGTGACAAGAATAAAAAAGTTGTTTTAATCATGACACTTTGGTGCCTAAAGAGAAATCATTTGTAGAATGAATGTTTAAAAAGCGTTTGGATCAAATCCAAATAAAACATTCTTGCGTGTTTTTGAAGTGTTGGGGATTTAAATGGCTTTGCCCATGATAAGAAGGCTCATGAGAAATACCATTATGAAAAAAATCCACATGAAAAAGCGGTCTAAGACTTTAGCTACTTTCTTCCACTCCCCTGTTCTTTTCTGCGTGGCCCTCTGATCCTTGTAGCAGTTAGCGATGTACTCAACGTTACGCTGCAGCGGACCGTTGGTGCTGAGAGTGCTGCAGGAAGAATCTTTTTCTTTTTTCCCTCCATCACTCACTCCGCCCTTCCTGCTTCTCCTCTGACTCCCTGAATCCTCACAGTCCATGCTAATAAAGATACCGTTGTTCCAAGTGCTGCAGTGGTTGGTCGGGTTCCTTCCGACTGAGCCCAACGGACTCAGAACGTGATCCTTGTGTTCTATTTCCTCCGTGATTCTGGGGGTCATTGTCTCTTGACACGTTTCTGTTTTGAAGTCTTCTTTTCCTGGCCCTGCTTGTCCATTCATGTTGCAGTTTGTGTTCTTCCCGAGTGGATGTTCCTGTTTCTCCGGCTGTGCCGACATGCAGTTCTCCCCAACCTCAAACACAAAACACATTCTGGCCATGTACTGCAGGATAACTGTTTTAGCCCATTTAGGAACAGGCTTTGCATCCGGTCCACAGTGGTGAATGTTCATGATGAAGATAGTCAAGGCAGTGGACGCTGTGATCATGGTCATCGTTGCAATGTAATATTTTCCTATAGAAGTAGATAAAATAAAAACATACAGATAAATGTCAGCTTAAAGTATTTTTTTTTACAATTGGAAATTGCTTTTGAGCCTCATACACAATGTTGGGGCTCAAAATGGCTCAGGAGCTTTGAAAAATAGACAAATGCAACTCCTTAATAAAGTGCTCCAGTGGAAAGATTTAGAGGTGTGCATGGACATCATTTTCGCTTCAGAAGTGGGGGGGACACGGTACAGTATGCTCTAATGGGAAACAGGCTTCATCACAAACGGTTGTTTTCCACTTGGTCCTAGAGATCAACCAGTGTCAATTTAATATAGCATAATATTGTTTTTGGATGGTATAAAGTGCAGGGGTCAAACTTGACTTTGGAAAAAAAGTGGGGGGACATGTCCCCCCTGTCCCCCCCCCCAAAATTACGTCCATGGAGGTGTGTGTTTACAATGAGAGGCGTTGCTCTTGTCCATAAGTACAGAAGTGGTGAGAACGGCTTAAGGTGCAATACATATTTAAACCTCTAGACCAGGGGTGTCAAACTCATTTTAGCTCAGGGGCCACATTGAGGGAAATCTAGTCCCAAGTGGGCCGGACCAGTAAATTAAAAACAACTTCAGATTGTTTTCTTTGTTTTAATACAATCAATATAAAACAAAGCTGGAGCCTGAGGACAGTGTCTCCAAAATAGTACAAGTACAACACCTGAAGTGTACTTGAAAATTTGAAAAATAAATAAAAATAAAAAAACATTCCTTAGTGATTCAAAGAGCTTACAGATCACATGGCTTGATCAGTTTCATGCAGCACTTAAAGTATATTTGACTCATTTTACTTTACATCTTTTAGCTTTCACCGGCACATCAACATCAGAAGTCACATCCTGAATGGCGGCCATCTTCAGGATGTGATTCAAGTTCTTGTGTGAGCCTTGAGCGCAGCTTTGTTTTATTTATACTCATTACAGAGAAAACTTGCTCACAAAGATAAGTTTATTTTCACTCTACATTGTAAAGTATGAAAATAAAGTTTACACAACCATCTCGCGGGCCGGATTTAACCCGTTTGCGGGCCGGATTCGGCCCGCGGGCCGTATATTTGACACCCCTGCTCTAGACGGTGCCATTGGATAAAAACACTCCTTATTTCAGCTTTAAGGTGATGTGTCTTTGCCAGTAGGCCTCTTTCCATTGTTGGAATTTCAGGGGAAATTCTGGGACGGGGAAATTGACCGGGAGATACCATGTCTCAGTCTCAGCTGTTGTGTCTCCATTCAAATTCAGCGCTGCAGGTTTCAGCATTTTGTGACTGCTCTGGCAGTGTCGCTGATCAACGCCAAAATGCGCCCACAGTAACATTAATATCATAAAAAATGTTATTCTGTCGAAGTTCATCATAATTTCATCCATTTGGAGAATGAGAGCAGCTGCTTGATGTGAAATGTGGCGTTCAATGACCAGAAAAAGCTACGTTTTTATGACGTAACTGCCTCATAAACAACGTGGGGAAGTTTGGCTGTGCTTTCCAGTGTTGGGAGTTTAGTAACGAGGATTTTTAGGCAGCACGATCTGTGCTTATTTTCTCCATAATGCTTCACCAGCTAATGCCAGTTGTTTTGGAGGCATCTGCTGATGTTATTTCCTACAGCAGTGGTTCCCAAACTTATTTAGCCGCGCACCCCCTTCTATGTCCCGACCATGTAGACCCAGCCCCCACATCAGGGCATATATATATATATATATATATATATATATATATATATATATATATATATATATATATATCAGATGTCAAGCTAAACAGACAGGGTTAAAAAAATTCCCCATCACTTTCATTTTTTAAATAGTAATTAATAAGCATTCGATACCATTACAATTTCCTTTGATTTCATTTTAAATAAATATTTAGAGTGCCCAGGTAGCACATAAACAATGCAATTTAACGGTTTTCTTAAAGTAGGAATGTTTAACCTGTGTGGCCAGAGCGCTCTCCTTCCTTCTGTTCTGCTTAAACCTGAGCTGATCACCTACTTGTGCGTAATCAAATGTCAATAGGGGACAAGATATAGCTATGATGTTCACTTTTACCTCAGACCGACTTATTGCTGTTTTATGGTGTGGCTGAATCTGTGATCCGCTGTCATGCGGACCGGAATAACAAATGCTGCAGTGGACTTGTGGTCAGGTTCATGAGGAGTCACTGGCTGGAGTGGACCCGACTCATCCCAGAAGCTAATATCTTAATTTGACCTTCAATGAAAAATAACCTCTTAAAAGTTTTTATCACGGTGGAGGCAGCGTTCATTTCTGCCTTCAGTCTGACGGCGCGCCGGAGTTAAAGCAGCGTGTGCGCTTATTGAATCTGTGTGTGCGCGCGCGGCACAGCCGCTCCAGTCACCGCGTCTCGCGCTATTTAAACCAATGTTGTAAAATTCCTTCTGCCCAGCCCAGATGTGCTCACTTGTACACCCGTGAGCCGTGGTTCAGCTGGAACACGTCTGACCTCTGACAGACGCACTCTGAACTTCAGATCTTCAGCGCGCTGTCAATAGCCTGAATGGGAATCATTTCTTGTTATTTTGTTACATCCACAATGTTCTGTGTGTGAGGTTTACAATGTCAGAACACCTGCGACAGGTGTTAATTACAATCTGCCAGAAGGACTCACCACCTTCAGATTTCTCCATCACCGTTAAAAAAGATCAAATACGGAACATATCGGCGTGCGCAGGCCAGAGTGCTGAAGCTCGGCGCATTGTTATTATGAAGCTAGGGCACATTTGGAGGACACGCGCGCAAAAATATACTTGTTTTCAATTACATTTATTGTGCCCACTTACTTTTTCTTTGGCCCACCCACAAATGAGTTTCTATGCTAATGGTGACATATGACAGACTTCTCTGAGCTCCGCAGCCATTACACTTTTCACCTCGCGCACCCCCTAGCGGCAGCTCGCGCATCCCCAGGGGTGCTCGCACCACACTTTGGGAATCCCTGTTACAGAGTTGCAACCAATCATGTTCATCAAAAAGTTCTGCTCATCATCTCCACTGGGCCATTTCGAGTGCCTACCCCTGTTCAGGTACTCAGAAAGTTCCTGAAAAAGTTGGCCTGGTAAAGTGGAGATGCACATGCCGGGAAGTGTTGGTACATTTAAACTGAAGTTCAGATGGTAGAAACACGTCTAATATCTTTTTCTCAGAATAACTTATTTTTCAGTGGCCATCACAACATTACAACTTTACATAGGAAAGCCGCTCAGAAACAGCAAAGACTTGTTGGTACTTTAGGCACCCCAAGCTGCCTGGATTCAACAACAACAACAAGGTAAATGATGTTTTAAATTCTAGGACCACTTTGATGTCAGTAGGCAAGTTCAAATTGATCAGTACATCATTCTTACCGATGAGTGGTACATTCTCAGAAGGTGGCATGATCTCTGCAACCAACAGCTGAAACACAGTCAGAGCCAGCATTACAGTAACGCCCAACGAAACCTTTTCTCCAGAATCAGCTGGAAGGTAGAACCCAAGTGGAGCAAGAAAAGAGATCATCACGCATGGGATGAGCAGGTTAAAAACATAGAAGGAAGCTCTTCTTTTGAGTTTCAGTGTGTAGGTCACATCTGGGTACGGATCGGCACAGCAGCCGTACAGAACAATGTTCCTCTCAGCTGGCATGCCGAGAACCTCCCACTCCACGTTCTCCACCAGGTCGGCCAGGTCGGCGCTCTCCATGGCGTTCTGGATGTCGAGCTGGTTGCCGTTGTAGGTCCAAGAGCCGTACGTAAACCTGCACTGCTGACCATCAAAGGGGAAGAAGGACACGTCCACTCTGCAGGAGCTCCTGGTGATGGCTGGAGAGTCCCACATCATCTGGCCATCGTGTCGGATCACCACATTGGTGTCCATAGGAACGGTGAAATGATCGTCTGCACTAAGAAAACAAAAGTCAGTTAAACAGCAGGTTTTGTATCAATAAAAAGAAAAAAAGTGTTTTGAAGAATAACTCTAGGATATTTTGGGTGTTTTCTCCATCATTGTGTTTGATCTGATTTCTTGTATGATGAAAAAGCGTCTGCAGATTATGAGAAAATGCTAAAGAGGCAATTTTACAATAAAATCAACAAAACCATGCAGGATAGTGGACTTCAAGAACATCTTTTGACCATTAGAACCTTTTCAGGGTCATTGACTGAAAGATAAACCCAACATCAGTTTGACTAACCTGTTGTACAGGACTATATCAGGCCTCCATACATTACTACCAGGTATACGGATGGTATCAAGTCCATCGTAATCCTCTTTATTCCATTTGAGGTGAGCGTCAAACCACACTTGCCTTATCCATAAATATGCGGTCAATATTTGGTTTCGCTCATCCTGTAAAAAATGTTAAAAAACTCACCAAAAAGCAATAAGAAGACTCGTGACATGGCTTCATATGTATCAGCAATTCGAGTCTATATCCATAAGGTTTTTTTTTTACTTCTAGGTTGATGTGTGAGTGCTGTTTTACCATGTCGATGATATGTGACAGCGTCACCTGTAGAGTGACGTTCAGGATGTCGTTTGTGTCTTCCACAGGCCTCAGAGCGCTCGTATAGTCGGTCATTAAATCAGTCAGGAGCTTCTGAGCATATTTTGACTGAGCGCACTGACAGGCTAGGACAGGAGAAATAAACAAGACACACACAACACGGGGACTTGTTTAGCGACATGTCAGCTTATACAGAGCCAGAGTGACGGGCAGTGAATGCAAGGTTAGACTGTCCTTCTTTAACCCTCCCACTGTCTTTATGGGTGACCCCGCGAGGAAAGTTGACCATTGAGCAGGGTTGATGGTTTATCCCCTTGAGGTCCACGTGGCAGGGGTGAGGTGGTGCTCACTCCTCACCCCTGCCACGTGGACCTCCAGGGATAAACCATCAACCCTGCTCAATGGTCCACTTTCCTCGCGGGGTCACCCATTAGGACCGTGGGAGGGTTAAAGCTTCTTTTTCTGCTAAAGCTGCATATGATGAGTGGGACAAAAAGCAGCGCATGGACATCAAACACTGCCGTGTTCTACTCCCCTCTGCTCTGGCTCACATATAGGAGGATCTTTATTGATGTCTCACATTGCATCACGATAGTGTGTGGCAACAAACAACGTATTTTGCCTATAATTTGTTTGTTTTGCACGTTTGCAGGAGCATTTAGCAAAGCAGATGGATCATTCTTGCTGTGTGGTTGATTGTTCGGCTCGTGGATGGCATGATACATTTTTTTTATTGGAATTTCCTCCATAAACGACTGCAAAATACAAAAGAGATGACAGGAAGTCACCCGGACACTCTGAAGAAAGCCTGGACTCCTGCAGCAACGGACAGCTTGTGAGGATCATTTTGTTCACGGTAAGTCCTTGTGACCAACTGTTAATTAGAGACGATGTTTTTAAAAACATTCATCTTCATGTATTTTTAAATCCGGTCGTTGTTTTCTCGTTCTGATTCAGGTGTCTCATTCCACGTTCATTATAATAATAAAGAAATGAATACGGACACAGATTGATAAAGACGTCGCCGTCACCAATAGGTGATGAGAATCACGCTGTTACTCTGCTCGTTGGATCCGACAGCTGCTATCAGCATGGCCACCGCTTTTTTTTTTAAGAGATGAGCTCAACTTTCCTTAAAACAAAAATAATCGTAGGCCTCCAGACGTCTGAAGGCCTACCAATTGGGAGGCGCCAGGGCCCAAAGAAAAAGGCATTGGGCCTAAAGGGTTAATAAGTTCAAAGTCTCATGGATTTGTCATTTATTTGAGCAAAACTACTTTTTCACACCTCAAATGTATAAATGAACTCTTAACTCAGTTTTAGATACACGTGCATGAGGGGTTTAGCTATAGCAAGAGTTATTCATTTTCTGTCGAATTTGTGCCGGGCCAGATGTTAGCATAGCCTGTTTGAATAAAGCCTCTGAAATGTCTACAGGATTATGGCGGCAAAATCCTGCAACAACTGGTCAACAAGTTCAGCAACAGCTCTCATGGAAGAGGGGCGGAAATCTGACAGTGAACAACGATAACTCAAATTAAACAAAAGCAGATGAGAATTTCAGGTGCCAAATAAAATTAACCGTACATTTCTTAAATCTTGGGAAGTGAAATGATTTTAGATATTTTGGCGTTCACTCCTAGTTGTTAGTTTTTATTTGAATAAAGACCGAGAACTCTGATAAGCATAATAAACATAAGAAGTATACGAAGCCCACAGTTCTAAATCATAAAAATGAACATAAAAACGTACCTGGCATGGCGTTGAAGAGTACAAGTAACCAAATTAAAGTCTGTTCCAATTTGCTGAAGCAAATCATTTTGATCCAAATACCATTTAAATTCTTCCGTTATAAACCTATTTGTTGTAATAATAAACAGCAATAAAGCTTGATCCTTCTCCCTAAACCCACCAAAGGAACTGAGGCATGGAAGCGGATGGACAGACCTAACTATCACATGTTAATCCCACACACACGTGATTTCTCAGATTATAATCCAGCCTGTGTTTGGTGATGTAATACTGTGGGTCTTTTGGGAAGAATACAGCTCAAAAACATTCCAACAATCCCAAGCCATAAAAAAACGAGTTTTTGTTTTGTGTTTTCAGCACCATGGAGAGCAGCTGCAGTCATGGACGTAATTTTCACTTTAGAGGGGGGGGGGGGGGGGACACGGCGGGGGGGGGGGGGGGGAATCTTTACAGTATGTACTAATAGGAAACAGGCTCCAACACAAACAGTTGTTTTCTGCTTGGTCCTAGAGCTCAACCAGTGTTACTTTAATATAGCAAAACATTGTTTTTGGATGGTAAAAAGTGCAGGGGTCAAAACCTGACTTTGGAAAGAGTGTGGGGGGGGGGGGGGGGGGCATGTACCCCCCCCCCCCCCAAAAAAAAAAAATTACGTCCATGGCTGCAGTTTTAGATCATTTTTTAGATCTCCAGAGCTCCTCAGCCTGTTCCTCCACTCTCACACGTGGACCACACTCCTGCGTTTAAATGTAATCTGTGTATTATTTTGACAGGCTGCATTTCCACTACCTAACGGACTCCTGCAGCCCTCCTCACCCTCTCCTCCGGAAGCCCTCCGTGGCTCCGCACCCACCCACTCCTCATCCTCATCCTCGCCTCGCGTTCTCGTCTTCAGCATCCTCGGGCCTGTTTACATTCGCTGGGATCGTTTGGCTAAATCTTTGTGAGGATAAATGGAAAACGAGGAATTTGAATCGGCTGGATGGTGTTCCCGTCTCATCTCTTTGCCGTGATGGGATCTGTGACGTTCAGCTCCACCGCGCGACACGATCCTCTCGTTTTTATCGTCTTATTGTTGAACCAGCGCGTGAAACTGACGTCAATTATCGGCCAACGGTGAAGCAAGTGGAGGTAGGATGCCTCACCGGTGACGCTGTGTTAAATGCATTCATGAAAATACGACACACGTGAAGATATAAGAGAATATTCCCTTCATAGCTGTGTGCCATCCGAATAATGACATATATTAATATGTGTAAAACAATAGAATCAGCTGGTGATTCATGTGCTGGGTTCATTTCATTTTGGAGTTTTTTTTTAATTAAAATATTGAAATAATTAGTTTAAAATCCAGTCAGTGCATCATAGATTAAACGTTTTGTTCAGGATGCAAATGATTCAGTTGGCTTTTCCATAATGCTGGATCCAACTAACAACCCACCGTCCAAATGTGACCTTGTGTTGGTTACCAAACCAATCTTAATTGAGTTGATTTAAATGGTTTTTCTATTTTTTTTTTCTTTGCAGAGAAAAATGCTGCACGGCTCAAACATTCTGGGGCACGAGAAGCCGCTGGTCATCAGTATTTCATTCACCTCGTGTGTGATAGGAACTGTGTGCCTGCCTTTGTTCGGACTAATAACCTGCGTGGCCATTTCCTCTCTTTTTCATTTTGAAGATGCTACTGGTACACATTGTCAGGTAATGTAAATAGTTTGAGTATCAATGTTTTTACATACACTGCTCGGCTAAGAAAAAGTCATCACCTGGATTCAACTAAGCAAACAGGTAGGAGCCTCCTATTGGATAATTACTGCATGGGTGATTATCTTTCAGCTGCAACAAGTTATTTAACCCAACTGGTGCAACGAGTTGCTTCTCATTTATTAAACAACCACATGGAAAGACACATCTGGTGGTCGTGTAAAAGATGTTAGTCTGTGTGAGAAGGGTCAGATCATTGGCATCAAGCAGAGGAAACATCTAAGGAGATGCAGAAACGACTAAAAACTGGGTTAAGAACTGTCCAACGCCTTATTAAAACTGGTTTGATGAGTCCAGATGGACCCTGTTCCAGAGTGATGGCGCATCAGGGTAAGAAGAGAGGCAGATGAAGTGATGCACCCATCATGCCTAGTGCCTACTGTACAAGCCTGTTGGAGCAGTGCTATGATCTGGGCTTGCTGCAGGTGTTCAGGTCTAGGTTCAGCAACAGGACGAGCTCCAAGAATGAGGTCAGCTGACTACCTGAATATACTGAATGACCAGGTTATTCCATCTTCCCTGATGGCACGGCCATATTCCAAGATGACACTGCCAGGATTCATCGGCTCAGGTAGTGAAAGAGTGGTTCAGGGAGCATGAGACATCATTTCCACACATGAATTGGCCACCGCAGAGTCCAGACCTGAACCCCACTGAGAATCCTTGGGATGTGCTGGAGAAGGCTTTGTGCAGTGGTCAGACTCTACCATCATCAATGCAAGACTTTGGTGAAACATTAATGCAACAATGGATGGGAATAAATCTGGTGACGTTGCAGAAGCTGATGGAAGCATCGCCACAACCAATGTGTGTCGTAGTCAAAGCTGAACCCGGTCCAACAAAATATTAGATTGTGTGACCTTTTTTGGTTGTGACTTTGGTTGTGTATGTTACAATACTTGACTGTATGAAACGTTATTACCTTTGTTTTAATTTATGTGCAACATTCATATCAGATGTTTTAAATTCCGCAGTTTTACTTAATAAAACCTCCCTGTTGCATGTTTCCAGGTTCCTAATTACTTGCCGTCCATTAGTGCCTCTATCAGCTTGAGTCCTGAGTGCTACATATGGCGGTTCTGCATCGGACTTCACTCTGCACCGAGGCTTCTGGTAGCCTTCACCTACTTCAGATTTTACAAGAGTCGCTTCACTTCCAGGTTTCCAGAGAGTCCGCTCAGCTGCTTGAGCCTGGTGTTTTCATTTTTTGAGAACCTTGGCCTCCTGCTCCTCACATACGTGTCGTCCACTGAGACGTACCGTGAGTATAAATCACACCTTACTGTTATTGGTTTGCTTGTGTTTTGATTTTTCTAATTTCCTTTCTATTCATGAAGATGTTGGTCATTCAGACACCACATGTGCTTTGCATGTAACGTAAAGTTATTTTAAAATGCATCCTTAATTGCCTTTATTCTCCTTCCCTGTTATAGTTGTGCACAAGGAAGGTTTCGTCCTGTTTATTATCAGCTCCATTGTCTACATGCTGATAACATGCTGTCTGTGGAAGGCAATTAAAAAGTATTCATTAAGTCCTGAGGTAAGAAATTTACAACAAACATGTAAATCTTAATTCATCACATCATTTGCAGTATTTCATTGTTTTTGTGTGATTTGTCCTTTAAGGATGTCAAGTCTCACCACTGGAAAGTGCGTTTTTTACTTCTCAATGTGTGCTTCTGCTTTTTTGCTGGATTCTTTTACTGGAAACACAACATGTACTGTGAATCAGGAAGTAAGTATTGCATCAGATTATCTTTCCCAATTCCGTACTTTTCTATGTGAAAATGGCATTCAGGAAAATTTGGGTTTAAATCTGGACATAGCACTGAAGCTGCACTGTTAAAACTCGACAACGATGCTCTACTAGCCAGGGATACTGTGGATTGTGCTGCTGGCCTGGAATATACTTGCTGTTTAACCTCGTGTTGGTGCAGGCTGCGTGTTTGCTCACATATTTGCTGCTACATGGCACTGCATGTAGTACTAGCAGTGTTGGGAAAGTTTGTTTAAAAGTTTGTTACCCTACAGTATTAGATTTTAACATGTACTGTTTAACCATGAAATTAAATGTAATAGGGTAAAACCCAGTGCATTTAACATATTGCTGCACTTTAGAAAATGGGTTGAAATATAACATGTTGGTGGAGCTGGGTTCCGACTATCGGCTTGTGGAGCTCTCGGGAGACAGATGTTTTCCACCCGGAATAACGGCTGGTTCTCCCAGCAGCTCGGCGCATCTCTGTCTGATCGCGGCTTCTGTGTGCTGCGGTGGGCTGACAGCTTGTGGAGCTCTGGGATGGAAACCTTTCCACCCGGTTCTCCCCAGCAGCAGCTCTGCGCAGCGGCGCTTGTCTGCTGTGCAGCTGCCGGCTTGTGGAGGTCTCCGAGACCTCTGTGTTCCACCCGGTTTTACTCAGCGGTCAGCCCGGCGTATCTCTGACTCAGAAGCTCATGTGTTGTGCACAGTTAACTCCGGTTGTAGCTAGGTTGCTACCTCCGTTAGCTTAGCTCCCACCTCCGCATTAGATTTGGGTTAGCTTTGGGTTAGCTTGTAGCTAGTTCGACCGGGTGTCGTCAATTGATCCCAGCCTTACAGCACCACCCTCAGCTCCACCTCTCTTCCCTTTTATGGAATTGTCTGGGCTTGACGGAAACTGTGACACGGTCAAAATGGCGGTGGTGGCCACCTCCCATTTGGGCTCAATAAAGTGATATTGGAGCCTATGGAAAGAAGATGTCCATGTATATTATGTCGATGGTTTGGGCACAACACTGCGTACTAGGGTGTTCCACTAGGGGTGCACTAGAGAACTCAGACCGGATAGAGAGTCAGGTTTGTGAGTACAACAAAAACAAACGTGGCGACAATAAAATTGTTCACTAACTAGTTAAATTTGAGATCCCGACAGAAAAATAATACTGCAGCACTATCGTTGATGGTGTGAAAGTTCTCTGAACCAGAGATGGCGAGTGTGAGTGGTGAGTGTGTCTCGCTCTTTTTGGGCAGCACTAGCTCAACAGGTTGAGCGGGTTGTCCAGTAATTGGAAGGTTGCAGGTTCAATCCCGGCTCTGGACAGAAAATTCTGCTGTTGTGTCCTTGGGCAAGGCAATTAACCCGCCTTGCCTGCTGATGGTGATCAGAGGGACCGGTGGCGCCTGTGCTCGGCAGCCTCACCTCTGTCAGTGCGCCCCAGGGCAGCTGTGGCTACAACGTAGCTCATCACCATTATCACCATCAGTGTGTGAATGTGTGTGTGAATGGATGAATGATACACTGTATTGTAAAGCACTTTAGAGTCCTTACTCTGAGGGGCGCTATACAAGTGCTGGTCATTTATCATTTTTGTCAACTCCACCTACTGGTTACTCACATATTGCAGCATTGGGACGCGTTGTGTTAATTTCAAGCACACACAGTGCTTCAAATCAACACAAGTAACGCTTGGCAGCCATTTTAAAGAAGGATTACAGTCGTTAAACAGCAAATATGTCTTGGCCCTTAGACTTTACTGCAACCTTCAACACAGTAGATCATGAAATCCCTTTTTCACATTGGGAGGGGCTGGTTGGTATCCGAGGTACTGCGCTAAATTGGTTTAGAGTCTGCCTCACCAATAGAAGCGTCTGTTAACGTTGGTGCATGCTCCTCTTCTGTAGCTCCCATTTCCTGCGGTGTTCCTTAAGGCTTCGTTCTTGGTGCACTTCTGTTTTCCTTAAATATATATTGCCCATGGGTTTTATCACAATGTTATTTCTTTTCACTGCTAGGCTGATGATATTCAGATGTACCTACCCTTGAAAGCTCATAAAGGATTGTCACTGCAACCTCTGTAAGACTTTCAGCGGTGGCTAGTAGGGGCTGCATGACTTAAATTTTTTGAAGTCGACCGCCAAGTAATGAAAATCGAGTCGACTTCGACAAGTCGTTGATGACATCATACACGTCGGGGGGGGGGGGGGGGGGGGGGGGGTGTTCGCTGGAGTTTTTGACAATTAAAACTGTGTCCACATTTTCTAAGTTAAACATCTCTTTTAACAACGGTAGTTTCAGCATCTTGCTTCAGCCCCCCCCCACCCCCCCCACCCCCCACCCCCCCGACTATTTTTCTGTCCTGTCTCTGTTTATTATCTTCCTGCATCTCCTCTCAATCCTAAAAAGAAACTGTTACCTGGCTTCATATATATTCACCTCATGAGTTACCTTTTAACTGCAGTTGTAAAAGATCTACCGACCGCAAAAACAGTGGAGTGCACGCCGGCCTCACCGGTGAGGTGCGTCACTGGAGGACAAAACGGGTGATGCGCTCCGCTCCACTGTAGCAAAATATATCAGGCACAAATTAAAGACAGAAAACATAAAAGGAAATGGGCCGACATGAACGATTGCGTGTTAAATTAGTTTTTGAGGTGGCGACACCTAATTTGATGTTACTGTGGCCGTGCTCAGGACGCAGATGTCTGGAGCGCGTCAACGATCAGAGCTTTGCATGCACAAGCTGGTTAAGGTTAGGATGGGGGTGAGGGGAAGGTTACATTGCAAGAGGGTAACGCCGGGGACACACTGGCTGCGGAAGCGCCGCGAAAATGGGACCGCCTTCATTCGGCGCCCTTGTTAAGCTAGTCTATAGACCACATGGGCCGCCGAAGTGCCGCGAATCGCCTCGCGCCGGCGCTCTAGCCCGCGCCGTGCAGCGATCATTTCGGCGTTGGCTCTATTTTTTTCGCGAGCCGTGGGTGAATCGCGTCAATTCTGGCAGGAAGTCAAACGTAGACATAAGAGGCAGGCCGGTAAACTTAGCAAAATAAAGCATTTCAAAATAAAATTCCGCAATAGTCAAATGTGTTCGTAAACAGACACTGCAGAAAAACTACACGAACACGCACACACATACACACACATCGAACTTGTGTGCGTGTGTGACCACGTGAAGGAGGGAGTGGTTTTGGGTGTCTTTTCACCAGAGCAAACAGGACAGAGAGGCAGAAAGTCTGAGGCAAGCAGTTAAGTTGGATGACTTTAAATGAATTATGGAAGTCGAGAAACACAAGGAGCTGTACGACCCCCGAAAAACATGATTATTTACGTACCCATTTCGGAAGAAACTGCTAGGATACAGCTGCAGAATTGGAGCGGGTTCCAAGAGATTCAACTGGCAAAAAACACTCATACCAGGTTCACACACACACACACACACACACACACACACGCACGCACACGCGTACAAACACTCAAACGTAGAGGAAAAGAGCTGAGAAAAGGCAGAGAGGAAATGGAGGACACCAAGTGTTTAAAAGAAAAACTACAGCTGAGTCGAGGCGCGCCTCGACTGGGGCGCGTCTGATCTGAACTGAGGAGCGGCGAGCAGCGGCCGAATTTCGTGAGCGATTCGCTTCTCTGCGCTTCGCAGCCGGTGTGTCCCCGGCGTAAAAGTCACAATTCGGTCAAATGTCTGTTTTACGGCGGGCGTCAGATACCGACGCTCTGGCACAGCGCGTCACCTCCCAACGCGCAGGGGCTCGTCACCTGCTGTCTTTTTCGAAGACTGCATCTTGTCAGTCATTATCAGGTGACAGCGACTAGTCGATGACAGGCATAAAAAGTCACTACAGAGCAGTGAAGTCGACTAGTTGATACAACCCCTAGTGGCTAGCACAGAATTTTTTACACCTTAATGAAAGCGAAACCGAATGCTTGCTGTTGGGTGACCTTCATAGCTCAGTCTTGTTAAATCAGAGCTTTTGCTCTTTGGCGCCACACTTAAAGTATTTTGTGAAGAAATTGGGAGTTATGTTGTACAACAATCTTAGACAGACAAATAAAATTGGTTGTGTAATTTATTTTTCCCACTTAATGCTACTGAGTAAAGTCAATCCCCTTCTTTTATTTAATGACCTTGAGATACCCGATCCAGACGTGGCTATTGCAATGCTCTCTACTCTGGATTTAAAAAGTCGTTTGTGTCACGTACAGTCCAAACTGCTGCTGCTCGCCTGCTGACCATCAGAAGGAAATTCGAACACATATCCTGTTTTGGCCTTTCTGCACTGGCTTCCAGATCAATTTGATTCTTTAATGACTAACTTTTGCTTTGAAATCAGTAAAAGAGTGGCACCATCCTTTTTGACTGAGCAGACCCATCTCAACATACCAGCAAGAGCCCTCAGGTCAACTGCTCAAAACTTATTAGAAGTGCCCAGATCCAAATATAAATGCTTTCGCAGTATGTGCCTCTACTATTTTTACATCTCTATTTATTTTTGTATGTTTCTTATTTCATTTACTCAACAACTTTGGCTACTCTGTCATTTGCTGCTCTGTCCTTGCCAGCGTAATTTTCTTTTATGATGCGTTTTAATCTCTTTTTAGCACTTTGGCGAACCAGTTGTTTTAACGTGCTATATAAATAACCTTTAATTTGATTTGATCTTCTGAGTCTTTTAATAGTAAATGGACAGCTGTAAATGCTCAGCTGAACATCTTCTCTATCTCCCTCTGCTGACAGGTTACACGTTTTTCGCGCTGTTTGAGTACCTTGTGGTCTTCTCCAACATGGCTTTCCATCTGACAGCTGTGTGGGACTTTAAGAGCCGTCAGATTGTGATCATTTCATCTGCTGAGGATAAAGACTTCTGACTAGAAAGTCAGAGACTGAGCAGTAAATGTGGAGTCCGTCAGCCGTCTGAGGATAACATCAGTGCCCACACAGAAGAAGACTGGGATGGCCTTTTTCACATATTTTCATGACAGGAATTCTAAAGTGTTTGGAAGCTGTTGATGTCACTCTCATATATTTTCATGGCATCTGGAAGTATGCTGCCTCAGTGTCATATTTGTGGATGCCTTCACCTACAAAGCGTATTAAGTTTTGTAAAATACAGACTCTTACATATCGCACAGCTACTATGTGGACAGCCAATGTGTGCGTGTTAATCTGAAGTTTGATTTCTTCAAGTTTGTCAGATTTTTACTTTCAAATGTGAAGGTGCAGTTGGCACATGTCTTTAAGTGTTCTTAATTAACATCATGAATAATACCTTGACCTAAAAGCCATTACTTCTCAGACTTTATTTTGCACAAGTCATAATTTTTTTGCAGTTACTTTTATCTGAGGCTTGACTGGCATAGTAGCCAACACATTTGTTTTTTGTTTTCGTTTTTAAACAAACAAAACTGTTCAATGTCATAGCACTCTCTCGTGGAAAATCATTTGAATGGTTATATTTATTACTTTGATAATCCACGCCATTAAACTTGGTTTGTCAAGTTTTATTTAAAAGTTAATTTTGTAATTACTTTATTATTAGCATATCGATGTATTTTATTTAAAACAGTTTAAATACTGTCAATGTGGGTTTAATATTTAAAGTATTAAAAATATTTTCTTTCCATATTTACACTGCATTTTGTGGATGATTAAGGCTTTAAACGACACAAAGAAAATAAAAACAAGACGCTGTTCTTTTTTTCATTGTAATTACCAAAAAGGTCCGCTAGATGTCTCACTTCTGGCACATTCGTTGCTCTGCAGTACTGTTCTAGTCCTGTGAGGGGCGACATTTGCCAGTCACGACTGATGACTACCTTGTAGAGGAAGACGAGCTCGCTGCGGTTTTTTCGGTTCAGTCTCTGGTTCGGTGGAAAACCGAGATCTCCTACAAGAGGTGGAGTTCCCTGTGCTTCAACTCCGCGGGACCAAGCATAATCAGCAATGTTCACACAGAGCTGAAATTACCGATTTGTGGGCTCAAAATACATGACAGGTAACTTTAGTTCCTGTGTTTAGTTATTTTGAGGTCAGACTTAGCAGTGCCTGTTAGCCTAGCTAAAACTAGTAACGTTGTTGTTAGCTAAGCAGTGGCTAATGTGCACACATTGAAAAATATAAAATGTTGAGTCCAGTGTAGACCGACTGAGGTAAAAGGGCGAAAAAATATAAATGATTTTTAGCTTTTGTGGTGCTCCGTTTGTTCGGAGGGACTCCATATGTTAGTCAGCCGAGCCGTGCTGCTTGCTAGCTTGTCGAGGCTTGACAGAGGAACGCAGAGAACCAGGCTGTTGTGACTTGTTGGGCTGATTATTTGTGATTGTGTGTTTGTTTTGCACCGTAAGTGATATCTGCATGTGTGATTTGGTTCACAAGATCAAAACACAGCTGTTAAGAAAAAGCAACGACTACCTCTCATTGAAGCCATGCAAGCCAGCACTGCGGGTTTCACCCAGGAAGAGCAGACGAGTTTGAGTAATTATCTTGATGTAATTGCAAGTATTTCACAACACAACACCAGTTTTTGTGACCTGCATCTTATTGCTGCTGGAAAACAATGTCCAGACATAACTATTATTCATTGGTGCTATTTGCTGTAGTAAAAAATCACTTGTTAGACTTGCTCATGCGGGGGTTGTCGTGTCCAAAACTGCCATTAAAAGTAAAAAGGAAGTTGTTGCATCTAAATAGAGTTACATGTGCTCAGTTCTTTGATAATCTCCCTCTCTCCCATGTTTAAGTAATGATTTTTGACTATAAACATAGACTGAAAGTGCAAATTAATTATCCTAGAGCGCTTGTGATTTAAAGGCATCTGCTTTCTTTCCAGCAAACAGCCGACATGGAGCTTTACAAATCTGTGACCTTGTGGATATTTTGTTTGTGCCTCATTGGGGAAGGTGTGCCTGAAAAACAAAACTCATCTGCATCAGATTCTCTACTAGATAACAGTAATACACCAGGTAGGTGACCTTTCACTACATAATTCTTCTGTAGTCACACTAATGCCTTGCTTTTAATCTTCCTATTAAAACCAAAGTGACACAAACACTACATATTGGCAGAGTATTGCAGTTCGTGCTGCGTCTTGGTGATTGTTCAGACTCTAAATGTGGCCAGGCTGAGAATAGTACAGCTGGCATTTACCATTAAGCTCTGTCCTCAAGCATGGAGCTAGCCAGCCAGTCAAACTGGAGCTAATTGAGCTAATGTTTGTCAGACCACATGGGGAATTTTTCTAAATACCAAATAATACGGTAATAATTAAGTATCTGTTGAACTGTTTAGTTATTCATAAATTAGGAGTTTTTAACACGTTTCCACTCATTATTTGTTAAGTAGGCCTTCGACTTTGGTTGCTGTGCTTGGAGGAATGCACTGCATTTATGAGCGATGGTTGCATTTTCATCTGTCAAACATTAATTATAATAGTTATGCATGTGACACGAGGATCTAGAGATGCTGTTGGGGAGCATTTATTTTTATAAGCCATTCAAACAAGTGATGTTTGCATTTCTACGAGGATGCTTAATTTAGAGTTTTTCACCAAGATACCTTTAGTATAACTGAGTTGTGTGTTAAAGTAGATACGTATTTACTCACATGTGAGTGAAAATGCCCAGCAAACACCAGTCCCGACAGCAAAAAGGATTTATTCTCACCATGACGGAAAGTTAGAAGTTAGATTTTCTAAATCATGTTGGAATATATTAGGTGTGACTGTTATCAGGTGGCAAAGTCATGGTGTGTGTTTTATTACGCAACTTGAGCTCTCACAAAAAAAAAGTGGGCTGACTGGTATGTAAATACCTTATCTTCTCTGGAGGTTTGCAAGCCAAATGTGAGAAGAATTCAGGGCTGGTGCAGTTAGTGGACTTTTCACCGACTTTCACACTTTTTAGGTACAATGAGTTCATTTCCTTTGTGATGTGTGGCTTTTCAAATTTACAAGCGCTGAAAGTCCTCGTATTCTGTATCTTAAAAATAACCTTGTTCACTGTGTGGAAGTTCAGTCCCTTGTCATGGTTTAGTGGTTTCACTTACGCCACGTTTTACCAACTTAAAAATAGACTCATTCATGTCTGGGAACAGAAACCATTTGAAAGGATTGGTAGTGACTCTTTTATTCTCTGTTTCGTCTCACTTGGCATGGAGCCCACTTGTCAAAACAACTTATTCTGGGATTAAAGGAAGCAGGTTTGGTAGAGCATGATCAGTGAGGGGGAGTGGTATGCTGCTGGTTCCAGTTCAGGGCAAATAAAATCCCTTCGGGTTATGTTATGCATTGTGGATGATTCTAACCAATAAAAGTACATCATCAGTCAAGATTTGTGAACTGTAGCTCCACCGCGTATTAAAGAGGAAGTTAGGGTGTTATTTTTACGAGTTTACCTCGTTTTGTTGCACAAGCAGCCTCATATAAGGAAGTCCTATTTATTGAGTTGTGGACTCGTACAAAAATCTGGGGACTGGTTGAAAATCTATAGCGTCTTGAATAATCATCATAATCACTATCTAACTAACCCTTTTCATCCTTTTGTCAGTGTTTATTTGTTCTTATCAAGTTTTATTTAGCCCTGAAACAGATTTATGAGCCAGATCTCCAAACGTAGGACTACAGCTCTCACGCAGACCCGGATAGGATTGTGTCTAGTCTGGACTCAGTTTCTTAGCTTTATAATTATCCTTTTAAAGGTGTGGAGCACTCGTTAGATCAATGCATTAGCAGTGGTCTCTAGTGGGAAAGAATGCCTGGTAAGCCGTACTCTGGAGCAGAAAGTAGCTTCAGACGACAATTTTGAACTCTTATTTCCTGATTTTTGGAATCACATGGAACATTCCAGGAAGAGCCGGGAATATGAAGGAACACCAGGTAGTCTGTAGCTTGTCCATAAGGTCATGGCTGTACTCTAGCTTCAGGCATTGTCTAAAATCCATCGGGGTAAATCGACCAATCAACATGCAGCTTATTTAATAATCATGTCCTGACCGAGTGGGCGGGGCAAACCAGTTGTAGGGCTTTATTATAGGGTTGTAATTGGTCATTTACCAGGTCTCCTGGGCCATTTTGGTCCCCAGAAAAGTTTTATTTGCTTTATAAAGGCTCAAATAACCGTTTCTAGTTGTAAAAGTGGATGTTCCCCGTATTGCAGTGTGTCTCCAGAGTTTGTAGCTAAAATGTCTAATCAAATTGGGAGTGGCTGCATTATCCCTGATCTGTGCAGATTTATATTTCCCCAAAAGTACAATGGAGAGAACTTGGTGGTTAGCCAGCCACATCACTGAGATGTATGCTTCCAGGATTATCTATAATTAAATGAGAAGCTCTGGTAACCAAAATCTTGTAGCACTTCTGAGATCATTAATCAGTCGGCCTGAGATGGTCCCCCGTTAATGGAATTGTTTGTTTTGCTCATAATAATTCACAAGTACTCTATTCTGTTATGTAAATGTTCCCGTTTTAACCATAAAAGCTTGTTTTCATCTGCGGTTCCTGTAAGGTCGATGTTATAAATGCGTAGGGATAAACTAAAGAGCACATAATTAAGCCCCTTTGCTCATTATTGACAAAATTACATAATGTTTGGTTAAAGAGATAATTTAAGCTTAAATAAACATGTCAGAAACAACACCCACTCTTTAAAATATAACAAACTACAAGGTTTTATTAAATTTTAGGCCCAATAGTCATTAATCTACTTGTCTGACAGACACTTTAACGCAATACTTGACTTCTTGGTAACACAGGAACCTTGAGTGAAATCCTTTATGTAAACGGTCCTTTTGTCTTCAGCTGACGGGTTTTTGCAGTTCAGTTGTTTCAGCAGGAAACTGTGGTTTAGTGAGGGCGACTGCACGCCAAGGGGATTTTCTGGCAACTGGACAGAACTGAAGGAAAAAAGTCAGAACCTTGACTGTCTGAGCTCATGGCTTCATTCCTGCTCTAGGTGGAACACCTCAAAAGGTCTTAAACTCATAAAATCAACTACCAAGGTGGATTTTTGCCCATTATCATCATGAAAGAAAGAATGAATGAACGTATTTGATGTGATAGCTGTGCTAACCATAATTTTACAAATAAGAAATATTAAGAAGACACATTGTTTAATGACTCGTTTTTGATTCCTTTCCAGATTTTTGTCGTATTGATGAGCCACTATGCAAGGATGAGAACGCCATTCTCAGTTTTGAGGCGATCCGTAGTATCCACAAGCAGATGGACGATGATGCAAACGGAAACGTAGACGTGGCAGAGACAGATGGCGTAAGTACCAGCAAAGAAAAGAAATCTCAATAATGTAATCCTCTCTGGATATTTGCTGCTAAGGTAGTCAACGAATATCACGGCGACTGTCCTTAGCTCAGCATCTGAGGGATTTGACCTGTTTGCACTCCAGCGCTTCTTTTGCTGACGTTTTTCTCAAATAAGTACCTAAGTGCAATTTAAGCATGGTTATAACGACATTGATGTTGCAGGTTGTCTGCATGAGGTCTATCCAGGGTATCTGCAGGTCCTTAAAAAGTCTTAAATTTGCTTTTCCAAGTTTAAGGCCTTAAAAATCCTTAAAAATGACAAATAATCCTTAAATAGTTTCCAAAGGTCTTAAATGACCAAAGACCCAGTAAACAGGATTCTTTTATTTCTATAAAATTTTCGTGAATTTCTAGTTAGTTCAGCATTTTGTGTGTACGATGTTGGTGTAAGCGGAACCGTACACATTCGATTGGTTGTGAAAAGGGGCTATTTTTAGATGAGCACATTAGCTGGTTAAGTTAGTGGGAGTTTGTGCCATGGGGAAGTGCAACATTAATGGTAACTGGATGGCTAATCCCACGTTCATGACGTGGTTAGCACCGGTTCCAGCTGGAAATTATAGCTTAAGTTTAATTTTTTTTAAAAGTAGCTTAAATTTGGTCAAAGTGGCCTTAAAAAAGGTCTTAAAAAGTCTTAAGTTCGGCTTCCATAAACCTGCAGATACCCTGTCTATCAGTGGCTGTTTTAAGTAGGCAAAGCATTATGAGTGCTCATGTCGGTCCACATCTGTGTAACTTTCCCAGAAACCAGACTGTCGTTTCTCAGATGTTACCATAAAGACACGTCCACGCCAGTCAAACACCACAGGTTTCATTCTAAAGTTGGCAACGTGATTTAAGAAATGGATTTCATGTGCAGCGTTGGAATTTTCTTAAAATATTTAATTTCATTGTTTTTTATACTAATCTAAGGTGGTTTCTCTTTGGTTAAAATGTTTTCAAGTTGTTTTTCGACTGTTCCTTTTTCATTTTTAAACTATGTACCTAGTGAGAGTAGGGATTCTTCGTCCAGGTCTATTGCTACCTTACCTCTGCTAAGATTTCAGCGTGTTTATGAGTTACTGGCTAAGTGATCGATCTGGACAGAGGAAACCATAGCATTGCCTAGTTTTTGACAAAAAATGTGTTTTAATTTTCCTTTTTGTGGGAAAAAATACACAAAAACCTTCTACAGTATCTGTTTTTTGTTTACGAGGTTTGGAACTGAAGAAGCCTCTTGGACGAGAAGTAAAATGTTTTCAAGATAACGTTATTTTCAATTAAAATGTTGTCCTTCACCGCTGATCTCAGCTGTTCCAGGTGTCTTTTCATTCTCTGCTGAGTCTTGAAAACTTGCCTCAAACTCTTTATTAAGTTAATTGTGGTGGAGCATTCTAAAAAGCTTTCTCTGCTATTTTATTTTTTCTTGCGTTTGTTGCAGGATGCAAATTAGAGTCACTCTCACACCAGGTGTAAAAGTTTCACAAGACGTGTTCGATTGTGTTTTGCCACCGCGCTCCTGAACTGTGTGATAGAAGCGGGGAAGGAGGCTGCACAGCACACACACACGGCCTCTTCAGGCTGCAAAGTCTGAGCTACGTGTGACCAGTTTGTATGAGCGGCTCTGAAAGGTCTTGATCAGAATACTCAGATCACATTAATTCATGGAGATCGGCCGATAATTATCGGCGTCCGATCCATCAGAACAGAACACCACCAAATCAGTTATATCTTAACCCAAAGTTATTCCACTTTTATAGAATAGTTTTCAGCTCATGGCTACATCACTTGTTTCCTATTAATACTACAGCAAAGTTAGTTCAAATAGAGAAACGATTTGCCTGCAGCAAAATGTCTGTTTTGTATGAAGGTGGAATTTTTCTGCAGAGTTCAATCAAAGAAGAGACGGTTGTGGTTCATTGCTGTCTTTCAGTTATGAGTGGCTGAAAGCCTGATGTGATGCAGAACTCATTACAGTGAGAACAATGGTGGGTGGTTTGGCCTTCAGCAGATGTCATTGGTGTAGTTAAATCATCTGGCAAGAGACGGCGGTCATTTTAATGAAGGAAAAGTGGGGCAGTTTGGACACGGCTGATTCATGTCTGTTACAAAGACTGCTCAGCGGTGGCTAAAGAGATGAACGAGGAAGTTGTGGTTGACAGTGGTGACTGACGCATGCGCATTAGCGCAGTACAAGAAAAATAAAAACGGGAGAAGTTCTTCTTTAGATTATGTCTAACTGTCAAGAACATATTGTGATTCCATTATCATGAATGTAACTAATATTTACAAAGATTGGTGCTCATTTGATTCTTCAACCATTACAATTGTAGTCTAAAAAGGTAGAAATGATGATGTTACAACACAGATCAGCACACATCAGGAAGAAGGAACTAACCACATTATATTTCCCATCCCTTGAGGAAGTAACAATGTAGTGCTGTTATGATTTTTGTTTGTTTTATACGCTTGGACAACTGTGTCAATCAGTGCAGACTAGCTTTCATCCTAACATTCTGTGGAAAGACATTTTTCATTTGATGGGCGTGTTTCTGCTCAGGTTAACATCACTCTGGTTTGAACACTACTAACCTAATATGAACTGATGGCACCTGGCTTCTGTCAGTGCACCCCAGGGCAACTGTGTACATTACCACCTGTGTGTGGGTAGGTTGCATGGGTAGGTTTATGTTGTATCCCCCTGCCCTGCTCATTGCTACCACCATAACACTTTTAAAGCCCAGGGAAACCCTGGATGTGTGGTAGAGGTTGACCGATAATGGTTTGCAGTTACCCATGGCCGATATGTAGAAGACACAGTAAGCCGGTGGCGATATGTAGGAGATACGGAAAGCCGATGGCGATATGTAGAAGACACGTCAAGCCGATGGCGATATGTAGAATATACGGAAAGCCGATGGCGATATGTAGAAGACACGGTAAGCCGGTGGCGATATGTAGAAGATACGGTAAGCCGATGGCGATATGTAGAAGACACGTCAAGCCGATGGCGATATGTAGAAGACACAGTAAGCCGGTGGCGATATGTAGAAGACACGGTAAGCCGATGGCGATATGTAGAAGACACGTCAAGCCGATGGCGATATGTAGAAGACACAGTAAGCCGGTGGCGATATGTAGAAGATACGGAAAGCCGATGGCGATATGTAGAAGACACGTCAAGCCTATGGCGATATGTAGAAGACACAGTAAGCCGGTGGCGATATGTAGAATATACGGAAAGCCGATGGCGATATGTAGAAGACACAGTAAGTCGGTGGCGATATGTAGAAGATACGGAAAGCCGATGGCGGTATGTAGAAGACACAGTAAGACGGTGGCGATATGTAGAAGACACAGTAAGACGGTGGCGATATGTAGAAGACACGGTAAGACGGTGGCGATATGTAGAAGACACAGTAAGACGGTGGCGATATGTAGAAGACACGGTAAGTCGGTGGCGATATGTAGAAGATACGGAAAGCCGATGGCGGTATGTAGAAGACACAGTAAGACGGTGGCGATATGTAGAAGACACAGTAAGACGGTGGCGATATGTAGAAGACACAGTAAGCCGGTGGCGATATGTAGAAGACACGGTAAGCTGATGGCCGATATGTACTGTCAGTTTTTATGGGTCAATTTTCACGTTTTCCACCTTATTTTCCTGCTAAATGTCACTAATAACATTGGTTGATGTACAAAATTGAAGCTGAATCAGTTTTTGAATTCTGAATTTAACTTTAATGTTAAATCTTAATTCTGCGTGCTATTCAGAGTTAGTCAGACACCCAAATAAAGTTAATTTAGAGTATTTATTATCCAGATATTATTAGGGAAAGTAAAAATACATTTAAATTAAATTCTGCAACGGCACCGGGTTGCCCTAGGATGCGCCTGACTTTAAATCGGCTTTACTAAGGACAAATCTCGGCTGGTACCGATTCGGCTGACCCTATAGTCCCGTTTTTCCTCCCAGCTGTGGGCATTTTCTGTTACCGGCGTCAGTACAGGATCGGCTCGGGGTCCTTCGACTGCCGATGACGTCAAAGTAGTTGATTGGCTGAACATGAAGCTTACGGAAGTTACGTTATCACGTTATGATTTTGATTGGTCAGAACAAACTTGCGGCTGTAGTCTTGGCGGTTGTAGTCCTGTAGTCCAAAAATCAACACTTTTTGGAGAAAATATGTTTGAATTTCTAAAGGAAATGTAAAATATAAGCAAATGATAAACGGTGACCCTCAAAAGCTCTTGATGTTGATGAAATGGGGCCAAATAAAATATAAGAACTTTATTGAAAGACACCAAGCAATATTTTGAGTCAGATAATGTATTTAGATAACAACTAAGGAAATATACAGATGAACTCCACATTAATACAAACAGATATGGCTTCACATATAAGAACTGTTCTGTTTTTAGTCAGTTCGATGTTGGTTTTATGCAGTTTCACATTCTTAACCAAACAAAGATAATATGGTGTTTAATTAACAAATTACAATTATAATGAAAACATTTAGGTGTTAACAAACAAGAATTTATTAACAAAACTGCTGATGTCTTTCCAAAACGTGTGTGTGAAAGCCGAGTAGATTTGCAGTCATGTGACGTCATCGGCAGTCGAAGGACCCCGAGCCGATCCTGCACCCGAGCAGATCCTGTACCGACACCGGCTCCGAACTCTGATTGGTTCTTTTATCATCCAGTCACACCTGTTCCATTTTCTGATTGGCTCTTTTTTTTTCTGTTTCTCTCATCTTTTGCGTTTTCTGATTGGATTTTTGTTACTGTGAAATTTCATGGTCGTCTTTTATTTGTCATCAATATTAGTCATAATTTAGTTTTCATACGTTATTTTTTTTGTTTTCATCTGATTTTTGTGTCTGCAAAAAATTAGTCATGAAAAAAAGAAAATATTTTGTCAATGAAAGTAAGACTGGGATGTTGTGAAGCCCCTTGGGGGGTTGTAAACAGAAGAAGGCGCTGAATCAAATACAGGTCATTTACCATCACATAGTCTGTAACTTTTAATAAAGCCCCATTCAGATGAGTTTTTATGAATCCAGTCTTTGTAAATATAACAAAATTAGTTCCCTCATTTCATTGAGCTAACCAAAAACAACCACCGTTCTTTTTTTAGTCCGGCCTTTTTCTATTTAAATTGTTGAAAATGTGCTTTTACTTCTCTACAGTTCCTACGAGAGGACCTTAACTACCATGACCCCAAGGCCAAACACAACAGCTTCCATGGAGACGACCAGTTCATCAGTGTGGAGGACTTGTGGAATGCTTGGAAAAGTTCTGAAGGTAATCTGCACAAACAGACGTGCCTTTTGAAGTTTTTATGTTTCAGAGTCGGTTATGAAATGCAAATCTTTCTACTTGTTGTTTCATGTTTTAATCTTCAGGAATGTCTGTCTTCTTTCATTGCTTAAATGATCTTTACCTCTGTAGACCTCAAGAGTACGTAGCATACCCTGAATCCCCTCTAGTCTAGTTTATGTTCCCTTTAATGCGTTGAAAGATATTCTCTCTGGTTTGCCTGAAAGACCGCAGGTCTGAGTGTTAAAGCCCCTCACTCTCCCAGCTAAGCGAGTGAAGTGGTTGATTAGATTCCACGTTGAGCAAAGAGCATCTTTCTTATCAGCTTCAGATAGTGGGAAAGTGGACATCGTTGAATCTGTTGGCACAAAACTCACATACACTCTGTCTGACAAGCTGTGGGACCAGTCTTCTTGTGTTTAGCTAAGAGCCGTGTTTTCTCTGGAGATCATGTGCAGACTTTGCCTTGGTGCAACACCTTAACTCTCTTTTGCTTGTGCTGACTTACTCTGCATTGCAGTGTCTCGGTAAAACTGGAGGTCCAGAGCTAAAAAACGGGGTTTGTTAAAGATGGAGACATTTTAACAATAACGGACCGCGTATTTTATAATTAGTCTCAAGCTTGGAAGCCGATTTAGACTTAGTTATAACATTTGGCAAGCTGATGCATGTTAGTCTTATTGTACTTATTAATATCTAAATGAATGCAGTTTTTATACACATATTAGTCAGGTGGAAAATCTTTATTATTAATATAATCGCTCATAATTATTAATAAATGTACAAAATCACATGAGGACTTTGCAAAGCTCGTCCTCAGGATGGTTGAATCGATTTGTCTGTGGTGCAACACAAACAAGTGGCGTCGGTTTTGCACCATGGCGGAACACTTTATTATCTCTGTCAATAATACTGGTACTGAATATTTGATGAGCAAACACTAGTCAGCGTTGAAGTCATGCTCATTGTTTTCCTCCAACGGTTAGCTCAGTTGTGCTAAAAAAGAAAGCGTAAACAGATTTTTAAAAAATTTTTTACTGCACTGTAGCGTCAGTATTATTTTATCATGTTTGTTAGAATTGTCAAACTGTATCAACATATTTTTTTCTCTCTAACTCAGTTTATAACTGGACGGTGGACGAGGTGGTGGTGTGGCTGATCTCCTACGTGGAGCTGCCGCAGTACAAGGACGCCTTTCAGAAGATGAGTTTTAATGGAAGCACCATGCCAAGGTAAAAAAGCTCGCTGGACTTGGTCAAAATGTTTTTTCTTAAACAAGGAAGTGTTATTTATTTGTTTTTATGTGGGGAGAAGTAAATTATAATGTAGTAGAAATTAAACCAAGTATTGGTTTATACATCAGTTTGTTTCTCCAGGTCCGCATTTCCTGTTTTCATCAGCCACATCAGTCCTGATTAGTTTTTCTTAGGTGTTTTGTTTTAAATAATTTGTTGTATTTAATAACTGTTGCTTCTTTAAGAGTGACTCTTTGGGTTTTAAGCCCAAAACGAGTTCCGCCCTTAGCTCTTTCTTCCTGCTTCCTGCTAAATGAAGCTGCGTCTGCTCTCTCTCAGGCTCGCTGTAAAGAACACCACCCTGACACTCTCTATTCTGAAGATTTTGGATCGCAGCCATGTTCAAAAGTTGCAGCTCAAAGCCTTGGATACTGTACTTTTTGGAGCACCCCTGAGTATGTAACATCCTTCATTGTCTTGTTTTTTTATTAGCAGATTAGATTGTTTATCCTATTGTCTCGCTTTCATACAAGTACAGTTTCAGTGCTCCTCAAGATACGTGTCCTCAGGAACTGGCCTTGTGTGAGAATGAGGTCACATTAAATCAGATATGAACATGTGAAGTCCTCCACTTTTAACAAAACAAAACAAAAAAACACACACACACACACAACATTGTGTGCATTAAAGCTTTTATTTTTAGGTGCTTTTGTCACCCAACAACAAAAATACTTTTTCTGATTTTAACTTGGGAATTTCCTAGCATGCTGCTGACTGTTTCCTTCTGTTTGTGTTTGTTCTTTGTTTTTATGGTGCTTTGCCAAATTTTATTCATTGAATGTACTGGTATTCATTTATAATCTTTTCTTGACCTGGACCTTCCTGTTTTTGGTCATTGATATCCTCAATATCCATTTCAGGTATTGAAAAAGGATTGGCTTTGTGGACCGTGTCCTCACTCACACCTGTCCCCTGTCCCACGTCACTCCTGTTTCCCATTCAGCTGTCTGTGTCAAAAGGCTAGGTGTGGCTGTTACACCTAGAAGTTGGGTTATTATAATTTGTTAATAGTAGGGATGCACCGATGGATCGGCATTTGATCCCAATCGGCCGATAGCGCCCCTATCGGTTTTGATCGGAGTTTTCAAAATAGATCAAAGCAGACCGATCAGCAGACCATTTTAGATTAGGTTACATTTCCTTTATTCCCAGATTATGTAGTTTGTAGCACTCATTATAATGTTGTAGAAAATTTCTGGCCAATCCACGTGATCGTATCGGTGATCGGTATCGTGATCAGCATTCTTTGATATCGGTATCGGTGATCGGCAGCAAAAAACCTGATCGGTGCATCGCTAGTTAATAGGTTTATATGAAGCTGTGTTGCTGGTTTTTATATTGTGAATAACTTAGACTGCACAAAGATGAAAGTGTGTATTTTTAATGGGTTGCTGTAAGAGCTCATCTAATCATTAATGAAGTCAAAAGAAATTTAATGAACCTCTAAAGAAATCAGACATTTGCGTTGGAGAAAGATTGCACCAGGGCACAATGTGTAATGGTCTGTTTCTGACATGTGTTGTGTTCACACCCAAAGGGAGACATTAGTGAGCTCCTTCTGGCTTTGACAGTGTCTGAAAACAAAGAGTCTCTCTCTAACAGCTTTTTAAGACACCCGTCACTTTGGTTTGAGTCTGAAATAGTGGACAGTTGTGTAATGATAACCCTAAGTGAATCATGGTCTGCTTATTTGCATTTGTGGTCTATTGATAGCATTTTTGGCATAGATTGAATGTGTTGTTCGCTGTGTTTAATAGCAAATTTCCTCGATTAGTAAAGAAAAAAAATGTTGTAAGAAATTCATTAGAAGTTTTAGAAAGCTTGTTATGGGAGACAATAGAATAGCTCAGCAGAATAGCGTGACCTGTATTAGATCCCAGTAACATCATGCAGTGTTCCTTTTAAAGGTACGCAAGGCCTTTCAAGTAAGCTACATTTTTGGGAGGAAAAAAATTAACAAAAAAAACCCACTATTAAAAGGTCCAGTCCCCCTTCTGCAGGCTCTGCCTCTAAGCTACAGCAGGAGAATGCTAGACACAACTTATATTGTTAAACAACCATAAAAAATGTACATTTTCTTATATTTTTTACGTGTTGTTGCTCCTTTTCTGCCATAATTCCTAACGTTACTCACCTACCTAACAGCCAGAGAGCCTCCAGGTTTCTGACTGACTGTTCATAATATGATATAGACTTCTACAGACTCTTGTCTTAGCTGAAAGTCTAACCCCGGGTTTCCACGGGAGCCGCCAGCAGCACGTTACTGCAGCAGCACGTCTAGCTCGCGTAAACTGCTGCTTGGCCCTTCCCACGAGACGAGAAGCAGCAGGGGAGCAGCTGTCACCGACCGAGCACGAAGTCACACGAGTGACTTTGTCAGTAAACACAACAACAAGCAGGAGAAAATTACAACATGGTTTGTGTTTTATGTTCTGTCCATTTTATAATCGCCAATACGGACCTGAAACACAAAGGAGACCGCTAGCTAGGTGATAACTTCTCACGGGGCCACACAGTTAGTAACCTTTTTTAAAAGTAAAGCAACCGGAAGGCAGTACGTTCTTTATTCTGAAAATCTCGGGAGCTTCTCTCCATTTCTGCGTCCGATTTCCTGTCTTTTCTTCCCCAAAAATTTCGAACTTGACCCGTTTCAGAGGCGTCGCGCGTAGAAAATAGAACCGGCGCGTAAAGGCCGCGACATGCTGCTCCTGAGACGCGGCCGACTCGCGCTGCTGACGACTCCAGTGGAAAAGGTTCTGTTGACCACAGCAGTTCCTATCAGCAGCTATGACGTGCTGCTGCAGTAACGTGCTACTGACGGCTCCTGTGGAAAGCTGGGGTAAGAGAGAGGAGCACTGGGACCTAGATCAGAGATCCAGCGGGGAGCACTGGACTTATCGCACTGTAAAATCGCTCTGCTACTTCTGCTCAGGCTACGTAACAATTAGGGGCGGGGTGCGATTTTAAATATTAAGCTAATTAATCAAAGGCTTTGTAATTAATTAATCTTGATTAATCAAATTTTAATTGTTCAAGACAATTTGCCCTGAAGCCATTTTTCTTTACTAAAGATACTGTTAGTGAGGCACAGATGACATACCGACGCTTTAATGCAGAGGTCACCAACCTTTGTGAAGCTGAGAGCTACTTCATGGCTACTGAGCCATACGAAGGACTACCAGGTTGATGCAATACTGACCTTTGAACTGGAATAGGTCAGAGTTAAACAAAACTTCATGTATAATAAACATGTTATTGTTTTTAAAGAATATTGTATTTAAGTCTATAATAATGCATTTATGTTGTAAAAGATGGCAGCAGAAATGTTTTTGTTTATTGTAGACTAATGTTATTTAGTTAAAAGGCCTGGGGGCACCAGGTGGGTGACCCTTGCTTTAATGAGTATATTTATGTAACCACAAAGTCTATTTGATTATGTTGGTCTCATTATAAAAGTAACCATTGTGAGATTTGTTGGGATGTATAAATATTAGTGACTGTGTTATGGATGAAGTGCAAATGAACATGGAACATTTTAAGTGTTGCGTACTGAGCTGAACACTAGGTGGCAGCAGATGCTTGTGATCAAGCAGAACATTTTTAACACAACATTTTTTCTCTAATTAATTAATGAAAATTAATGCGTTTAATTTCCACCTCTAGTAACAAAATAACTGTTTAGTAAACTAGCCAATATAGTTAGCCCAGCTCTGGCTTCACTTCCTGTTCAGCTGCTCCATGCCAAAAAAGCGCGTCCGAGTCATTTGATTTTGAGAATCAACCGATATCGAGTCTTGATCCGATACTTTCGAGAAAGCAAAGAAACGGATCTAGAATGTTCCTTTTTAAAATGTAATTTACCTTAACATTTAACAACTCTGTTAACAAACAACACAGTTAGCTAGAACAATCAAGTAATATCCATCCATCCGTCCGTCCGTCCATTTTCATCCACTTATCCGAAGTTGGGTCGCTGGTGCAGTAGCCTAAGTCGAGAGGCCCAGACTCCCCTCTCCCCAGCCACTTGGGCTTGCTCTTCTGGAGGAATCCCAGGGCGTTCCCTGGCCAGGTGAGAGACATAGTCCCTCCAACGTGTCCTGGGTCTCCCTTTAGGCCTCCAGGGAGGCGTCCAGGAGGCATCCTGGCCAGATGCCCGAGCAACCTCAACTGGCTCCTCTTGATGTGGAGGAGCAGTAATAAACAACATCAATTCTTCACTTTTGGACTTAAGTGCAAATATAAAAGTCTAATATAAAAATAAATAGTACCCCAAGTTAAAATACCTGGCAGGGGTCTATTTTGCCTTGTTTTTTTTTTTTTAATGCTTTGATTCGTCTCTGGGCATGGAACTGAGTTTTAGAGGTGATCTGAATCATATCAAATATATAAATATTACATGCTGATAAATAATTGCAGAGCGCATCTGGCTCAAATAAAAGACAGAAATTACCAGAGGGAATATGAACGGACATGAACGATCATGTGTTAATTACATATTTTTTGGGTGGTCGCCACATTGAGAATGTTACCGAAGCTGTGGGCAGGAAGCAGCTGCCTGGAGCGCATGAATCATCAGCGCTCTGCGTCTTCGCTCAAAAGAATCCCTGCTATGCTGAAAGTCCATATAGATAATACTATATAGGAAGAAACAGAATATTTGAATATTTATCGAATCAAATTTGATATTAGAACCAGGTTCCCCTTAGCTCTACTGTAATTTGAACCCGGTATCCGAGTCCAGAACGGGAAGTAACGCCCGATTCTGATTAGGCCTGAAACCACGCGATAGGGACCGATTTTCGATCACTTGATCGGATTTGCACATCCCTAATCAAGATCCATTAAGAACGGGACATTCAGTGACTGGATGATGGTTTTCCAGGATTGCAACATTAATATATTGGTGGCCTTCCTTATGTAAATCAATCAATGTGGTAAAAAAAATGCTCTTCAAAATATCTGCTCCTGCACCTTCAAGAATCATCGCAGAGTCACAGTAACAAACTCAACATGGACAAAATAAACACACACACACACACACACACACACACGCACGCACGCACGCATGCACGCACGCACACTTTTGTTTCGTTTAATTGTTGGGGCTATAATTTAAGGTGTTGGCATAATATGTTTTGTTGCTGAATCACAGGTGTGTTACTCACTATAGCTCAGGGTAGTAGGTTGCAGGTAATCTTGAAATTTCAGGTTCTTTTAGTTCCAACACAAGAAGCAGAGCTCTCCAACACTGCCGAGTCTGCGTTTGTTCTGAATTTTATTAGCTCAGACATCAGGACTAGACGGCACACGTCTATCCTAAAACATTTTTATTACCAGCTAAATTAATGGAGCATGTGACTTACAGGCTTAGTGTTCAATGAGTTTTGAAGAAAAACAATTTCCTAGGGATGTCATTCGTTCCTTTTTTTAATTCCAGGATGTAGACAAAATCTTTGACTCCTCCTTCCTGCATTCACCTAATAAGGTTTTGCCAGAAAAAGTAACTTGTCTCATCATGCAACTTGCAAGGCTTGAAAAACAGCTTTGTGTTGGCTCTGTTATCCGTGCAACTGTTGGACTTAAAGGTGCACCTTGTACAGGGTATCCGCGGTGTTATGTTTGTCAAATGATTGGATAAACTCCAGTGTCTATGCTGTACTGTGTTTATTGCAGACTGCCACTCCCTACTACAAACACTTCCTGGTATGTATATATACCACCCCAGTGCCACCATGTGGTCACCTTTACACACTACAGGAGGACACCTGATATCAACACACGCAGGTCCTTAAAAAGTCTTAAATTTGCTTTTCCAAATTTAAGGCCTTAGAAATCCTTTTCATTGTCATATCGGGTGTTAGCACTTGTGGGTGTTTTACAGTAGGGAGCTTTTACTACACTTATGGTAATATGCCTCCGCCATTACAGGGAGTGTGGTTGTTGGCTGTTAGCTCGCTGTTATAGCTCTGAACGACCCATTCAAAGAAGTGCAGTGCCACGATTGACTCATTATTCACTTCAAACATACGTTTCACTGTAATATAAATTGTTGGTATCTGAAAAAGTAGCTTCTGATTCCTTTAGAGACAACTATTTGCTTCTAATTCACTGTTAGCATTGATAGCTCAATGTTAGCCACCAGCCTTTTTCAACCAATATTACAGTAAAACAAAAGGAGGCCCTGGCTTCATAGGAGTGAGAAAGAACCTCTGGGATGCTCCTGTTTACTGGCTTTGTTTATTTAAACTACTCTGGAGCTTTTCCCTGCTGGTGTCAAAATACAAATTCTGGTGCAGCAGCTTTAGCTCGGTGCAGACTCAGCAAACCCACGGGCTTACAAATAAAGACTATGTCTGTCTTTGTGTTTTTTTTTTATTTTGTTTTCTAAGGAGAAAAACGGACAGTGCCCCAGCCAGCTGAGAAGGAATTCAATTTCAATGTAACCTTCCCTTCAGCATGATGGAGACATTAGACTGTTTAGTGATGATTTCACTGTAAAATTACATATTTCTCCTTTAAAATAGCCTTTATTGCTCAGGGGAGAAGGTTTTCTGACTTTCATTGAACAATGTTGTTTCATTTCTTTCTGGTGACGCATCTAAATGCTATGAATCACTTTTACTAACAGCATTACTAAGTAAATGCAGCTAAGTTTTTATTTGAACACAAACTAAAAGAAATTACATTTTCACACCAGAGAAAACTACATTATGTTACCATTTAGTGCTGGATTAAAACTCGTCTGCTAAGTTCTGCTGTTGTTTGGGTTATTTATCTGAATAACACTTTTTCACCCCTTTTTCTAGTGAATAGACATAACCACTTGAAGGATTTCATGCTGGTTGTGTCGATAGTCATCGGGATGGGTGGCTGCTGGTTTGCCTACATCCAGAATCGCTACTCAAAGGACCACATGAAGAAGATGATGAAGGACCTGGAGGGCCTGCAGAGAGCTGAGAAGAGTCTACATGACTTGCAGCAGAAGTAAGGGATTTTTGCAGTAACCACAAGTCAAACCATGAAATACTTTTTCTTTATGAAACTAGATGACTAGAGAATGTGAAAGTTACCCTTCAACCCCCACGACCTGCATCAGCTGCTGAAAGGAAAATAGTTCAAATTCAAAAATACTTTATTAATCCCAGAGGGAAATTGATTGCTGTAATAGCTCAGAATAATAATAATAATAATCAAGTCATCAAAGAGTTGTATATTACAGTGGCTGTTGGCAGGAAGGAGCTCCAGTAGCGGTCAGTGTTGCAGCGAAACTGAAGAAGCCTCTGACTGAAGACACTCTTCCGTTGTCGGACAGTCTTGTGAAGAGAATGCTCAGGGTTGTCCATCATTTTCTTGATTCTCTGGAGAATCCTTCTTTACATTATCTCCTCCAGCGGTTCCAAAACTGCTGAAACTCTGGCTGAGTCCTTGAAAGGGCTTGGAGTTCCTCCATCTTGTTGGCTAGTGATCTCACATTGGCCATTATGATCGATGGAAGAGATGGTTTGAATTTCATCTTTCTCTGTCTCCGTTTTGCTCCCGCTCTGCACCCACGCTCCTTGCGTTTTAGCTCATTTGGGATTTGTGGCTTCAGTTGAGGTATTACTTCAGCCTTTCCAATGTTAATCAGCTGCTCCCGATTGTAAACCAGCTTGTTGCCATGGTTACGCATCAAAACAAATGCTCAAAAAGTGAGAAAAGCTAAAAAATAACAGTAAAAATCCTCCAAGCTTCACAGCACCAGAGACAGAAAAGTAAAATGTCCAAAAAAATAATTTTACTTACAAAATTTACATATAGTCAACAGAGCTACTCCAACATGCAGCCACCCAGAGCAGCGCAGGTCCGGGGAAAAAAAAAAGAGAGAAAAGATTCAGAAAAAAAAACCCAGTCTCTTCCACTCACTGAGAAAATTAAGACTAACCCCCAAATTCCACTACCTCCGCTCCGCTCCGCTCCGTTCCGCCCCCGCCTTCCGCAGCTGCTCGCTTCCGAACTCAATTTTTACTGGTACCCGCTCTGCAACGGCTCCGCTCCGGTGCGGAGACCTGAGGTGGGCAAACAAGCATGCGCGGGATTTTCGAGATCTTGCGATACAGTCCGAGCAATAAACGCGGAAGTTAGATCCAAACACCCGTTGTTTGGGAGAAGAATCGGCATGAACTGTTTAATCTGCCCATCATTTGTGTTGAGAGATCAGCAGTGTTTGGATCAACAAAGTGTGACTACTTTGATAGTGGAAACTGTATTTATGGCTTACTTTTGTGCATTTAAACTTCAGCCGCCATTGATAGTTGTTAAAAGTTGTTAAACCTGTGCATATGAAACAAAAAACGCCTTTTGTTTATCGATTTATTGTGAAAAACGGAAGTTGTGCTCGCTCCTTTTCCTGTTGGGCGTTTGTGATTTCTGTCCATTTACTGCGGAGGTGCTCCGACGTCCGGCAAAAATAGGATTGATTCTATTTTTGCCGGACGCCGGAACAGAGGGCGGCGCACGGCGCCGCACGGCCGCAGTAGTGGAATTGCTCTGATTGACTAGAACGGGACCGATTTTGCTCCGGCGTTCGTGTCGGAGCGGAGCGGAGCGCAGCGGAGCCGAGGTAGTGGAATTTGGGGGTAAAGGCCCCACCCACCTTTGCTTAGGCCCACCCACAGAAAGGAGAGAGCAGAAGGCGTCTCTGCTAGTTGAAGCTAACCATTAGCATTAGCAACTCCACAACATGGTGCAACATGTTCAGGCATGTTACTTGTGGAAATTAAACAAACATTGCTTTTTTTATTTTATTGTTTTTTCCCAAGATAATGCTTTGAAGTATTTGGGTTTTTTAAAGAAGGCAGCAGAAAAGTCATGTTGCTGTTAGCCAGTCTGAGGTGAGATGTGTGCATATTTATTTATTTTATTCATTCAAAAGAAAAAAAATGAACCACAGAATTTAAATATCAACAAAAAGAGCTGAAAGAAGAAAATATCTCTCATTATCTGATTCAACACATGAATCAAGCAGCTCTGAGGTCAGAGCAGAAAACGTTACACACCACATTCAACAACTTGCAGCAGTCTGTTTATGTTCATGAGGATTATACTTAAAACCAGTAAAGAAAAGTAATTTTCTGTAGGATTTAGTATGTGCCTCCAAGTATGTCCGATCCTCTCGCTCTGCCCCCGCCCTCCGCTGCCGCTCGCTTCCAAACTCAATTTTTACTGGTACCCGCTCTGCAACGGCTCCGCTCCGGTGCGGAGACCTGAGGTGGGCAAACAAGCATGCGCGGGATTTTCGAGATCTTGCGATACAGTCCGAGCAATAAACGCGGAAGTTAGATCCAAACACCCGTTGTGTGGGAGAAGCATCGAAATGAACTGTTTAATCTGCCCATCATTTGTGTTGAGAGATCAGCAGTGTTTGGATCAACAAACGGTGACTACTTTGATAGTGGAAACTGTATTTATGGCTTATTTTGTGCATTTAAAGTTCAACCGCCATTGATAGTTGTTAAAAGTTGTTAAACCTGTGCATATGAAACAAAAAACGCTTTTTGTTTATCAATTTATTGTGAAAAACGGAAGTTGTGCTTGCTCCTTTTTCTGTTGGGCGGTTGTGATTTCTGTCCATTGACAGGTGCTCCGACGTCCGGCAAAAATAGGATCGATTCTATTTTTGCCGGATGGCGGAACAGCGGGCGGCGCACTGCGCCGCACGGCCGCAGTAGTGGAACAGCTCTGATTGACTACAACGGGACCGTTTTTGCCGCGGCGTTCGTGCCGGAGCGGAGATAGTGGACTTTTGGGGTTAGTCATTTCATGGGGGGCGAAGAGGATGGAAGAGACATAAATAAACGATAATGAACAAGAGTCTGCTTCTAGGCCTGCAGAGAGAGAGAAGAAAAATAAACAAAAAGAATAAACAAAACAAAAAATGGGACACAACAACAGTACAACAAGATACAGTTTTCACTGCATCAACTTGATCAAGAAATATATAATCAACATTGATTAACTGAACAATCACACAATAATAAATCACAGTGCATTAAGTGGCAACCACAGCCTTAAGACATGTGTTGAAAATGCCCAAGTCCATACTTATGAGAGCACCATGTGAGCACCTGTGTGCGTACACTCGCTTGTTTATGTAAGGTTTCTCTATAGGAGCGACCAATAGTTGTTGTGGTGTTTCTACCTTATTGGAAATGCTTCTTTTAGAAAAAGTTAATAATTTAATTTTTAAAATACGACACTTGGCACTTATTTGGATCATTTTGGTTTTCTTTTGAACACAAACATATTTGACCTGAGGCCGATTCAGTAGGAACACTTGTGGAGTGAACAAACTGGAAAGAGTTGAACCTCTGGGGATGTCGTGTTTTGTTAGATTAAAATGACCGAGAGGTCCATCTGTACCCAGGCCAGTGGCATGAGCATTGTAACATGACCACACAACATTCCTGACTTGATTCTTAGGGACTTTGAACAGGAGATTGATGTCGTATCACTCTGAACTCGACTTGTTGAATCATCAATGCCCCCCCCCCCCAAAAAAATCTGATTTCAAAGTTTAGGGCAGAACATTAACCTTGTGACTTCATCACACGATTGTCTGGACGTAGAAGATGACCGTTTACAGTCAGTCGGAGAGCTAGCAGGGCTCGGACCCGTCTGTGAACAAGATTCGTCCACCTGTCTGGTTTCTGTGAACTTCATTGAACTTTGAATAAATACCGTCATCCACCACATTCTCTCCTACTCGTCTCTTTGACGTCACCCCTCCTCTTCTTTTGCAGTTCTTAAACATCGTCTGTAAATCACAGTAAAGCCTAATTTTGCAAATAAACCAAAAGGTCTTTTGTTCCTAACACGTAATATCCATTAAAAATCTTGCTAAAGCACTCGCGTGTTCTGCAGAACTGCAACACTTTGGCAAGTTTGCAACAGTAAATTAATTTTCATTATATTTAGAAACCAGTGGCTGCTGATTTGTTGAGTTATTTTCCATTCATTTTATAATTAGCACCGTTTCAGTTAATACATTTGGAGCGGGAATGCAGAATTCTGTGAAATTAAAACACAATTTGAGAAAAGATGAAACGGATTTCACGAGACCCTTCTGTTTCTGCCAAAGATTTAATGTAACAATAGGTCTTTTTTTTTTTTACTTTGTTATATGTCAGATTTATGGTTTGATCGTCAAAATTCTCTGACATATCATTTTCGACCATTTTGCCCACCCGTACAGCACCGTGAGGATGTTAAACTTTTGGGGATGAATTCACCTGATATTTAGGGACGGGTCAGTCACAGTGGCCGTGGGCTTCGTTGGAACACTTGTACCTCCAGTTTTGGAGTGGATTGTGTTGAAGCCCCATAGTCTTCATCATAGCCTAGTGAACCAGACCAAACTCTTGCTTTGCAAAGTTTGGTCTAGGAATGCTCCACTGGAACCTCTGCAGCCCCTAACAGCTGGCCAATCACAGCTCTCTAGAGGGGTTTCAAACACATAAAGAGCTGTGATTGGTCCATAATGGTGGGCCAATCATAGTGCTCTATCTGCTTAGTGAACAAATCACAGAGCTTTATCTGCTCTGTGGGCCAATCAGGGCACTCTATATGCCTGGCGGGTGGGATGATGCAACAGAGTGAAACAAGATGGCAACAGCTCGTTTGAAACAGCTTTTACATCAATGTTGGACTATTAGAACTTGGGCTTCATCAGAATCAGGAGCAGATAGATGTATTTAAGTGCTTTTTTTTTTTAGAAAAAATTGTGTTTTCTCCTTCTTCAACTGCGGACTGCCTCATTTACCGATAGCTGTTGCAGTGAGTATGTCACATTCATTGTCCAGTAGCATGCAGAGATCATTTGAAAGACAACGGTAGAACCCGCCCCACAACCGATAGCCGTCAATGGAGCGTTGCCAGACTAATAAATACATTTATTTAGTCTGGCTTGCCAGGCTATCCTCATCACACACTGGTGAAATTCATCTCTGTATTTGACCCAACCCCGTGGGGAGCGGTGAGATGCAGCTGTGGCTGTGCTCGGGAACTGTTTGGTGGTGTAACCCCCACTCCATCCCCTTAAAGCTGAGTGTCAAGCAGGGAGGCACTGGGTCCCATTTTTTTTAAAAGTCTTTGGTATGACCCGACTGGGATTTGAACCCTGATCTCCCTGTCTCAGGGCGGACACTCTACCATTGAAAAGGTAACAAGACCACAGAAGGTGTCCCAAAAATGCAGACTTTTTAATAACAGTTCAAATAACTCCTTTATCACACTTGCTTGCTGTAAACTTTACTTATTTTGAACAAAGTGCTGTGGTGGGGATGAACGGGATGTTCTGCTCACATCCTTCTAGTTTTGGCTGCAGTTTCAGCATTGTAGTTTTGTGGAAACTCGTGTGAAACAAATGTTTTGTAAAGATTTTGTGTCGATACTTAACTACATCACATTGATTAGTGTTGCAGCATTGACAGCCAATGGCCTTGGCTGTAGGAATCAACAAACAAGACTCTTTCAGCTCTAGTCATCCATGTTTTTGTAGCAGAGAGAAGAGTTGTGTGTCCTCTGCGTGTCTTACTGAGCTCCACCGCCAGCCGTTTGGTTTCCGTACCTCCAAACAGATCCTGTGGTGTTATCGAGTAGCCCGGCTCCGATATGGCTTCTCTGTTGGGAGACCACAAGATGAGGCTTTGACAAAAGCAGGATGTCCTGTGCGCTCAGAAACGCGTCTCAGTAGACAGATGGTGATAAGTACGCTGCTTAACATGACAGCCTTGGTGCTAATTCACCCTCATTCGGAAACGGGCGTGGGACGAATGAAGGAATGAGGACAAGGGCAACAGCAAAAGGACAGCTGGATCTTTAAAACCCGACACGACCATCTAGGAAGAATTAATTGGAAATCAACTATGTCATCAGATTTTGTACGATTTCTTGTTTAAATACAGAAATGTGATCTTTCCTTGTTTGCTCCTGGGTTATGCGGTGTCTTTGGTATCTTCTCTTCTGAACATCGTGACTCTGCCAGGGATTTTATATCTCAGCTTAGAGGTGGTTAAGGTCAGAGCTGAGAGCGTTTGCCAGCTAGACCGATTTTCCATAACTACCCGTCTGGATCAGCTTCTGTTTGTCTGCTCGTCTGTCCCACCTCTGCTGAGACTACTTCCTGTTACTGACTGGACGATGACGTCGCTATAAGCACTGGAAAGTTAAAATACGAATGTAAAACAAGTTAATCACCGTTAACATTACATTAAGGGGTATGTGTTGAAGAATTATGCCATGGGCGGCCTTTCAAAGGCACAGATAGAAGCCAGCTCTGGATACTACTGGAGCGTTGGGAATCACACTGTGCCGTTCTAAAGTTACTCACTGGCAGCTGTTCCTATTCTTGGCTCTGCTCCCTCTGATGTCAGTTTATTGTGAGCTGCCTAGCAGCTGACCACGGTCCCGTGCTTTATATGCTAACTATTGTTTCCGGTGATGCGCGGTTGAGGCGGCGCATACATTCCACGCATAAGCTGCACACACAGGCCCCAGCGCTTGCCAAGATAAACAATCACACGGCTAGGTTTTCCTTTCTTGGTCCAAGAAGGCATCCTTTGACGACTTGAACTCAAAGCATCTATCCATCACCTGCTTCCAGGCTACAGATCGCTCAGGAGGAGCATCGCACGGTGGAAGTGGAGAAGGTGCACCTAGAACAGAAGCTGAGGGATGAGATAAACATAGCAAAGCTGGAGGCCCAACGACTGAAAGAGCTGCGTGAAGGCACAGAGAATGAGCTGAGTCGCCAGAAGTACGCAGAGCAAGAGCTAGACCAGGTATGAGCACTCTGTTCGCTGACATTTAGCCATGACAGATGTTTGTTTTACACCAGGAGAGAACGTCTTAATCATTTTGTTCACTTAAGTAGTGAAACGTCAACGAACCCCACACGAGGAAGCCGAACACAAACATTTGCTTAAAGGATGATCTCATTTAGGAGTTAAGAGTTTTGTTTTGGGTGATTTTGTTCAGAAGCTGATTAGAGCTGGAGCCAGTCGAGACTTTTAGGGTGCGTTGTAGGTAATTAATTAGTATGGACCTGCACTTGTGAACCAGGATGTACGGTGCATTTACTGAAACCACGTTGGGTTTTTTTTTAGTTTTGCATCCAGTGTACAGAAAATCTGAAAATTTAAGCTATGCCTGTTCTTAGACGTGCCGCTTTCAGCCCTCACTCATCATGTGAAACTGGCTGCAGGTTCGCATGGCCCTGAAGAAAGCAGAGAAGGAGCTGGAGTCACGGAGCGGCTGGTCTCCTCCAGAGTCTCTGCAAAAGTGGCTGCAGCTCACCCATGAGGTGGAAGTGCAGTACTACAACGTCAAGAAGCAGAATGCCGAGCGGCAGCTGCTGATGGCCAAAGAAGGGGTGAGCGTGTTTTGTAGAAAGGATCCCTACGTTAGAAAACTCGTGACTGTTTCCACTGGTGCAAACAAAAGCTGAATCACCTGTTTCCACAGGCAGAGAAGATCAAGAAAAAGAGGAACACCCTCTTTGGGACTTTCCACGTAGCTCACAGCTCTTCCTTGGATGATGTGGACCACAAAATATTGGCAGCAAAGTAAGTCGAGTGCGGAACGAGCGATATAAATAAAGTTTGTGTTTCATTTGGTTTAAGTATTTCTATTGTTTTTCTCTGAAGACAAGCTCTTGGTGAGGTGACTGCTGCTCTGAGGGAGAGGCTGCATCGCTGGCAGCAGATAGAGATGCTAACGGGCTTCATCGTCGTCAACAACCCAGGCCTTCCCTCGTTGGCCTCGGCACTCAACGTGGATCCCAGCTTCATGGGCGGCAGAGCCACGTCGCAGCCCTTTGTCATGTCCGATGACATGGACGACTTGGACGAGGGCCTTGTGCCGGGAATTTTTCAATGTAAGGCTCCTTTGAATCAGCAGTTGGCGGGGACTAGCAAACGAATCTCTAAACAGCCAAAGACCTCGGAGGCCAAGTCAAAAAATCTACTCGCATGAGAATTTGGACTCTTTGCTGCGTTCACTTGTCTTCGTGGCATTCAAAGAGTATGTGGGTTAAAAATGTATCAATAATTGATATTGGATTATATTTAGTAATTGTTCTCAAGCGTGTTGCAAATGTAAATCGACTTGTTTGTTTTGTTTTTGCAAACAACTACCTTTTTAACTCTGTATACCTTTTATCACTGTTCTCACTTTGGAAAAGTGTTTCCTCAGTCGACTGAGACTGAAGCCTTCTGGGACCTTTTCTTTACAGAGAAGTTTACTTTACAACAATCATTTTTTCAAACAGACCTCCGTGTAGCGGTCGTGTCCTGATGTATGCTGCACAGATGCTGAGTCAGAGCTGCTGCAAACGAAATGTGCCAAACGCAGCCAATGCACCTCCGAGCCGCCAATGCAAAAAACATTGTTTGGATGTAGAATTCCTAAGTAAAAACAATTTCTACGAATTTTATGTCAAGAAAGCATTTTTAATATTTCGTAGCTGTTTATTTTTTATTTTTTTATATTTTAGCCTTGAATAACAGGAGTAGCACTCAGAATCACATTGCCTTTTAATAACCATCAACCACCCCCGTCTCACTCCCCTCTCTCCCTCCACCACCGTACCGTCATTTGACTCCCAACACCACCTAATGTCAGATGGCACCCTGCAGCTGGAGCGTCGAGCCAGTGACCCTTGGTCCAATCTTTCACTCTGTCGGCCCATGTGGAAATATTCTGGTTGGCTATTTGTTCACGCCCCAGTCCAGTCCTCAGTCTCTTGCTCCGCCCTCCCCTTTGACCAGATCCTTGTTGCACCTTTCTAACTAGCGCCATGTTGCAAATGGACACAGCTGAATGAAAACATTTTTTGTCTAGAGGATGCACTGATATGAAAATTAGAGCCGATATTAATATCTGATATTATTACTGCTGTTATGGCCGATAACCGGTATTTACAGATACTACATATATTCTAGCATGTTCCCCACACTTTTGGCACTGCGACCACTTCACCTACATTGCCTCTCTGCTTCGGTTAACCCCCATCACCTTCTCTGCACCGTTACTACTGTCACAGTACCACATGACCTTCTCCCTAGAGCCCTGCACGGGCCTAAAATCTGAGCCCGTGTCCGGGCCGGCCCGAGGCGGTGGAGCCCCAGCCCGACCCGGTCTGAAAAACTTTTCAGGATTCTCTGGCCTGACCCGAGCCCGGCTTTTTTTTTTTTTTGACCTTTCATAATGTTTTAGCGTGATAGAATGCTCAGCATTCTAATAATCTGTGGGAAGCGTTCTGCAGTAAAAAAGAAAGAAAAAGAGCATCAATGCCGCTTTTTTTTCTAACCGAGCGTATTTTTCGAGCGGCAGATGAAATTTACGAACACTCTTATTTATTGGATGCGTTTGTAAATTTAATCTGCTCTGAAAATGCGCTCTTGTGTAATTAGAAAAAAAAGCAGCATTCTAATTTTCTAACTGCAGAGCACATTTTCAGAGCGGCAGATTAAATAAACGCCCCCCAGTTAATAAAGCGTTTGAAAATGCGCTCTGCAGTCAGAAAAAATAGCCCCAGCAATGAATGCTGGATTTTTTTTAACTGCAGAGCGAATTTATTCACAGGAAAATAGAATGCTGCCGTTTTCATGAGATTAAACGAATGGTTTCTGACAGAGTGGACATAAAATGGCATATTAGAATAGGGGCACATGTTTCAATCAGCAGTTTGAGAATTCGTTTATATTATAAACCACACAGACCTTAACTGAGCTAACGGGTGCCGGTGCGTGAGAAGCAGGCAGGTGCTGCTGCGTTTAAGTTTTTCAGGTTTTTTTTATGAATTTGATTAAAAGTAAAGGCGCCCGGCCCGTGTCCAAGATAATTGCACAGTCGTTGGCCCGAAGCCCGGCCCGAGGGCCGGGCCGACCCGTGGGCCTAGGGCTTCAGTGCAGGGCTCTACTTCTCCCCCTCCCAAAACCGATACACAAACAGAAACAAGGTGAATATATCAGCCCAGTTTTACTTATGGGATCGATGTGGATATGTCAAAACAAGACTAACATCCGATATCGATGTTGATGTCGATATATCGTGCATCTCTTGTTTATTTACAAATCTTCTCAATTTTAACTCTCATGCCTCCACCTCTTATTTGTTACCAGTGCACTCCTGCCTTCTTATCCTTTCCTTTTATGTTAAAACTAATCATTTTGTTGGATTTAATTTTTGTTGTAATAGATTGAAATTAGGGATGTTCGATATTGGCCTTTTTACTGGTGTCCAGTAAAGCCCAACTCTTATTTCTGATACAAATATAAACTGATGCTAATGAATACAGGGTCCCCCTTTCATAACCCCCCCCCAATAAATCCAGGTAACTAACTTCACATATCTCCTATCATGCATGCTTCAACTTTAAACATCTGTGCAAAATATGTTAACAAATTCAATTAAAGCTACAACGGCAAATCTGCGAAACAATCTAGATGAAAACATTGTCTTTCCATGCCTCATTCTAACAAAGTAAAGCTATAAATATGTTGTGGAGATTTAAAAAAATTATTAAAGCATTTCTCTCACATTTGTCTACAAACCTCGGCCAATAACTCGGCTCAGTACGAAGCCAACGATTGGGCGGTTGGATCGTCTATCTCATTCCGCTCTTACCTGGGTCCTCCATCCATCACAACAGACGGGACGATAGCGGCCCAGAGGGGTGAGAGTTAGCAGAGACGTAAAGTTTGATGTTTAGTGTGTGCATTGCATGTAAACGTATCATTAAGAGTAAAAACCCATGGCAGTAATTTCCGATAATGCATTCTAATACCAATGTCGTGTGATAATATCGGACATCCCTAGTTCCAAACCTCTTAACTGTGATACAAAGTTTAAATATCCAAACCACACGTCTGAACAGCTCTCCACGAACCCCCCCCCCCCCCGCTGGTCTGGCCTCTCCTTTAGGATGTGTTTTATGTGTCTGTCAGTAATCCTGCCGTTCTGTGCCAACAGCTCCCAGTATGATGTCTCTGCGCCAACGCCACATTGACCCTCAGCTGGCTTTGGGCTCCCAGAGGTTGGTAGAGAGTTCCCTACTAGCAGGGCATCATGGAGAGGGAATCCACCCGTCAAAGCCTAGACCCGCCTTCAGGCAGTCACGCAGCCATTCGTACGGGCAGCTCGAGTGCCTCCCTCTGCCGCCTCTTTCCTCAGCTGTTTCTCATCCGTCAGTCATCTGTTCCTCCCACCCAAACCCTCAGTCTGTGCCCTCCATGTCCTTGTCCTCTTCCTGCTTATCTGGCTCTGTGGCTGGTGGTCTAGCCCCTCCCTCCTCCCATGTATTTCATGCTTCTTTCCAGCCCATGGATTCCATTCCTGACTTCACATTCTCAGACGTCTCCAAAAGTCAGTCCTCATGCAGCAACAGTTTCGGGTACTCTTCTTCCTTCACACACTCTGCATGTGTGTGGGTTGTTTTCTCACTGCCTGTTGGTTTGGGTTTGACCTTTTAGTTTGGTTGCCTCTCTTTTTGCTTCTTTCTTTTTGTCCTAACGTGTGATGTCCCCTAACGTGTGATGTTTCACCATCACAGCTGCACTTATCCCATTTCTGGCTTTGCAGGCATTAAGTAGACAAACCAAAGCATGCAGGGCTTCTTTTATTGTCCCCTTTATTATTTCTAATGAGTGCATTGTATTTTTCCCCCACAGAGACCTAAACCGCTCCGATTCCGACTCTTCCTTGTCTCTTTCTCAAGTTGGGGATCGGTTGTCTGCCTACGGCTCCAAAAGCCACCTAATCAAACCAACCTCTCTCATTCATGGGGTGTCCAACCGGGCTGATGATGCAGTTTCCTTGCACGCGTACACCCCCAACGGCGGGAACCGCACGCACGAGGGAAACGCTGCAGAGGTTTCGTCTGGAAGCCCGATCCTCATGAGGGAGATTCACCACATGCAGAAATCCCCCAGCCTGGGAGAAATCAACAGTCTGTCGGAGTCGTCTCGCTCTTTCAGTCCCAACTCCACTGAGCCAGATACGCCGTCACCCACAGGAGGGCAAGCAGGAGTTGTGGGGGTAAAAGGTAGCAGCCGCATCCCTCAACTGTCCTCCAAAAAGAGCCCTCTGGAGGAAGACAGTTGCTCAACCGGAGAAGACACAGATTCCACTGCCAGCCGCAAGAAACACACCTTCAAGATTTTCAAAAAACCGAAGAAATGAGTGCAACATGACCTAAGGGCTATTAAAGCTGTTTGACTGTATTCCTCTGTCGGCCTGTTATTGTTTTGTTTTACTTTTTTCTGTTTGTTTTAAGGAGTCAAACGATGGCGCAATTAGCTGCCAACGCGTCTTTCTGTAGGTTATAACCACCTACTACGGACTGTGGGAGCAATCAGCTGTTTCTGTTTGTTTGCTTTTCTGGTCAGTGTTGAACACGATGGGCGTGGGCAGGTTTGTACATTAGAATGTGAAGTATTATTTATTCCTGCAGGAAACGGTGCCAGTCTGAAAGGGGACATGACATGTCTCCCTCTTGGGTTTTTTTGTTCTTGTTCTACAATCTTTGACATTTTGCATGTCTTCACTTTAGTTTGGCTGATAATCGAATGCTCTTAGTCTTTGCTTGGTTCTTGTCAATATCCTGCTTAAAACAACAAAAAAGCCCTGATTGCTACGTAACCACTCAGCCCTCAAATCCAAACTGCTTTTTCTTTTCTTTTTTCCACTTTAGTTTTTAGTGGTTTTAGTATCTGTACTTCTAGTCGTCTTGTTTGCAGCGTTGGAGAATTCAAAATTCACTTTTAGCTGTCGAGAAATAAAATTTGAACGCACTAAATAGGTACTAATCACTGAATAACAGTTACTGCTGTACCTAAGAAGCACATCGCCTAATATAATGATAGGCCCGATTCACACGTCAGGATAATCACGCCGATTTTTGACTCGATTCTCTCTTCCCGACCATCTTAAAGAGACAATGTGTAGTTTTTACTGTTAATATCTGGAAATATCCATCAAAATTTTGTTGAAAATTAATTGAATGAGGCCCAGTTGTAGAAAAAGGTTGGTGGCTTTGTGGCATAACCATAAATATTGGGTCTAAAATACATCGGAGCGTGTTTAAGTCTGGGCGATACCATGCTTCCTTCTATGGCAGCCCGTGAGGACAAAATACGTTTACTGATTTGTAACAGACGATTACAAAACTTAAACGCTGTTTTTTTTTTTTTTTTACACTTTTACCTCTTCACTTGTTGCCAGTGGTGAAAGGAAGTCTGATTTTTGTTTTGCTGGAGGTTGCTCTGCCAGGGATTTTTGACCCTAATGACCATCCATTGGTAAGGTCTTAAGCCTGATTCATGCTTCTCCGTCAGCTCCGCAAGGGACACACGCACGGATTGACGGAAGCGTTTTGCTCTCATACTTCTCCGTCTCCTGGGGAGCGTTGCAAAGCAATTCCCTGCCAGGACAACAGAGGGCGTAGCGCTGTTCTGTGGTATCCTGTCATGTATCGGTCCAAGATAGTGTTTATATTGTGTTTTTTTTTTTTTTGTATATGAGAGACTTTTTAACACAGACAAATTTGTCTCTCATCCTCCTCCACCTCTTCATGCGCTCCCCACTTCTAAACCCACGTTTCCTGTCATTTCCATCCACAAATAAAACGCTTGCTGCACATCTTTTCACTCCTCCAGTCACGGGGAATTAAACGTTCATGTTTTTAGAGTTTTTTCGTGAGGTATTCTTCAAGCTGCTCCGTGTCCTCGGCTCTCTGTTTGTGAGGGCGCAAAGCCGGCGGTGTAGACGACAGCGGCGTCATGACCAATCACAAGCTTGCGTTGTCCGTCTCGACTGACAGAGGTTTAGAAAAGGGAGCTCGGCTCGCTCGTCCTTGTGGAGCTCTCCGGCAGGCTCGCAAGGATGTTGCGTGTCTCCGCACTGACGCAGACGGAGAAGCATGAATCAGGCTTTACTCCAACACAAAAATACTGCTTACTTGCAATTATTTGGGTATATACTGCCCCCTATTGCCAGGGAAAATACGCATCATCACTTTAAGGATGTCCGATTACTGTAATAGCTCTAAAGATAATCCTATTAGATATGCCTGCTGTGTGTGGTGTGTATGAGCACTCTGGTCTGATCACAAATTGGGAATATTAGACATGTTGGATTGTCTAGCCCCAATTTCAAGGACAAACCTACTTTTAGCCAATCAGAAAGCAAGGTGACGGAAGCACATGACATGCTTCTCCTCAACCGTGTTTTTTTTTCTTCAAAGTCGCGTTTAATCCAGCGAGATTTCCCGTCTGACCAAGGGGAACATTTGCGTGTGAAATCAGTTTGTGAGAAGTTTTTGCCACCACACACTGGTCCTGCTGTGGTTTTTCAATCTCTACGTATTAGGTCACGTATATTAAAAATCCTGCCGTGTGAACCGGGCTTTACAAGAAGGACAATCAGAAAGTAGAGTTTGTTGAAAATGATCTAAGAGGCAGGCCCCTTACCTTCGTTCCGCTCGTTTAAGTGATTTAAGCTGATTTGGCAGAAATCTGGTGATACATGCTTCATGTAAAAAGAAAAATAAATGCACGACCTGTATACTACAATAGATGTTTTCCAAGAAAAGCTTCTATGATTCCCAGATTTCCTCCTGTAGGTGAACAGGGTGAAAGTTTATTGTCTTTTTATTTGTGATTAGTACTATCCGCACTGCAAATTGTCTTTAAGTTATAAGTAAGGGCTACGGTTACTAGGAAAATCATCTGCTCTGGATTTAAAAACAATCTTACCACTAAATAGCATTTTTTATGATAGACTCAAGTTGTGGAGGCAAAAAAACCAATTGTGTAAAATTGCCAAATCCCTGTTTCTTCTCAGAGGCCTTTATATTTGTGGTGTCGTTCAATCTTTTGAGCCCCCTTTACTCAGAATACAGAACTGCATGATGAACTCAGTGCTGCTGTACATGCAGAGTTTTTTTTTAAAAGCTGAATGTCCAATGGTTTTGTCTGTAACAGGATCTTGTGTTTACAATCGTTACAGATCGTTTATCGGATTATTACAACCAAGAATTTTGTGAAAGTTTCAGTGTAAGTTTGCTTCGTTTAAGCACAGAACTATGCATCAGTAGTGTTAGGTTCTTTGAGAAGAAAAAAAAAAGAAGTAGGGACGCCAGTAGGTTTAGGGTGCTCCTGAGAGAAGAACAACCAAAAAGTGCTGCAGAAGACACTGTCTCTCCCAGCGTCATCATGTATCAGGTGGTTTGGATCTAAAAGATTTATCTAATTATTTCTTTTTTTTTTTTAAACGGCTGAAAAGAGATCATTTTCCTCCTGGTACTTTTTAAAACCTCCTTTTTCCTCCTTCCTTTTGCACGGCTGCTACAAATTGGAAATGTCACCTGAATGTGTATGTGTGTGTGTGAGAGAGAGAGAGAAGGTGTGGGTGCGCGTGTCCCATCAGCTCCCAGTATAATGCACTGTAAAGTTGATGCATGTCAACTGTCGTAACAAAACCTATATTGGGTTAAGAGAATGGATCAGCTTATGCTCTCATTTCCAACTTTTCTTCTTCGTCTCATTTTGAGCCTATTTAAGAGTACATGTAGTATATTTGTACAGAAAAAGATTAAAAAATTTTGCATCTGTGGTGGTCTGGACTTTGATGGCACTCCTGCATGATAGCAATAAACTATTTTGAATGAAAAAAAAATCAGAATTTTTTTTTATTCCCCTCCTTCGGTGCTATAAACATTGAATCCTGCTACAAAAGCTCAACCAGAATTTGGTAAAATTTCTGGATTATCAGAACGCGGCCTTCTGCATGCTACAATCTCTGTTTAGGGTTGGGGTGGAGTTGTTAAATATTTACCTGGGATTCAGCCTAGGTGAAGTGAAACAGGATTAGATCCGGATCTGGAACCTCTTTGTTCCACTGCAACGTGAGTTTCTTTAATGAAAACGCTGCGGAACATGCATTTCCCTTCAGGGTTCCAGTTCTTCTGTCTGTCCTGCCTCAGCTTGCAGGTAGGAGCCAGTTTAAAGTTGTCATCTCTTGGCTGGATTGTGTTTTATTCAGCAGTTGTGGCTGTCTTCTGTCCCAGATTGTTTGGTGTTCAGATCAGGTGTTGCTCCTGAATCCTCCAGAGGAAACTCTACCAGTCCACCTGTTGAACATCCTCTACTCGTGTCATGCGCCTTCGACTGTGCTTCTGGACCTTGTGGTGACTTCTGAAACTGGCACCGTTTCCAAATTCCTGCTCGGAGAGTGGAGTTGTGTTCCCAGTGATCCTGTTATAAAGACTGTGAGGCTGACTCTTCCTGACTGGTTGGTGTACCAAGCAGATGGGGTCGTTCCTGACTCTCACTGGGTGCTGAGCTGTATCCTTCGAGCCTCGCTCAGGTACGATGGATTCGGTGATGCTGAACAGTTGGTCACAGCTCGGGATGTGGCACTTTTGCAGCCTAAGCCCTTCTTTAGTCGACCCATCAAACGGCATCAGCTCTGCTTTGCCTGGAGTGAACAAATGTTACAATTAACTCAGCGGTTTTTACACAAATGCTGCCCTTTAGAGCAAGGTAAGTTTGGAAATGTGCGCCTATGAACATCTTAGAAAAAACACTTTCAACTGAAACTTTTTCAGAAACCATTGATTTGCTGCCAACAATTTTTGCCTCAACTGGAGAAACCTTTGGAATCACGAAGACTCTGAACCCCTACAAGAATGAGGTTTTAGAGAACCTACGCCTCAAAGCCATCACTTCTCCTTGGTATGAAAGGAAAATGTACACCAAGTTTTCTCTGTGGTGAATCCGGATGTTACAATTCAGCTTTTAACTCTGTTTTTGCAAGGTTCACAATTTCCATGTGGTTATTTGTGACCAGACATTGCAAGGGCAGGTTGTGTGGTGTATTACATCACATAGATCCCCACAATAGCTATGCCACACCATCATTGTTCCTCACACACTCAGGTAAGATCAAGATTTACGTTTTATAACCTATCCTCAGTATTCTTATTGCCACTAAGTCTAAATATGCAACAAACATGAACCGTTGATGAATTGCGTTGCATAAAAATGCCAGCAAATTGGATGTCGTGAGACATGAAGAATTGGAATGCATTTGTGAACGGAATAATTTAAGATGGCTGATGAGGCTTTTATCCATTTCCAGTTAAAGATCATTTTACAGATTTGGCTTATTGACTCAATCCTGACAATATAAACTCAATTTTATAAAATATGTTAACCTGAAAGGTGGAACACTGAAAACATTTTTTAATGATTATTTCGGTTTATAATCAGTCACTGAGATTTTCATGCAGCTGAACATAAAAATAGTCTCCTACATCTATTTCCTGCTTCTGATAGAAAACAGACGGTGAAACTCTAGAATTAGAAAATCCTGACAGATCTGCGTCACACTGTCACTTAACTTTCATAGACTCGCTCATCTTGACTCACGACTGGGAAGGCTGTTGTTGGTTTAGCGTCCAGGAAACAGCAGAGAATGTCTCGGCTAGTAGAAGCCATTAGCATCTCCACCAAACAGCATAACTTCTTCCGGCTTGTGTTATTTGTATAAATGATAAATGACCCGGACTTTTATAGCACCTTTTCCAGTCAGAGGACTCCAAAGTGCTTTACACTACAGTGTATCATTCATCCATTTACACACACATTCACACACTGGTGGTGGTGAGCTACAATGTAGCCACAGCTGCTCTGGGCCGCACTGAAGGAGGTCAGTCCCTCCGGCCACCACCAGCAGGCAAGGTGGGTTAGGTGTCTTGCCCAAGGACACAACAGAAAAGTTATCTGTCTGGAGTCGTCGTCGTCTTCCTCCAGGTCCGGGTCGCGGGGGCAGCATCCCAACTAGGGAGCTCCAGACCGTCCTCTCCCCGGCCACCTCCACCAGCTCCTCCGGCAGGACCCCAAGGCGTTCCCGGACAAGATTGGAGATGTAACCTCTCCAACGTGTCCTGGGTCGACCCGGGGGCCTCCTGCCGGCAGGATATGCCTGAAACACCTCCCCAGGGAGGCAACCAGGAGGCATCCTGATGCCCAAACTACCTCAACTGACTCCTCTCGATCCGGAGGATCAGCGGTTCTTCTCCGAGTCCCTCCCGAATGTCCGAGCTTCTCACCCTATCTCTAAGGCTGAGCCCGGCCACCCTACGGAGGAAACTCATTTCGGCCGCTTGTATCCGCGATCTTGTTCTTTCGGTCATTACCCAAAGCTCATGACCATAGGTGAGGATTGGGACGTAGATCGACCGTCTGGAGCCGGGATTGAACCCGCAACCTTCCGATCACTGGACAACTTTGCTCAACCTGTTGCCCTGAGATAAAACAAAAATGTTGCAGAGCAAATAGAATCAATGGTAGAGTCGTGTTGCTGTTAGCCAATCAGAGGAGAGATGTCCAGATATCAGGAAGTAAGACTCCAGATCCTGTCATCTGAAGCTCTCCTGAGATGTGGCTCACTTCTAGATCCAGAAACGATGCACTGAAGCCCCCTCCCTCCCTCCCCCCCCCCCCCCCCCCCAGCTTGCTTCCTTCCTTCCTTCCTATAGAGACCACTGCGAATGTATTTGTTAAACACCTTTCAAGTTATTGTTGCTTGTCTTGTAAAACAACAAAACATGCAGAAATATGTAGCTTTAGAATTTTTTGTCTGAACAACTTTCACATTTTTCTGAAACGTGTAGGCCAACTTCACGTCCAGATAAGTGGGCCGCATCAGGAATCTTCTGCATTCCTCTCCACGTTTGCGATGCCTTTGAACAACTGGTGCCAGCTCAGTTTGACGTTACAAGGAAGAACCGTGAGTAATCCCTGATCCTGGAGTGTAGCGTCCCATGTTTTCCCACTGGAAACAAAGATGTCTCCCATCTAGGTGACCGTCTCTATGATGTGTATCGGTGACAAGAAAAGAACAGCTGTGTCCACAGATCACGTGTAAGTCCACTTCTAATACTTTTAAAACAATTAACACGAGAAGGTGTTTATGATTAACCATGTTCCACAGTTTGAGGCATGCAGCCATGTTTGATGACACAGAGGGGTATTTTGTCATTGGTGGAGGGAAATACGTACAAGGTGTGGAGGGTTTTTTTGGACCAGTGACGTTCTATCGCAACAGGGCGTCGCCCCACAGCTTGGTAAGTAAAAACTCATAACTTTGATTCGTGATGGGACCATTTCAACAATAAGGATGTCTTTATGTTCTGCAGTCAGAAGTTATTATTCCAGATGTTATTAAGAGTGTCAACCTGACTGGATGGCTGCAGACGTGTCAAGATTTTGCTTTTGAGATGATAGTGAAAATCAGCAGCTTTTCACTCGAGGCCAAACAAGAGGAGGAGTCTGGTAATGACTTCCTACATCCACTAGGTGGCGTTAAAGTTATCTGATGTTAAAATCAATGAGAACTTTGTCTATTTCAGAGACTTCTTTTGATGCTTTTCATGAATGGATTGTAAAGGAGAGACTAGCATCAGGTTTGCAGTGTGAGGAGACCAGCTCTCATCGGAGACTCGTTGTTAAACTGGCCAAGTTACTGGTTTTCAAACATGGTGAGAGACTAAAGTGCACCTAACAGACAAGTTATCTGACTTTGTGGTTTAAAACACAGTAGAAATGTCTGAAGCACTCTATGTCCTGCAGGAGGAAGAAGAGTGAGCCTTCCTGCTCTGGGCAGGGCTCTATACTCCTTCTCACTCAATAAGCTGGGCAGAGCAAAGGACATATCAGTGTTCAGCAAAATCCTCCCGCTGCTGCTTCAAGCTGGCTGCCTGGCTGATAATCGAGCTCTGCATGTGTCGTCTGTGCTCTACAGCTCTGGTCTGGGGGTTCAGAAACAGCCCATCAGAGTGAGTCTTCTTGGCCAAACGCCTGCTGTGGTTGAGCATTTCCATGTGATCGTCACACACGTCTGTTTGATGCAGGCTTGGCGTCTTGCACTGCTGGCGGCCCAAAGGGATGATCGGCTGGCTCTACTACACCTTGGACACCTGCACCACTGGGGGGGACATGGCTTCCCCTCTGACCCAGATCTGGCTTATGCCTATTATGCAAATATTGCAAAGCAGACAACTTTGGATCGTCAAAATCCAACACCGCAGCAGGTAATGGATGTACAGGTGCAGCAAAATACAGTATAAAACATCAGCTGTTTGCCTTTAGTCTGAAAATATCTGAGAAAAGGGGGACATTCTGTTTTGTTCTATTATTGTTACATGAGTGTTAAAATGCTGTATGTTGTTTTGTGTTTACTTTCTGCAACTGTTCTCTTCTACTGTTTAAAAACACCCAGACATCTTCGTAGTTTTTGCTTTATTCTTACACTTTCAGACATTTGTAGAGGCTGTGCATCTGAATGATGACGAGACGCTGAACCTCCAGACCAATGAAAACCATCACATCTTTCAGTGGCTGAAACTGCAGGCGCGCAGGGGGGCGGCCGAGGCCGAGGTACCAGGCGTAGTCTTTTCTCTGCTTTTGAGGTGCCTCGAACTCGTGTACCCAACCACTTTATTTATAGAACACTTCAGGGCCCAACAAAGTGCTGCACAGAGGATCAAATAAAAACAGAAACAGTCAAAGAAATGTTTTATAAAACAACAAAATAAAAACAAAATATTAAACATAAAACAAAACAAAACAAAGGCCAACACTAACCAAGTATACGATACACTAACACCACTATTAAAAGATCTGTATCACAGAGACTAAAAGTGAAATTATAAGTTTTTAGGTCTTAAAGGGACATTATGGAAGTGTGACAGCCAAAACATGTATAAAAATAATAAATGTCTTCTTCATACATTCTCCTGCAATGCCCTGGTCCTGTAGAATGAGCCCTGGCATTTTTACTGTGATTGCCTGTTTTTCTGTAAAATCACAGAAAAAGAGAGATGCTCGGGTCGAGCAGGCTGCTTCATGCGCGTTCACGCTCAGGCATCGCCCGTAGCGTTTGCTATCCGTAGCTTTAGCAGCAGAGAGAGAGGCAGTGCCACTTTGTTGCTGTTCCTAACGCCTAGTGACAAAGCTAGCTACATTTCTGAGGACCCTTAGCTACTTTCTGTAGAACTTTCTTCTAGATATTTCCTGCAAATTAGCAACAAAATAGCCATTTTCGCTTTGAACCGTTCTTTGAACGTTGTTTCAGCTGTCATCAACGATATAAATGTTACAGATACAATAGTTGTCACTGGCACTTTAGCTCACCTAGTAAGACATTGGACTTTCGTGCAGAAGTCCTGGGTTTGATTATGGATGTGAACATAGTTTATTTAGAGTTTCTTTTTCACATTAATGGTATATTTTTTACAGTAAGATGCCCAAATTTTTATTTGAGACTTGCCGAACGGCATTAAATTCACAGATAAAAAAGATGTGGGTTCAACTTTCATTTTGGAACAATTTTTCAAGCAAGGGAAGGGAATGATCTGAGCATGCAGGAGGACTGACCCATCATAAACCTTTGTCGGCTGTGCTGAAGAGAAAGGTACAGAACCAAATTATTTAATTAATTAGCTGCACGTTCTCTTGTCCTCTGTCCTCCGGGCCTCACACACACACACACGGGACTGTCTCAGCTGTTATTTTCGTTAAGGAGTGTGCACGTACAGCATGCGCGCCTCGTGCACGAGCCTACTATTGAAGCTGCCGTTACGCTTTTGGCCTGAGGGGGCAATCGCGAACATAAAAATTCAAAACTCCGTAAAGTCCCTTTAAAATGCTTCGTTCTTATTTATTTATTTTTTTAAATGTGGCATTTGACTTATTTTATTTTTTTTTTTTTTTTATATTTTGCAGCAAGCTGTTGCCCGCATGCTGTACTGGGGTCAGAAGGGATTGTCACCAAACATCCCTGAAGCTGTAAAGCACTACAGAAGAGGAGCTGAGCAGCTGAAGGACCCAGTGTCAATGTATGACTATGGAATAGTTCTTCTGCAGGTCAGATCTTTTCTGAGCAAACACGACAACCGTCCAGTTTTTATGTGTCATGTGTTTAAGTCGGTTTACTCCTCTTGTCTTTGTAGGGACATGGTGTCCAGAAGGATGTTCAGAAAGGTGTCTGGTTCCTTAAGAAGGCCATGGAGCAGGTTTCATGATTGAATGTTCTTGTTTTACAAAATAAAATACATTTCACAACAAATGATAAAGTTAAACATGGTAGGTAAAGTAACTAAATCTCAAACATTCAAGTTCTCTTCTAATGTCACGTCAAATAAATATAAATAAGTAATCTCAACCTTTTATGAAAATAACTAATATGTACATACCAATAAGGATAGGGTATTGTACAGTTGACATCACCACGCAAGGGCTTCTGGGTAGGATCATACAAACAAACCGCATTTGCCAATACAAAATCAACACTTTCAGAGCGCTCGGACGTTGATGGGAAGGCATAAAATAGAGGAAGTTGTGCTGACAGAGAAAGACATACCAGGGGCTTTTCTTGATGGCGACTCTGTTAATTATCGATTGCCAGAACTGAAGCGATGGCTCGACTGTCACGGTCAAAGTAAAAACTAACTCTGCATAAAAACTTCCACCGATTAGCTTTTTTTGTCTTTAGCTTAGCCCATTTACCTTTTCAGGTGTAGTTTCATGTGGTCATCATGGATGTAAGCCAGCTTTGGAAAAGGGATTAAAAGTCTCCTCTGACAGTCGATCTGGATACCTAGAGTGTGATTAGCTCCTCCCCCAGTCGCAGAGCTTAGTCATTGCTGTTTGAACATCTTTAGAAGACGAAAAACAACTTTTGCCAGATCGGAGCAACTCAGACTCATAGGAAGCTTAACTAAATGACCCTACATCCCAGAGTGCTTTGCGACGTTACGTCACAATTTATTTTTAGCTACTGTAGAAAACCCTTTAGTGGTAAGCCATTCCACGCCACCATTGCTCTTTACAGTATTGACCTCCAAGTTAAAGCTGGTTTAGCGAATCTGAAGAACAAGCAAACACGGTCATGGAGCACTCACCCCTTCCCTCGGGTGTGTTCCCCGAGATGCTTCTGCCGGAACCTGGAAACCCACGAAGGAAACCCAAGAACGCTAAACATCTGTCACCGTTTTAGTTAGTTGTCCGTGGCTTCAAACGCTGTTGTTCTTTTTGGGATTCTGGTAGTTTGCCCTAAAGTTGTAGTGGAAGCAGCTGGCTTTTTCTCCATTGCACTGCAAACCTCTCACACCAGTGGTGTTCTGTTGCTAAATACACAAGTGCGTTATGACAAATCCATTTTTTTCTTCCACAATATATTGAAGCTATTCTATGTTAGAATGTTGTTAAGAGGAATGTTTGAAGCTAATTTGTTTACCAAATTTGCTAGCCTGGCCTGCCAAACTCGTCCTCTGTTTAATTCTGCACAGAGAAAGAGTCTGGTAACTCACAGGCAGAGGCACTTGAGGGGCGGGACTAGGCAGCTCAAAAATGACCATTCAGAAAAAAGACGGAAATCCTGACTGTACCGCACGACGAGGTAGATTTCTGGTTGTAGTAAAAAAATAGCGTCTGGCAACGGCACAAACATCTTTTATTTTTTTTTAGAAGAAATGCTTTTAGCGCTTCTACTTGTGGTTTTAAAGATATCTGAGTCATTTAGAACAGAGGAAAGAGTCGCAGCAAACGCCTCCGCTGTCTTCGTTGTTTATGAGAAACTGAGCGCCGCCGTGTGTGACGTCCGCGACGCTGTAGTTTTTTTTAGCTGTAGTAAAAATTGAGTCTGGCGACAGTGCAAACATCTTTGTTTAGAAGAAATGCTTTTAGCGCTTCTACTTGTTGTGGTTTTAAAGACATGTTCAAATCATTTAGAACAGGGATTCCCTAAGTGTGGTGCTGCCGCTAGGGGGTGCGCGAGGTGAAAAGTGTAATGGCTGCGGAGCTCAGAGAAGTCTGTCATATGTCACCATTAGCGTAGCCAGAAACTCATTTGTGGGTGGGCCAAAGAAAAAGTAAGTGGGCACAATAAATGTAATTGAAAACAAGTATATTTTGCGTGTGTGTGTGTCCTCCGCATGTGCCATAGCTTCATAATAACAATGCGCCGAGCTTCAGCGCTCTGGCCTGTGCACGCCGATAAGTTCCGTATCATTTTTAACGATGTTGGAGAAATC